TCTCTTTTGTGCATCCCCCAATTTGGCCGTTTTATAGCCTCAAAGTTCGGTTGCTATTTTCAAAGAGTAATGCTACACTTATCACTTTTTTATCTCACATTTCTATACCACATTATGTTATATGTCCATATTATATGTCACACCAATTAAATGAATGAAGTGTATTTTAATAAATAAAATTAGAAAAACAGAAACTAGTATTTTACATGATGTGGTCTATGCACATCAGTTGCCACATCATGTGGTATAAAAATATAATAAAACTAGTATTATTCATTTTGAAATTGCCCCGAACTTAAAACTAACACCAAAGAAAAATATTATTATATTATACTAAAAGTCATCATTCCAAAATGAGGTGCACTTAATGTAGAGCATTTCTAACCGATATGTCAGATTGTTACATGGACGTGAAATATTGGTAAAAATTGAAGATTAAAGTTGCTTCAATCGAGTAATCAAATCCTACATGGATTTGAAGGCTAGAAGAGATATGTCAAAAATAACGTATCAAAAAGCTTGATGTCAAATATTATATTAATATTTTTTAGTCATAGACCCCATTATCATTTACTATATTTTAAAACTTTAAGCATTATATGGGCTCCATTTGCATTTAAAAATGTAATAAAATAATATGATATTTGGCATTTTTGGTATAGTTAAATTGTTTCCAAAATGTCAAATTGCCACATAAGCCATCAAATTCAAAATTAACATTTCACATTTGACATCTCCCTTGAAAATGTTCTTACATAACTAAGTCCTCATACGGCAACTCAATATAATATTCCCTCCCTCCCTAACTCGTGCAAGTGGGCACGTGTCTAATGGTCTTCGTTTTTCCTTCACCTACCAAAACAAACAGATGCCACGTGATAGGTCCTAGTCCTAGAAAAAACGTTCACGTGTCATCATATATACCGTACCATCTTCTCATTATTCACTACGATCCATCCATTTGAACATATATTAATTTTGTAATTTTTGCTTGGGCAATGAGCTATTGGAGCCTAAAACAGCGATGATCAATGGAATTGAAGACCAGTCGTCATCTACCTCTTGTTAATTTGTTGGATAAAAAATGTGACGATAAATAACTACCGTTTATTCAAATACTTAGAATTTGGTTATCAATTATCTTAATTTACATATATATATTTTTTATTAATGAACTAATTAAGGAATTATTGTGTAGGGATATGGGATGACTGAAGCAGGGCCGGTGCTATCGATGTGCTTGGCATTCGCAAAGGAACCGTTGCCAAGCAAGTCAGGGTCATGCGGGACGGTGGTTAGAAATGCAGAGCTCAAGGTCATTGACGCTGAAACTGGTTGCTCCCTTGGCTACAACCAACCCGGCGAGATTTGCATCCGTGGCTCTCAAATCATGAAAGGTACGTATACGTACTTACTTGAAGATTATAAAAATGTATATTGATTGAACCATATATATATATAATGTGTTAATTACGCACTCTACTAGGGTATTTGAATGATGCGGAGGCAACGGCAGCGACGGTGGATAAGGAGGGGTGGCTTCACACTGGTGACGTGGGTTATGTGGATGATGATGAAGAGGTTTTTATTGTGGACAGAGTGAAGGAGCTCATCAAATTCAAAGGCTTTCAAGTATGTTATATATAATTAATACTTGATCTAAATTCGAAATATAATTATATAATAAGCTAACCTCTTGGTCTTGGTGAATGATGTCAGGTGCCACCAGCTGAGCTGGAGTCCCTACTTGTGAGCCACCCATCCATTGCAGATGCAGCCGTTGTTCCGTAAGTACATATATACTTAAAGAGGCATGCCGATGCAGTAATGAATCAATTAATTAAGCTAATATTACAACAACATGCAGGCAAAAAGATGAGGCTGCTGGTGAAGTTCCTGTTGCATTTGTGGTTCGATCGAATGGTCTTCAACTTACTGAAGAGGCTGTAAAAGAATTTATAGCAAAACAGGTATATATACCTCTCTCTCTCTCTCTCTCTCTCTCTCTACGCATTAACTTTTAGATTAGAATATTGTTTGTTTGTGTGCAAAAGCAAAATTAATGAATGAAACTTTGAAACAGGTCGTGTTTTACAAGAGACTGCACAAGGTGTACTTCGTCCATGCCATTCCAAAGTCTCCCTCCGGAAAGATATTGAGAAAAGACCTGAGAGCCAAGCTAGCCACACCAACGTCCCCATTGGCCTAATGGCCTTTCTACAATTAAGCAGACGTCGTGTACGTTTTTGTATATCAACCAATTCATGAATCGGTGCTTCTTTCTTCAAATAAAATCAAATTATTGCTTGTTTGCTGCAGTAAAGCAGGCATTATTATGATATTTTTCTTTGAATAATAATGCAAACAGCTCCAAGACTCATGCAGTTCCTTAATTTCCTTAATTGTAACAATTAATTCATCTTGTGGTCGTCTTTGTCTTTATTTTATTACTCAATTTAATTATATTATATCATTATGTGTTGTGCTCCTCCTCGGGCCTTCATCGTCCTCTCTCTCTCTCTCTCTCTCTGAAATCCAGTAGCTCTCCCTCCCACCTCATCGTACGTAGACCCTAAACCTGAGATTATTGTTGGCCGATCGAAAGTTCATTTGCAACCAACCAACCAAACGTTCGTAAGTTCGTATCATTCTATAATTGAGGAAGATATATGTTAACATCAAATCGAATTAACTGGATTGGACCACAAAACTATCAACCTCTCGCTTCCTTTGGTTTTTCTCACGAGTTGAAAGGTTGGTAGTTTGGACTTTTGGGTGCAGTCACGAGTCTGAAGAGAGGAGGTTCCGTTGACGAAAAAAAAACATACAGAGCAACCCCCAATAGTTATCTAATTATTTAGAATATTCCTTTTTATTTTTACTTTTAAAGAAAAAACAACTTATTAAAATTAAAATTCATGCATCAGCCAATGCCCCAACCCACCATGATACAAGAGCAGCAAATTATTGTATTGGTTGATGAGACAGACAACAATATAGCAAAATGGTCCCCACTAAATTTTTTTATTTTCATTTAAAATTCATTAAAAAAATCTTATTTTATTTTAAAAAATTTATGAAATTTTAATTTTTTAAATATATATTGTATTTTAAATACACGTGACACTATATTATTGGAGATGTGGGCTCTACATATATGCCACATCAACAAACTAATGGAGTTTTTTAAAAATAATTTAACATTCATAAAATTTAAAAAATGAAAAAACCAACATTTTTTTAATTTTAAATTATTTTGACAAAAATATATTGTATTTTAAATACACGTGACACTATATTATTGGAGTTGTGAGCTCCACATATATGCCACATGAGCAAACTAAGGGAGTTTTTAAAATTTATAAATGATAAACCAAAATCTAAAATGAAAAAACCCAAAATTTTATGCACCAACGTTTTTTCATTTTTAAATTTTATGAAGGTTTTATATCACTAAACCGTAAACCCTTAGTTTTTTCATTTGTGAGCACACACATATTAACTTTGAGAACCATGAATGACAAAAAAGGAAAGAAACAAAAGGACGCAATCTGATAGTTTTGTGAACCTTAGGGACGTTTTGTGATATAAAGTCTTTTATGAATTTTAAAATTTAAATTATTAAAAAAAAAATCTATGCCACATCAGCAAACTAACAGAGTTTTTTTATGGAACCTGACGATAAGGATTATTTGTGAGCATACATACAAACCTTGAGCACCACGAATAACAAAAAAAAAGAAAAAAAAAGATGCAATCTGACAGCTTCGTAAACCTTAGGGATGTTTTATGATATTAAGACATTGGGCCAATCCATAATCCAAGTGCATGCAAGAGGCATAACCCCAAGTTGTGTTCACTATTTATCCGCGCATCAACATCATTAATACAAAAAGTCACTTTTGGTCCATGTAGTTTACCAATTTTATTGTTAAGCTCCGTAAAATTTCAATAATTTTTCAACTCCAACCAATTCAAAGACAATCCTCAATTCGTGTAAAATTATTCTTATGTGAAGGGGCGTTTTGGTCCAATCTTACAGCCCCTCCCATACCACCCCACTGCCACCTAACAACCCCTCCTCAACCACCTTCTCCCAACCTTCCTTCCCCTCCCGACCCAACTTCCTCCTCCTAACTCAGTCGACTCTGCATTCTATACCTAATTTCATGCATTGCCTTAAATTTCTCTTCATGAACCCAACACAAGGCACTTTGAGACTTGAAAGTACATTGACCTTAATGGTAAAACTGGTAAATTATAGAAAAATAAAAAGGCTTTTTGCCCAAAAATTAATTCCTCTAAGGCACCAACAATAAATACTATACTTGCTCAACTTGGGATATGGGCAATTCTTGTATTGGGAATTTTTTTTTTTTTTTTTTTTTTTTGTAAGCTTGTGCTTCGCCAGCCTTTTCTTTTTGTTCTTTCGTTTTTTAAAATTTTGCTTTTAATGGGGGCCTGGGTGTCCAAACGAGATTCCTCTTTGTATTTTTTATTATTTGGGTATGATGGGGCCCAAAGGCCCAAAGAGAGGAAAAATATGTGGGTCAGCAGGGCAAGCCCAGAATCTCGGTCTTTATAAGCACCACTTAAAACAGCAGCCCAGTTGAGAATTAAGCCCTCCATTTTCTTCCTCCCGAGTGAGTTCCGATCCAACAGCGAAAACCGCCATATATAGATATACTTGTATACAGCCAACACAAACCCTACAAAAACCCTGAACCCTCTCTCTCTCTCTCTCCATCTACCGCTTCCTACGGGAAAGAGGGTTTTGGTTTTCAATGTTAAGATTTTCTTGGTCTTCAAGACACCATTTCTCCCATTAAACCTCTCTAAAACCCTCACATTTTTCCAAATTCACCCATAAGTTAACAACAAGCCCCTCTTCCTTCCTTTCCCTCTACACACCCACCCACCAAAAAAAAAAAACCCAAGGGTTTCAGTCTCAGACTTCAGAGGGTTTTGTTAGAAACCCGTAAAGGAATTGAGAGGAAAAAATGGCGAAGACATATGCATTAGGACTTATCACAGCAGTAGCTGCCTCAGCCTCCTTATCAAAGAACAATTGTGCTTACGCTGATGGCCCTTTCAGCTTCTCACCCTTCTCTACTCCTTCTTCCAATGCTTCCCAACCCTCTTCTTCTTCTTCTAAGCAATCTGCGCCGTCAAATCCACCCTCCTCCTCGTTGACTGGGGATGCTGCTGAGCCTCCTCCTCCTCCTCCGAAGGTTCGCAATGATCATCCGAGGACAACTTCGGCTGGGTTCGATCCTGAGCCGCTGGAGCGGGGTGTTCAGGCCTTGGAAAAAATTAGCCAATCTTCTAGTGCCAAACAGGTTAGAAATTGAGGGGGTTTCTGCATCGTCTTCAAATGGGTTATGCTCGCCTGATTATTATTATTGTTACTCTTTTCTTTTAAACGGGGCCGCGAGATTTGCCTTTCTTGTGAGTTACTAAGAATTATTTTTTGCCAATAGTTCTTATTTTTCATCGGGATTTTGGGATTTATGTTATGCTTTTACTTGATACCCGTGGGAATTTTAGTATTTATTTATAGCCAACATATCGGCGCCTAGTTCATAACTAAATTCAGAAGTGTACTATTTTTTTCATCTTATACTTGACCCGTATTTGAGCTTAAAGAAGTAAAAGGATGTGTTAAAATTTTCATCAGGCAGCCTTTTTGTTTTAATGACTTCCCGTGAATTTGTTTAATGGTTGCTCTTTTGCAAATGTATAGGTACTTGAAGCTATAAAGAAGCAAGAAGAGACAAGGCAGGTTGAGTTGAATGCAAAGGCTGCAGAGTATAATGCACTGAAGGCCCAATTTGAAACGGTAAGAGGTTCTACTTATTTCCCCATTAGGATGCTTTTCGATTAGTGACTCTCCTTTAGGTCCGTAAATTACCCTTTGTGATTTATCTGGCACCAGTTTTTTCTGAAGTCATCTACTTCATTACCTGACAGGAGAGACAAAGGGTCATCTATGACGAGCAGAAAAAGCTAGCTCAGCATCAAGCGCAAACAAAATCCCAAATGGCTCGCTATGAGGATGAATTGGCAAGGAAGAGGATGCAGGCATGTGCCTTGAGTTTTTTGGTATTTCACACAGAAGTTTGAAAGAAAAAACAATCAATTCTTAATATAATTCCTTGATGGTACTGCAGGCTGAAAATGAATACCACAGATCAAGGAACCAAGAGCTTGTAAAACTGCAAGAAGAATCATCGATTAGGCAGGAGCAAGCTCGGCGTGCGACAGAAGAACAGATCCAAGCACAGCGTCGACAGACAGAGAGGGAGAAGGCTGAGATAGAGCGTGAAACAATCAGAGTGAGGGCTATTGCAGAAGCAGAAGGGCGAGCCCATGAAGCAAAACTAGCCGAAGATGTTAACAGGAGAATACTGATAGACCGTGCAAATGCTGAGAGAGAGAAATGGGTTTCTGCAATAAATACCACATTTGATCATATTGGAGGTGCTTTGTCTTGTTTTGCTATTCTGTAGTGTATACTGCCTTATAATGAATAGAAAGATAAACAAACATGTCTTGTAACTTTATGTCAAGTGGAATTCTTTGTGGTTTTCCTTTCTTTTTGTCCTTGAATCTACATGAATTGAAATTCGAGCCATACGTAATTGGAATATGACCTCATCTTAATTTGCATTTACGTTGATTCTTCTTCCAATTAAAAAAGGCAGTTTTCGGTCTGCCATCATATTCTCATTAGAAGTTAGGACTAGTGCAATTCTAAAGTAATTTTATTTCTTAACAAATGTTGATGCAGAATTAGCTATTTTTTGCAGGTGGCTTGAAAGCCATTCTGACAGATCAGAATAAACTAGTTGTTGCTGTTGGGGGAGTGACAGCTCTAGCCGCAGGAGTTTACACAACAAGGTCCGTGTTGACATTTACTTGAATATTCTGCATTTTTCCTTTCCTATGTGTGGGCTTTCTTTTGAAAGCTAGGAATCTATTTGTTGCTTTCTATAGTCTTGGTTCATCTTCTCTTATTTATTTAGTAGTTTTTGTTTGTTTTCCCTGTGGAGAAAGAAAAAGGACTGCCGTAGTAAATGCCTAGAACTGTTAAGTTCTAGTATTTTGTTTGTTTTTATGGTCTCATATTTGGTTCACAGAGTAAGACTTGTATTCAAAGTCATAGCAGGTTGTGGGCTACCTTTGTGAAATAACTTGCATTGGACTATTCATTACCTTGCCATTTGCTCTCCACAATGCCATAGCTTATTCTGGTCTCATTTTTACAATGCAGAGAAGGTGCAAAGGTGATATGGAGCTACGTGGACAGAATATTGGGACAACCATCACTGATCAGAGAGTCCTCTAAAGGGAAGTACCCTTGGTCAGGATTATTCTCACGTTCTATTGGCACCCTGTCTCGTGGTGGCAACAAGGGTCATACAAAAGATGGGAAGGCTTTTGGTGATGTTATTTTACACCCTTCTCTTCAGAGAAGGATAGAACACTTGGCTAATGCAACCACAAATACAAAATCTCATCAGGCGCCATTCAGAAACATGCTCTTCTATGGTCCTCCAGGAACAGGGAAGACAATGGCCGCTAGAGAGATGGCTCGTAAATCGGTATGAGGCATTTTCTTATTATACTCAGATGATATTTGATCTGGTAGTTTTTGCTTTATTGTCATCCTTCAGCCTTCACGTAATCTGCATTCTCATTTTTTCCCATGTTTGATTCCTAATGCCTTTAGGGATTGGATTATGCATTGATGACGGGAGGGGATGTTGCCCCACTTGGACCACAGGCTGTTACCAAGATACACGAGTTATTTGATTGGGCGAAAAAGTCACGGCAGGGTCTGTTGCTTTTCATCGATGAAGCTGATGCATTCTTGTGCGAGTAAGTCATACAATTAACAGGCATGAAAATGATGTAATTTAGTTGTAGTGTAGAAGAGAACTTCTTTCACTCTGTATGATTCATTGAAAACTCAGCTGAGAGATGTTGAATGTGTCAAATAAATTTGCAGGAGAAACAAAACCTATATGAGTGAAGCTCAAAGAAGCGCACTCAATGCTCTCCTATTCCGGACTGGTGACCAGTCCAAGGACATAGTCCTTGCCCTTGCCACGAACCGTCCCGGGGATCTTGATTCAGCTGTGGCAGATCGTATTGATGAAGTGCTTGAATTCCCTTTGCCTGGGGAAGAGGAGCGCTTTAAGCTGCTAAAGTTGTATCTGGACAAGTACATTGCTCAGTCTGAAACAAGAAAACCTGGTTGGTTCCGTAATTTGTTCAAGAGACAACCGCAGAAGATAGAGATGAAGGGGTTGACTGATGATATGCTCAAAGAAGCAGCAGCAAAGACTGACGGATTCTCTGGGAGAGAAATAGCAAAACTGATGGCAAGTGTCCAAGCTGCGGTTTATGGGAGTGAGAATTGTGTGCTTGATCCAAGCCTATTTCGTGAAGTTGTAGACTACAAGGTCGCTGAGCATCAACAGAGAAGGAAACTGGCAGCCGGAGATAAAGGTAGCGTGTAGTGTAATGGGTGTCCAATAAGTTATATCATTAATTGTCGGGCAGTTTTCTTTCTGTTTAAGTAGTAAAGTGGTGGCTTAGAGAAAGGCTGATGTTCACTTTTTACCTGGAGAGAGAGAGAGAGAGAGAGAGAGAGAGAGAGAGAGAGATAAAGACGTTGGGCATGACCACATAACATATGATGTTATTCATTATTTGCCCCCTATCATTGGAGGGTTTTTGGTATTTCCTTTTCTTTATATAAATTTAATGCTGATGGTGATTGACAAGTATTCATTTCGTTTCATAGGCGTATTCCATAGATTTGCTTATTGTTCTGTCCCTAGAATATTCAATGCTGAACTGATGACAGTTATTCTAATTACTAAAGTTTTATTCAGAATAATTTCCATAAGATTAAAATGAAAAAAAGTAGTAACAATGTGAAATGGGAAAATATGCCAGCAGAGCAGAGAAAACTAGCTAGAAGAGAGAGACGAGTTGGCCAGTGGCCGGACGTAACCATGCCCTTCATCCATCCTACACGGATGCTGGGGTTCTTGGTGCTGGGAAATAGAGTTGCCATATACTTTTACAGTTGACAAAATTAGAAGGGGGCTCTCATCAACATCGACTCAAGAAAGCATCTTTACAAGAGCCACACAACTCATCACAACATGTAAATCTGACAACAATAATGATGGCGCCAAAATGGGGTGCATATATGCATTCGTGCCTAAAGATCACATGACTAGCATGCCAAATCCTTATTTTACTAAATTTGGAAACACACGAGTATTCTTTTGATAAACAAACAGATAAGTAGTATTGTCATTACAAATTCAACTTGCTAATGAAATGGCTTCATTGAAGGTATGACAATAGGGATGAAACTTGCCCATGCATTATCACTTCCAGATTTCTAGTGGTGGTGATGATCTTGAACATAGCGAAGACCACAATACTTGCAGATAGCTGGCTCATCCAGGTCTAGGCATATGAACTCAATTGGGTGCCCAAGTGCAGGATCAATGTCTGCAACCAATAACAGTTTTACCCAAGTAAATTTTACTTCTAAAGAAAGTTTATTGAGTTGATCTTGCAGTATAATCCATAAGTAGCTTTGCTCTGGATAAATGTAAAAGACACAAGGAAAAGCATCATAAAACCTAACCTCCTTCACATGCAACGATCCTGCCCTCAACCTTGATGGGTGGAACTTCATTGATCAACTCCATGGGAGATTTCTTGCTTGTATCCTATTAATAAGAATAATAATAATAATAAAAGATCATTGACTTATCTTCTAATCAATACATGACATCGTAACCAACTGGGTTTCTAACGTTGGAAATAGACACCAAGAAAGAGTAAGACATTTAATGTGCACAGGAAAACACTGAGGCAAAAGCTTGGGGAAAGGGCACACAAGCAAACATTAGATTCTCTAACATAGAACATGGTCATTGCTCTAAAAGGAAGCTGACAATACGAATACCATTGAATTGCTCTGAAACTAAGCTGACAACATGAATACCATTGAAAAGCGAAATAAGGTCTTCTTCGAGTACAAAATGCTGAGAACTTAATCAATATTTTCATTGAAATGCAGGAAGGATATACACACTGTTACAGTCGTTCCCACAGTGTCGTATAGTTGGCATATGCACCTGGGAATCTGTGTTCAATTACTGCTAAATTCATACGCTGGCTCCCCACTTTATTGCAATGATAGTAAACAAGGTCATGGGAATAATAGGGACTGGACGCTCTATACGCACCAGCATTCAGTTTTTGCTTTAAAGCTTTTCGGTATTGGTAGAGGAAACTAGACATATCTATTATAGCGTCCAAGGGTTAGTTCAGCAATCTTATTCTATGGTACAAAGGAAAAAGGATAGCAGAAATTCAGATTAAACGCCATCTTAAGCATTTGAGAAAAAGTGCAACCATTCTATGCAAGTAAAACATATATTTGCACAGAGTTTTGAATTAAGAACACACAAAAACTACACAATACTGAACAAAATCAGTATCTTTATTATCTATTGACACATACTCGCCGATAAGCTATGATGTTAAATTTGTTTTTATTTATCAAATACAATTCTTTCTTCCTTTCTTTACTGAAAGATTAGATTTGAAAAGAGAAAAATAGATTCCCACTGCAGATGAATGGAAATTATCGCAATAATCAAGAGAATAATGAGTTAAGATCATGTTAATGTCAATCAATTAGGTAAACTTAGAAGGGAACCTGCATCCATTTGGCGGTGTGGTTGCTGATTTGACTCCTGACGAGGCTGAAATTTCTGGTCCCCGCTGACCCCAATTTGGACGATCTGATTAGGGTTCTAAATAGACTGGACGCCATTGCTGAGTGCTGATTGCTCACCCTCACGCTGAGAGAGCCGAGACAACGGTAGAGAAGGGGCTACAGGTGAAGAATCAGTTTGATTTGAAGGCCCGTATAATCGAAAGACATTAGCCCATATTATATATATGGGCCTTGACTTCGAAACAAACTACATAAGGTGAATGTCGTTTATTAAGTGCGTCATGTCGCATTTTCTCGGTTTCTCATTTCTCATAGTAGACGGTTGATTTGATTTGATGCCTGCAATTTCCAACCCAATAAGGCAATAACATTCACACACACATGACCTCATTACAACGCTTCATGATTCGGCGTTGCAGAATTCAAGGACCCAACAACACCGCCATTTCATTTGCAGACCATCTTCTCACCCGAAGCTTCTTCACTACAAGTATTGTAAATTTGGATGCCCAACCCAATCTCCAAGCTTCAACAACTAGCCAAGACGACCCAGCAAAAATAATTGCAACCCAGTTGTCAAATTGCACTACCCTACAAGAATTGAATCAAATTTATGCCCATGTTATCAGAACCCACTTGTTACAGCTTTACACAGCCCCATTTCACTGGAACAACATCATAAGGTCCTACACTCGACGAGATGCTCCAACCAAGGCAATCTTTGTTTACCTTGCTATGTCTCGTTCTGGTGTTTTGCCTGATTGTTACACCCTCCCCATTATTTTGAAAGCCCTCTGTCAACTTTTTGCTGTAGAGATTGGTAGGCAGCTTCATTCCGTCGCTCTAAGGCTGGGCCTTGACTCCAATGAGTACTGTGAGAGCGGGTTTATAAACTTATACTCAAAGGCGGGAGAATTTGAAAATGCACGCAATATGTTTGAGCAAAACCCCGAGAGAAAGTTGGGTTCTTGGAATGCCATCATTGGAGGCCTTTCACAAGGTGGGCGTGCAAAGGAGGCGATAGACACGTTCATGGAGCTCAGGAAATGTGGGTTCTTGCCGGACGATGTGACCATGGTTAGTATCACATCAGCTTGCGGTAGTTTAAGTGACTTAGGCTTGGCTCTTCAATTGCATAAATGTGTTTACCAAGCTAAAAACGTGGATAAATCGGATACCTTGATGTTAAATTCGATTATAGACATGTATGGGAAATGTGGGAGAATGGACTTGGCTTATAGGGTGTTTTCAAGGATGGAGCAACAAAACGTATTGTCGTGGACATCTATGATCGTGGGTTATGCGATGCATGGGCATGTGAATGAAGCACTTGAATGCTTTCGGTGCATGAGAGAGGCAGGCGTGAGACCTAATCATGTGACCTTCGTTGGGGTACTCAGTGCATGTGTTCATGGTGGGACTGTGCAAGAGGGGAAATTTTACTTCGACATGATGAAGAATACATACGAGATAATGCCCCACTTGCAGCATTATGGATGCATGGTGGATCTTCTTGGCAGAGCGGGATTGCTCGAGGAGGCGAGAAAAATGGTTGAGGAGATGCCAATGAAGGCAAACTCGGTAGTCTGGGGCTGCCTGATGGGTGCCTGTGAGAAACATGGGAACGTTAAGATGGGGGAGTGGGTGGCTAAGCATTTGCAAGAATTAGAACCTTGGAATGATGGGGCTTATGTTGTTTTGTCTAATATATATGCCAGTAGAGGTTTATGGAAAGAGGTTGAGCGGGTACGATTGAGTATGTATCAGAGAAAACTCGCTAAGGCTCCTGGTTATAGCTTGTCAACAAGTGCAGATTGACATTCGTGTATCATAATGTGCCTGGCATTTTCCAAGAATGAGCTGATATAAATGCAATTCTTTTTACACATCTGCACAACGTTCCCAAAGAGCTGTTGAAGGAGCAATTTTTTTTTATTTCCCAGAACCGGAGTTGTTCATCAGTTATTCAAATTTTGTGCAAGGTGCAAAGAGTAACGGATGCACACCTTTCCAAATGTAGAAAGAACACAAGTTCTAATGTTTAAGTAGAGCTTAATAAATTTGAATTAATTTAATGATCCCAGATGTATGCCATAGTACAGAAAATCCTGTGATGGCAAAGTGGGGAAAATTTTCTCATGAAAGAAAACCATCTACAACTTCCTATAATCATGTACAACAAAATTATTGTTTATTCAACATCCAAAGAAAAGAATGCTGTACATGTTCCCTAATTGACTGCTACAATATCTTGAATGATTATGGTTTGTCAAGATCACCACAAGGTGATATGTCCTAATGAACATGAACTTTTGTACAATCTACAAAATGAAGCTGTAATGTCAGTACAAAAGAACTAACAAGGTTGTAATCTATTCTTCAGAGTCTTGACCATTTCCTGAAATCAGTTACCTCCATATAGTAAGGATACCAAGTAATGTTGCTGAACTAATGTTAGACTTCCATATCCATTGACCATGATTAAAGCCAGCAGAAAGAGTCTCCATGTGTCAGACTATGACCCGCCGAGCCTCTAACCATTGAGCATAAGCATTTCATGTTCGACAGATTTCTCCAGTCACTAATTTCAAGTCTAAAATCAACCGATGAGCTTTTTCCCACTCAATCAACGGAAGACTGCAACAAGTCTCGACCCACCATCCTGTTATGCCAGTATGCAACCTCGTAATGTTTGTTGATCATTGGTCTTGAAGATATGTATTCAGCATCCCTCACAAATTCAATTAATGGTACACCCAAGATATGTTCGTCACTGGCAATACAATTCCTAGGGATCACCCTATCCCTCTGTCATCAGTATTCAGTACATAACATCCCATAACTAAATCGATTCTGAAATGGGGCTTTTAGCTTTTAGCTTGGATCCAACTTCTAGGTTCTCCAGAAATGATATACCCAAATTACTCATGGAATGCAAAACGTTTTCAGCTTCTAGTCCCCTTCCCCCAAATTTATAAAAATGCACAGCTGCGCTCAAAATAAACCTGTCTGCCTCTACAGACTCACTTATCTGTTCAAAAAACTTGATGCCTTCTTCCACAAGTCCATAGTCCATGTAACCTCTCAGCATAGTCTGATAACATGCCACGTCAGGATTTAAACCAGCTCCAAGTAGTTTCTCATAAATTCTTTCTGCTTCCCCTATCAATCCCATTTTGGAAAAAGCAGAGAGTAAAAGGTTAAAATGAGCACAGGAACAATAGACACCATTTTCCGGCATAGAATTAATGGTTTCCTCTGCTTCTGTGTATTTCAGACTCTCTGTGTACGCTCGAACTAGGGATAGGTAGGTGAAGGAGTCAGGTGAGCAACCATCTTGCTGCATGGCTTTGAATAATTCCTCTGCTTCTTTATAAAGCCCCCCAGCAGCATATACATTGATCATTATATTATAACTGACCTGATTTTCACATAAAAGACAATGGATTACACTTATATACACAATTCCGAAGCACATACCATATAATGGTGAAAATCAATTCATAAGAAATGTAATCTTTTTCAACCACCAGGTTGCTTGGGATAAGCCATACTGTTGCACCAAGGTGTATCCTCACGATTTTTTTATTGAGTAATTTGTCAAAATAACTCTTTATTTATCTCTTTTAAATTTTAACATAACCTCACTTATGCATACCATCCCAGGTTTTATCCCTTGTTCCCTCATTTTGGTAAATAGCAGAGATGCTTCCTGCCTTTTTCCTACAAAACAGACGCATTGAAGTTAGGGAGATTTACAAATTACAAGCAACGAAGAAATCCGATAGCTGAAGATGTTACAAGATATCCACTAGAAAGTAAAGAAGTTACCTTCCATATATAGTTATAAATGCAAATTAAATACATTAACTGCTGAATAGAGCATTTAATGTTATATAACATTCCATTAGCACCAATGAATTGTATAAACTGTCAAGAGTGGCCAAATATAAGATACAGAAATGTTTCATAAATTCATGGATGTTCTTTGTCACCATGAACTAAGCCAACATAGCAAAACTGTGGAACATCATTCAAAAATTTTGTGTGACAATATTTAGATTTGTTTTTTCACTAAATGGAGGGGGATTTAGAACAATACCAGCTTTCCCACAGTAGCTAATGAGATTCATATATGCCTTCTCATCCAGAGACAAACCCAAGCTGCAAGCAGTATTGAACATCTCTACAGCCCTTTCCAGCTTTCGACCTCGACCGTAAACACTGCACCCATAGTTCGTCAATATGAACAGCATTCAATATATATTTTTCACTTATTTCACAAACAGAGAGAAGTATACCAAGCTCTTACCTGATCATGGTGCTATATGTCTGAATCGATGGAATAACCCCCTCAGAAAGCATGCACTCATAGATACTGGATGCAAAACGCAATCTACCTGCAGCATGAAATGTACCAAGTTATTGCAAGCTTTCTTCTACTCATGTGTATGCACTAATAATTGGAGTGGCCCATATGAACCTGCTTCCAGCATAGCCTTAATGAAAGTATTGTATGCCACGGTATCTAGCTCCACGTGGTGTTCCAGGCTTTTGCGGATGACATTCTCTGCTTCTCTATGTTCTCCTGGAGATGAATTCTTATTAATTAACATTGGTGCAAGGAAAGTTACGTGACAAACTTAAAGAAATGATTGGTATGGTGGCTTTGTGAGTGCAGCTGAGATGTGGTGTCTTATTGCATTCTGAGTAGCACAAAATTATTTGGGACGTTGAAAAGCTTGGTGAAGTATGATATTTTTATAAGACGGTGAAAATGAAAATTGGTGGCTCTATTATCTGATAATCTATAATCTTTGCTAGTCTAATTAAGGTTTCCAAACTGATACCACTGTTAGTCAAAACATTGACAACTATGCTGATGGCAACAGCATCCAGATCATGCCCTTCCTCTGAAAGTTGTTTGTAAAGTGAGTATGCCTCCTGTGGTTTACCACATTTGGCATATGCATCAAGCATTGAGTTGCATAGTAACTTTTTAGCCAAAGGAGAATCTGCGAATGCTGTAAATATTTCCAGGGCCTTTTTCAGGTTGTGTTTCTTTCCATATAAACTAATCAAAGAACCAACTGTGGCATCATCCACTCTGCAGCCAAGCTTGGCCAATTGATTGATATGAGTTTCTGCTTTAAATGCATCACCTGCACGAAAATCAATGTCAAAACTGTTCCATTTCTTCAGAGGCATGGTTTAAGAATATCAAGAAAAAATTTACTCAGAGGTGAGTTGCATAAATAAGTATAATGTTTTACTGAAAAAATCGATAGCATGTATGTTGCTTGCCTTCTCTAATAAAGTTCTTAATGAGCTGACTCGCAATTGATAAGCCACTAGAAGCCTCAAGTAATGATGCTAGAACTTTTTCTGTCTCACTGATATTGCCATCTGCCAGATAGAGACTGAGCACCAGTCCAAGGGCCACAGTGTCATGCTGGTCAAAGGTCAAAAATTTCCCTTCCTTATGTTCATACATAGCCCAAGAAATTGTCTGGATGAATCTACTATCCTGGTATAATCCATTTGTACCCAGCTCTTCTACAAACTTTTCAGCATCTCTAAGCATTCCCTCCTTGCAATATACTCTCATAACTGTCCCGCAAAGTTCCTCATCCAAATCTACCCGGTCTCTTCTTATCTGGGCAATAAAATCCTTAGCCTTTTCGATTAAGTCCAGTCTTATATACAAATTGAGCATATCATTACAAGAGCCTGCATCAGGGAGTCCAGTCTTGGATAGAGCCTGAAATGTTACTTCAGCAGAACTCAGATCTTCCTTCATAACATAACACTGCAATAAGACAATATAAGCAAATCTTGAGAGCCAAATGTTTTTTCTAGACTTCATTAGTTCAATAACTTCTAAAGCTTTCTCGCAATTCCCTGAATTGAGATGGACTTGTGTCATTGCTAAATATGTTTTCTGATCACTAAGTAGACCCAGCTGCTCCATCTCGGTAAATGCTGTCTGAGCGTCCTCATAAAGACCAAGTTTTCCATATATTCTAATGAGCAAACCATAGATGACCTCATCAGCTGCAATTTTCTTCCTTTCCATTTCTGAAAAAAGAGAAAGGGCTTTGGAATAATCCTCCGTCTTGTAATACAATGTCAGAAGTGAAGCACAGGTGTAGTTGCTCGGGACTATTCCTAGAGACCTCATGTCTTCATATAGTCTTAGTGCTTCGTTATATTTGCCACTTTTGGTGCTTAAACTGATAAGCAAACTATAAGTTGCCTCCTCAGGAACAAATCCAGCATTCTTCAACTCAATGAAATTCTTGAGAGCCTCGTCATGGAGGCCTTCTTTGACGAGTGAGCAAATTACTACTGTATAAGTAAATTTATTAGGTACCACTCCTATGTCCACCATCTGCCTCCAAATTTCTATGACCTTTCCGTGGAGTGATTTCTTCTGCAAGGAGGACAACATGAAATTATAAACAGCAACAGAAAGCAGAATCTCCCTTTCCTGCACAGCTGAATAAAACGCCAGCATAGCCTTGTGACGTCCCCATCTGGCATATGTACAGAGCATGGTGCCACAAGCAACTTCATCAGGTTCACATCCAGATTCAAGCATCTCCAAGAAGGTTTGCTCAGCCAGCTTGATCTTCCCAACTTGGCCATATACACGCAAAACGATTGTGTAGACAATAACACTTGGGCGGTAGCTTAACTGTTAAAACATAAGGTCGTCTATCAATCATCACACATAGTATACACAGTAGTGTATTAATCCCACATACTCTAACTATACTTAGAAGTAAGGAAGAAGAAAAGCAAAGCAACACGAAAATTCAGCGTCTGTAGACTCTTTACCGTGAAAAGCACATATTTTTTATATTTATTTCTCTATTGAAAATTCACAAAAATCCACATGAAGTTGAAAAATTGATAACAAAAAGAAATGAGTAAACGTAGTAGTAATTAAATTAAATTAAATAAAAATAGAATGAAATGAAATGAAAGAGAGAGACAGAGAGAGAAGAGAAAAGCAGGAAACCTGCAATTTCATCCAAGAAAATAAGTCCCTGACTTGCCTCCAGCCCCTTTGCTCCTTGAGCACCACACACATTTCTCTAAAGCTGAGCTTCCCAACAAAGGAGGCCATGACGGTGCGCATGTCGTACTGTCCCTCGGCCTTCTCGGACAGCGCCCTGACGTGCTTGATGGCCGCCACCACGTGGCGACCGTAGAGGTGGCCGTTCCTGTCGTCCTGCAAGTAGCTGACCATCTGCTCGGGGGTCCTCTTAATCCATTTGGGGGTGTGGGCTTGTGGGCCCTGGTTCCTCCGGAGGGCGCTGAGGTAGTTGGCCTTGGCCTTGATGATGCGGCGGGCGTTGTCGTCGGAGAGGGGCTTCTTGGGGTTCTTGGACTTTGGTTTCGGGCGGTCCGGGTGGTTACCGTCGCTGAGAGACCAGGGGTCTGGCCTCACTGACGAGGAGGACGGCTTTACTATGATATTCATATTGACATTGGTGGTCATTTTAGGTTTCGTTGAGGTGGAGGTGGAGGTTAAGGATTTTAAGGCGGTGGTATTGGATTGGGAACAGTGGGAAGAGAGCAGTGGATTAGTAGTGCACAGGAAGGACGAGGAGTACGTTAGTGACTCCATTTCCGCGGGAAAAGCAGCACAAGAACCAACCGCTGCGACTCTACTCTCTGACGAGAGAGAGAGAGAGAGTAGACGGAGAGGGGATAATATTAGTGTTGTTTAATTAATTAATTAAGATCAGCCCGTACTTAATCTGAAATCGTAATCGTAAGTTTAAATTCACCTCCCTTAATATCTCACGAATATGTATGTATAAAAAAATATATATATATCAGTATCAGTACAGTATTTGCGTCCTCTGTTTCAGTTGAACTTCAAACTTCAGAGGTAGACTCCTGAACAGAGAGAGGAAGCGTCATGTCGTATGTTTATCATTCTAAAACTGTTTGTTTGTTTGTTCTTTTTTTAATTTCAAGACTTAGTTTGGCTGAAAAAAGAAAAACGTAAGCCAAATCGTTAGTCGTCATCTGGAAACCACCATATCATATACGAGTATGGAGGGGGCTCTCGAAACAAAACCGGACAATAATGACTGACAGAGAAAATAAGCAATAATTGGCATAAATGCAAGACGCCGTACAGAAGAAACTGTCGAATTGATTGTATGATTCTATTTGTAGTTGGACAATTCTCTTCACACTACATAATCCACTATGATTTCTACTACAACGGAGGCCCCTAAAAACCGTAAAATCAAAAAAAGAATTGGGATGAAAATTACAATAGCACATATTGGACATGCACGGCAAAACATTTGTCATAGCCAACCTCCTCCCCCAAGTATCAAAGCAACCAACAAGACTCGTGCTTATAACCTAAACTACATCCAGCTTGCGACAATATCTAATGACGGACGGTAAACATGAGGTGAGGGACCTATTAACTTCCAGCAAACTACTCTCCACAATATACAGATGCTAACATTATTGTCCATGGTGCTCATGCTTCACACGTGCTTTTAGTATTCCGGGAATAGGCGGCGAGGTGGGAGGCCTAACTGGTGTGTTTAACATCGAAGGAAGAGGGATCTGTGGCTGATACATGCTGGACATGCTACAACCTTCCCCTCCATCTGCAGTTAAATTTTGTGTCCCGTCATCAGCCTGTGGCCTTTCACAAAATTTCATTGCCTTCAAAACATAATTGTCATCATGGAGCTCAAATGGGGTGCTGCAAGCAAAATCAAAATATCAGAAAAAGATTGCAACCCTTTTTTTATTTATTTACAGTTTTGGAGAAATTATGATCCAAAAATTGCTTATTGAGCTATCACACAGACAGAGTTGATCACATTAACAGCACTTTGCACTCAAGTATTATACTACTGGTGGCTACTATCTCTACTTGTGTACCCAGCAGACAATGGTGTATAGATGTTACTACCAACTATCATTTCGCTCAACATAAGAATGAAAGTTACCTATTGAAGTCAAAATGCACCAGCTGCATATCTTCTGATATTTCCACCTCAACAGTTGCATGAGGGCGAGTCTATGGTATCCACATGTCAGGAACAACAGAAGTAACAAAGAATCAGATAACAATAAACTTGTCAAAAGGAATTCTGAAAGAAAACTAATCATGTAAAGCTAATCATATGCTTCTTGTTATATAGAAAAGGGTTGAAAGATGGCTGTTAGTTGTTATACAATGTGGTAGTAACTTATATCTTGTATCCAGCAGAAGGTCTGCATGTCTCATATCACAAATCATACATAATTTATTTCTCGAGTCAAGCTGAAGAACAAATGTCCCCAGCACCAACCAAATCATACCAACCCTTCAAACACAAACCATTTTGTTTTCATTCATCGTAACTTTAAAGAATACTGTATTCTAATCTGTTTCTCAGAATGCGTAGATGCAAGGGAAACATTGAGAAGAAAAGTACCTGCACAAGAATGAAAGGTAAAGCCACACCCCCGCTGAGCGCATCTCCAGAGTGGCATAATTGCTCATTCCGTTGTATCAGGTTTTGAAGGCCTACGTACTGATAAAAGAGCAAAGAAGTTAGTGTGTGCAGACACTGATCATGAGCATGGCACCATGTTCAGACATGGTTTCCCTGAACTATACTAGATTATTAATAATTAATAATTATAGTCCTCAAATCAAGAACATGCAAAAACCTAAACTGTGCCAAAGTTATGAAGCATGGATTAATAGACAATAGCTATTCATACTTGTTCCTCCAGCTCTTGCAGATATGACGCTTTCTTTTCAATCCTATTCCTCAGTCCCAGGCGCTCAGTCTGCATTTAATACATGTATAACTAGTTGTATAAGCTCAAAACTGTTCCAGGAATCCACTTAAAATACAACACATAAAATATGAACTGTAATCAGACCTTCAGTTCTTCAATATCATTCAGGCTTGTACGAGGCAAACCCTTCCATTGTATTTCTTTTTTATCTTTGGATATAATATCCATTGCCATAAGAACATTCAGGGCATCATATACTCTTCGCCTGATGTTTTTCTCGTCATATTGTTGCTGCCAAATAAAATTCAACACAAAGAAAAAAGGATTTTATTAGCAAGTTCCATTCCAAGTTTTCCCAGAAGACTGCAGATATATCAACCTAGTTATCAAACCTGATCAGGGGATGTAACACCATTGCTAGGGTCAGCGAACTCTGCTACAAGTTCATCCGCAACCTGGAAAGTACTTTAAACTCTTAGGTTTACGACTATACTTAAAATTGATTGGTGGACCATGAAAAACGAAATATGATATAAACTTCAACGAGAAAATAGTGATAAATGAGGGCCGAAAGAACAGCTGTTTACATGCAGATCTTGAGAACCGCTATTTTTGATCTGTTACATTTAAACCACATCACAACACTCTTATAATGCTAACACACTGCCTAATGAGTCCCCTTCCTCCAACTTTATCACCATTATCCCGAAACAAGCATTTGATAAATTACTCCCACAAAAAAACAACATGGCTTTTAAATTATGTTGACACTTAAAATGTGACCTCTGAGATTATACCATCCTCAGTAGCAATAAGGTCATGCATTTGAACCCAAGGACTTCACAAAAATTAGAACTTGCAAGAAGAACAATAAATACAAACAATAAAGGTGACTTCAAGAAACCACCTAACCTCATTATAAGTGGTTCTTCCCTTGCTCTCCACTTTCTCACACACTGAGCACAAGCAACAAAGAATCAACATATAATCCGAGGAGCAAGTACAGGGGCATGAACAGAACAAATAACAGTGTCCATCCAAGAGAGCACAAGCCAAAATTCATTATATAGATTACAATGCCCACTTAAAAAAATTCATAGGTTGCAAAAATAAACCACCTTTTTGGAAGAAAAAATACAATGTAAATGGAAATAAGGTAAGATAAGACAGCGTTCAATACAAAACCTTTCATGCTAAATTGGCGTAGTCCTCTTCCACTCTTATCGCCTGCTACAGCCCGTTGGCCTCTCTTTTTCTTCTTGCTACTGTTTAAAGCAACAATCATTTAGGAAGATTAAAGAAATTAAAGAAGTGCTGTGAAAGAATCAAATTCTTGTCCGCTAGAATCAACCTCCATTGTCAAACAAAAGTTGTACAAAAATTCTGTGCACCATTATGATTAAAAAGGTGCAGTTAAACCATAACTTAGCAGCATAAAGTATAGTGCTTGTTAACTCAATCTATTGGTGATGAATAAGCCGAAATCAGAACGTTGAAACTAAACAATGTGGATGCATTACGTACACATAGATAAATGTTATGTAGATATGCATCAGAGGGCTCAAATAAAACTATGAAATAAATACATAAATAAGAAAACAAATATACAACCCAAATAAAAGGCACGACAAACTTCGTGCCCTAAGGTCTGAATCAGAAAGCGAGAAGCAAAATCAGGAAAATAGGAAGGTAAAGAAAACAAGGGGTGGGGATTAGGGAAGGGATGAGTGACTAACCCAACGGCGCCTTGGGAGCCAGCATCGTCGCCGTGAACGTCGGGATGGTTCAATCTGAGAAAATTGGTGTCGCCGGCGGGTGTGGCCATGGTCTGCTCACTGCGGCTGGAGGGCGAGCCCACGCTGCCGCTCATCGACACCGACTGACCCGCCATGTCGTCGTCGACGTCTGCTCGCTCTCGGCTCGGTTGCTGGGACCTTGTCCCCATCCTAATTCCTATCGCACCACAATCTGTAACAATCTGTCTTAACCTGTATTGTGTAGGGGACCAAATCAATCTTTTTGCTTCAAATTGATTCTTGGAGTTGATTGAATTCAGCTCAACTGAGAGTCTTTGCAGTTTTTGCCTGTTTCTCTTGATCCTTGTTCAAACCTCTTTACAAGTTCACAACAAGAAGAAGGAAGAAGAAAGTGAATTCTTCAATCAGTCCCAGTCCAAAGATACCCCTAAAGCTCGCCAAACCACATGCCCAACTAAACTCTACTACATGTAATTTTCTTTTTCTTTTTTCTTTTGCCTCCTTTTTTATTTATTTATAACAATTATTCTCTATTAAAACTTAAAAAGAAAAAGTTCAATGCTAAATTTTTCTGTATTTGTATTTTTTACTCACTAATCAGTAAAATAATAATAACAAAATTTTAGTAGATAAGACGCTTTTCTTCCAAAATAAAAAAAAATGTAGAACCCAAGTGGATTTGGTCTAGTAGAAATTGAACGGGCTATACCGCACATGTTGGGCGAATGTGATCGGTATCCTCAATGAGGTCCGAGTTTGAACATCTGCATTCATGCTCGGCTCGGAAAGGTGACACTCCTGCCACCTTTTTTTGTAACCCAAAAAAAAGAAAAAGAATTAGAGTTAAAAAGAAAAAAGAGTAACCGAATACATCTACGGTGCTGATTCTTTCTCAACTCGATATACCTACCAACACTACAACGTGAACATCTTAATTCGAACAAACGTTTGCAGAGGCAGGTGATTAATTGTTAATTCCCGCGTGCCAAGTGCATTACGACATTAATTAACAAAGTAGCCTAGGTCGAGTTCCGTTAGCCCAAAAAAAGGAGCGTAGTTGAGTCCAGGCCGCCAAAACGACAGCGTAAAAAGGAGCTACTGAAAACTCCTTATCTCGATGGCTGGGTCCACCTCGACCGGCGGGAGCGGCCCGTCGAATCCTCCCAAAATCCTACTAGCAAAGCCGGGACTGGTGACGGGGGCTCCGGTGGCGGGTAAATTCGGGCGCGCCGGTACTGGGGATGAGTATACGACGTCGCTTCGGTCCCGTCTCCCTTCTTCTATCGGATCCCTCAACCTCCTCTCTGATTCATGGGACTTCCACATAGACCGCTTCCTCCCGGTAACAATGAAACCAATTTCACATTCTCATAAAAAAAGTCGACTCTTTGTTCATTATATATTATTGGTATTTGTGAATTTACAGCGAGTTGTGACTGAAATTGCAGTTTTTGACTGAGAACACGGAGTTTACGGTGGTGGGGGTGATTGGTCCGCCTGGGGTGGGCAAGTCCACTATTATGAATGAGCTTTATGGCTTCGATGCGACCTCACCTGGTCACTCCTGACTCTCCTTCTATTTCCTAATGTCTTTGCTTTTGGTGCTCTGCTTTGTGTATGTTTTTCTCTTTCTCTGAAACTGCATTTTGATATTGATAAAAGAAATTGAATTGCAGGAATGTTACCCCCATTTGCTATAGAGACGGAAGAGGGTAAAGCCATGGCAAGGCATTGCAGCATGGGCATTGAACCCAGGGTTTCTGCTGAACGCCTTATACTTCTTGATACCCAGGTTCTTCCTCTTTTTATACCTAGCTTGTTCTAGTCTAGAATTCAATCTGGAATATCATATTTATGTAAATGAGTTACTGAGTATGATCAAGTCTCCTCTTTTCACTGCCAGCCTGTTTTTAGTCCTTCTGTTTTAGCTGAGATGATGAGACCGGATGGCTCGTCCACCGTTCCTGTTCTAACTACTGCTGAATCTTTATCTGCTGAGTTAGCTCATGAACTAATGGGTATTCAGGTAACTACAAACACAAAATAATAGAGATCTTATGTATTTATTTGTTATAGGATGGACGTTTAATCAACTTATCCTTTTATTTTCTGGGTACTGCAAGCAATTCTTCTAGCTTGGTGTTCTTCTGACCTCAATCTGTCACATTTTGCTGGTTATATCAGAGGGAGTTCATGATCATAGTATGTGGCGTTTGATGTCCACGGTATTTTCTCTCATCTTCATTATGACTTGTTATATTTCAATCTGTTTTTTAATACAATTATTTCCAAGCAAGTTGTTTCTGTTAGATCCACCTTTTATTTTTCTTCACTCACTTCCTAATTTTCATTTGAAACTTTCTGATACTCCAATATTTATTTATTTCATTGTAAAAAAATCCTTCATCCTGTATTAACTGAATGTAATCTGCATGCGGAAGCTTTGAAACCGCATTCCCTCAAAGTTCTAAGTTGTCTTGTTGGTTTCTTCAGTTTTTTCTCACTTTCAATTATCAGAAATTTCATAAAATCCTTGCATGACATGATCTGAGCCCTAGGATTATGTTATCTGACTGCAGGTTGACCTTTTGAAACATGGCATACCTGATCCATCTTCACCAACCCTTTCCAATTCTCTGAGCTCTAATATAGGGCCTGAAAAAGATAGCAGAGATAAAGCTCATGAAGGTGGAGAATATATGGCTACACCAGTTTTTGTGCACACAAAGTGAGTAAACTTTAAATACTGTTCCTCTTTAATTAAAGTGACAATGTAATAATACAAAATTGTGTTCTTACTTGTTAATAGACTACGGGACCATGATCTTAGTCCACATAATTTTGGGCAACTGAGGAAGGCACTTGCACAATATGTCAGCACCTCTTCTTTCATGAGACCAGAAAATGGAAATATGTCCAAAAGTCGTGATCCAGATTCTATGGCTCCTGGTACTCAAAGTCGCGATCCAGATTCTTTAGTGCCAAGTTTCTTTGTAATCCCAACAAAGAATAAAGATGACTCCCCAGGAGATCAGTATGAAAGTTATACCTCTATGCTATGGAAATTGCGGGATAAGGTCTCTCTCTCTCTCTCTCTCTCTCTCTCTCTCTCTCTCTCTCTCGTCTCCGGAAATTTAGATGCATTCCATAACACCAGCTGTAAGAATATTTCCTCTCTTTATTCAGGTTTTGTCCATGAATTCTCCTCCTTTTGGAAGAACTGTGAGTGAACGTGAATGGTTGAAGAATTCTGCCAAGATATGGGAATTGGTGAAGAACTCTCCTATCATTGCAGAATACAGCAGAACACTTCAAAGTTGTGGAATGTTTAGGAGATAGCTCCAATGGTTTATGCTTGCCTCTCTCAATTCTCAAGGACATACAATGTTGGTTTGGTCGATTAATTAGTCATAGGCTAGCATGCTTTTCTAACTTTTGTCATCTATCTCATTAAGCACTAGTGTCTGGTTTAGTCCTTGTGAAGGAAATTGATACTAAGAATTATTTGATGTTTTTTTTTAATCGGCACAGATTCGATGATGACTTAGTACTCCCGTTTTCCTTTTCTTGCTTGGTGGTTTGTGTTTTTTAATATTTATTCATGGTAAAGCAAGGCCAAAAATGAATATGGAATAACAAGAATGGCATTGAAACAGAGGATTAAATTGCGCAAAAAAAATCCATTCCAATTTGGTGAACATTAACTTTTAACTAGTAGAATTAACCCCTCAACTTAATCCATGGTTTATCTTTCCTTCCGTGATGTATTATCAACAAAAAGAAAATTGGGGGATGATACGGCAAATGATTTTATACTTGAAATGAAAAGTGCAAAGCACCCAGACGGCAAATTTCCGTCTAAAACTCTGATTTCCAATTAATTATAAATAAATAAAAAACAGTACATGGGTACAGTGTTCGCAAATTATCTCATCAGCTAGACAACAGAACAGGCTACTCTAGCATTGCATTTGCATCCAGTGAAGCTTCAGCAGTAGCAGCAGGCTTTGAAGAAGATTTTCCTTTGTTCCTACCTGTCCATTGAGAAAAAAAGTTAGAAATGAACTTGACATTTAAAGCCAACAACATATGATATGAACTAAACTAGGTGGTAAGGTAAGGTACCTTTGCGCTTTAGTTGTTTAAGCTTGAGGCCCTTCTTCATGGGAAACTTTGAACAAGTTTTCTTGGTGTCTGTAGATTCTTCTCCACCTACAAAACAAACAAACAAGCAAACAAACAAACTTACATCAGCTTCAAATTGAAATGCAGACAACCTTTGTTTGTTTATAACAGTGTTTAAATTTAAAAGAAACAAGTCACATAAATTATTGAAAAAAATCGGAGATACCATCAGCAGCAGCCATTTCGACATCTTGCATAGTTATTAGGCCCTTTTGCACAGCCTCGCTCTGATCCTGAAATCAAATTATTAATCACACAATTCAACAAATATAAATATGGTTAATCAGACTGATTTTGATAGAGCAAGCAGGCACCAACACCAATACCAAATACAAGTTACAAAAACATAAAGAAAACAAACGTACTCTACGCCATTTTTTTAAGAGCTTGCGCTTGCGCTTGCCGGAGATAGAGAGGGGCTGGGGCTTGTTCTTCAGCTTCCCAGTGGATGGGTCTCCGTGAACTGCTCTCTTCCTCTCTGCATTCTGCGCTCTCTTCCTCTTTTGCACCTCGTTGAACTTGGCCATCTCTTTTCTTCTCTTCTCTTCTCTTCTCTCTCCCCTTCCTTCCTACCTATTAAAACCCTAGCAATCCTCCTCCTCCTTTCCCAATTCCAATTAAATTAAACACTTCCTTCCTTGCCCAAGGTTCTGCGACGGCTCATCTGGATTGGGCCTACCCAGCCCAATATAAGAAAAGAAGAAGCTAATTTCCCGAGCCCGAGGCCCAAAGAATTATTGAACTCCAACCACACCCAACACTTGAAAAATTACCGACTTTCCAATTTTAAATAAATAATTTTCTACTTTTTAAATAAGATGAAGCGAATTTCCGTCCTTTATGTTTATGTTGTTTAATTTAAAACAAACGGTTAGTTGGAGAATGTTGTAGAGTTTGAGACAATTTGAGGTGATATGTTATGTTACCAAATGTTGAAAAGCATTGTTTAGATTAGATGAATGCATGATCTCAAGATAACACAGCAGCTCATTATTCATAACAAAACACACAATCTGATAGAACCAGACCAGAATGTGTCACTCAGGACAGTAATAATTGAGTAAAATGGTAAATACACAACTGCAGCATGCCAGCAGCCATAAAAATGAAAATGGGGAAAAAATAAAATAAATTCCCTTATAATCTTCATCATATATAATACATTTTAAAGAATATTCGTTCATACATGTGACATCATATTTAGGTGAAGTATAATATATAACAGACACGAATGCTGGTATGTCAACTCTATATTAGGACTCAAGCTCATGAGGGACTAATAATGTTTGGTTACAACACCAGAACAGTAGAACGGTATATTCCGATTCGCTCCCCCTCCTCCTCCATATCAGAAAATGGAGGGGAGGGGATGATATATGAACCAGATTTCTGGCTAAACCCGTCAGTGGTAGGGAAGGGAATAGGAGGACAAAACCAACCCTAAAGGCACTTGGCCTCAATTTCCTCAAGTGTAAGCCCCTTTGTCTCTGGGACAATGAAGAAAATGAACACAAGAGATGCCACAGCTATTGCTCCAAATACATAAAACAAAATTCCAGCTCCCAGCAATACCTGTAAATAATCACAAATCAAATCATATTACAATCTCTCTCTGTCTTAATCAAACAAATTATTGACAGGGCTAATCCATCGGTAAGTAAAACATACAAACCACAGCAAATGGAAGAAAATGCAATGCAAACATGGCTCAAAATCTTAAGCACCTTGAGAGGGGAAAATGCAAATGTCACCAGCGCATTTGCAGCAAAATTCACAAGCACTGCTATACTGAGTCCTCGCCCTCTTAATCGTAAGGGGAAAATTTCTGATATCATTAGCCAACCAATGGGACCAAACGATAACTGCAAATTTAATTTCATGGGTTACACATTTTTGTGGTCCAACACTAAAACCTATCAAAAATAAGAAAACAAAAATTTGTATACTAAAAAAATACGAGCTTCTTACAGAAAAAATGAAATGCAATTAGTTTATATATACACACACAGAGTATGGTATATATGTGTGCGTATTCTCTAATAAAATTAGCATCATTATATAAACCGTAGATTATACTATGATACTATGATGCTACGATGTGGGTTTATGTCAAGAAAGAAGAGATTACCTGATAACACCCAACATACAACAGCAGTGCAACTACAGCGGTAACTGGGGCATTATCAAAGAAAAGGTAATATGATCCCAAAAGGAATAAAGAGATGACCTGTCACATAAACAAGACTGAATCCGATAGAATATATGGTCTCTTGAATTTGATAAACAAGTTGAATGTTGTCTCTGCAGATCTCAAGATAGTAACAGAAAAACAAAGAAACATAGAAACATCAACCCAAGAGGGTACTTACCATCCCCGAAACACCTCCAAGTAGTAGAGGTCTCCTCCCAAGTCTATCAACAACAAGAACAGCGGCTCCAGTCATTATCAACTACAACAAGAAAATAGCAAGTCAGACATATCTGTTTAGAAGGTCAATTTCTTCAATAGGAAATAGGCACACTTTTTCAACCGAAAAATAAGAATAAAATTATAGGGAAATAATGTGATCAATAATGAAGACATGCATCTAACTGGGGAAAAATGCTTCTTGATAACAATAATAATTGAAAAATAATAATAATTTAGAAAATATACCTTGAAAACACCAAGTAAAATTGAGACCCGTGTTGCATCAGATGCTTCAGAGAATCCTGCACTCTATTAAATTATATGGGTTAGGAAGAGAGACATTTTCCTACGAAACCCCTGTTAGTGATAACCTCTTCAATAATGTCCAATATCTAAGTTAGCAGGGTACCTGAAAAATCGATGCAGCATAATACAGCACACTTGGTTGCCCTGTAATCTGTCATAGTATAGATGCCATGTATAAGCCAAAGTTGGCAATTGATCACATCATATCATATTCATTAACCAACTGAAACTACCTGTTGGAACAACACTAATCCTGCACCAATCACAAGGGCTTTCGCACATTTTCCATGAAACATCTCGCCTAATGAAGCTTCTTTCTCTTCACCAACATAAGAAAGCTCAGCCAGCATCTCATCCACTTGTGCAGGAGCTGAATCACCAATAGATGTACCCCTAAGCCGGCACAAGCAAGAGATTGCAGTCTCTTTTAACTCATGCATATTTCCTCTTCCCTGTATGGCACGCAGAAGGATCCATCTAGGTGATGCTGGTAGCCACCACATTCCAATTCCCATAATTACTGCCAAAGGGATAGCCGCTGCGTACATATAGCGCCAACCAGCAACTGTGTCAACTAAAAGGCTACCAATTCCGTACCCTCCCTGCAAAACATTGAGGGTGGTTACGATATATATATATATATATATATATACCAATTAAATAGATAGAAATTTCGAAGAATAAGATACAAAAAAGAAAAAAGGAGAAAGATTGCAAATCAGCTTTGAGTTGGCTTGGTTGCATGTCACAACAGTAAAAAAATTCAAATTCTCAGATGCCATGTTGAAGCACTTACAACCATCCCAAGTACTATAAAGAACTCTTTAAGAGATATCAGTCGACCTCGTATCTCACTTGGAGCTGTCTCAGCAATATACATCGGAGCAGCATGCATTGCCTAAAAGAAAACAGACTCAAAATTTATACATCTTCTTATTTTCTTTTTTGAAAAAAAATGAGCCAAGTATTGTTTTGTGTTGAAAAAAGCACTGTATACTTACCAGTCCAATTCCTATACCAAATACAAAGCGCCCAATCACCATAACAGGCAAGTCAGGTGCTAATGCGGTTACTAGAGCTCCAAGAAGATAAAATATAGCAGCCAAAATCAACTCCCTCCTTCTTCCTTTACAAAGATTCATCATTCAAACCTCATCAATAATGGAGGATATTTTTAAGTTTATTTGTATAACTTGGAATGTATTTGAAAAACCAACCTAAAAAGTCGGCAACATTAAAGGCCAGCACAGATCCAATCAAGGCACCATATAATGAGCCACTAGTCTGGAAAAGGAACCATGCACAAATTTAATGACACAACGTTTGGGTGCCGAAGAAACATTTAGCAGGAGCAGGCAGAACAAAAATAAAAAGATACACCCACGGAGATTTCAGTAGTTACAAGTAATTTGTGTTGTTAACTTACTATGAGACCAATTTCCACAGACGACAAGTTGTACCATGATATTCCACTTGATGTGGGTGACTGCATTGAGTGAATGAAAGCAAGAAGGCAATTAGTTGGATTATCAAGTCTAACCAGACCAAAATTTCCACATAAGAGTCAGTCACTGTAATGAAACAAATATCCATCAAAATATGTTTTAGCTGAATTATCTGTTAAGTTTTCACTCAATGAGTAACCATGTATACCTCTACGGAGATTGTGGCACAACTGGTGGCACCGATATCATAACCGTAAAGTAGTCCTCCAAGAGCTGGGAATAGAAACCTGAAATCATTAAGGAAATCTGTAAAGCATGAATAACATGATTTATGTACAAAGTTTTCAGTTAGATACAAAACCAATTACAACATCAGTTAATCCTGTACTAGCAAACTATTGATACAAGTCAAGATAAAGCCAAGCAAAATAATTTGTGCGGAGGTGTATAAAATTGGCCAAGCGCTTCTTCTCTTGGTTGGCCAAATGACAAATTAAACAGAAAAAACAGGGCGAGGAACAAAAACTTTTCAGATATGAATTCATTTCAATCATATAGAACAGTTTTGTATTATTTATACTTATTCAACACCGTGCAGAGAAATTGTGTGATAGGAAACAAAGATCTATCGACTGCCAGTGCGACTGCCTCCCATGGATAGGTAGGGATTACCCCCCACAAGACAAGAGGCATGACAATCTTTAGAAGCACACCTTGTGATAAATCAGAACAGATCAACTGAAAAATAATACTCACGGTAGTATCGCGGCAAGAACAGAATAGTTTTCTGAATTGTGAACCCCATTAAGAAGAGGCTCCTGTGCATCGCCAAGCTCACCTGAAGAACCCCCCTGAAAAATGGCAATGCACTTCAACAACTTCGAATGCAGACATCTAAAACAAACAATCACACTAGAGGCGTTTACAGAGAAACCAGTGGAGCAGGAACAATAGGATAGTATATATGTGTGTGTGTATTGTTATGGTATTCTGGGTCAGCTCTCAAATGAGCCAAACCAAATAATTTCATTTGTACTCCATAGACGCCCTTTTCGTTCTCATGCGACAAAAATTATTACTTCTGATTCTCAACGCAACCAAACAGAACATAAATGTCAAAAATGAAAAGAATCAATAGGTAGTATCGAATACAAATGACAATAAAAATGTCGAAATCCTTGTCACTTACATGTGGTTTTTCTTTTTATCTCTCAGTTCATTTTCCTACACTTTGTCAGGCATCAAACGTAAATTGAACTAACCTGATACGAAACACCAAGTCAAGATACCAAAACCCCAACTTAACCCTGTTTGGTGTTCGAGCAAAGACGAGAGAACAAAAACAAATTTGTAAATTTTTTGAATTTGATCACTCTAAAGTGCAAAACTTCATGTTGTTTTGGTTCAATTCAACGTTTTTCAATTTGTAATGACCCTTCTCAGTGAGAAAACAGACACAACGTAAGCACCAGAAGAAAGAAAGAAAAAAAGAAGAAGCAAAATTGTATTGAATTGAGAGTAGAAAATGAAACCTTTTGGAGAGAAGAAAGCCGGGGCTGCTCAGGATCGGACGCCATTGGTAGAGCTACGAAACAGCGTCAGAAATGATTGTAAAGAAGGAAAGCAAAGCGAAACTGAGTAATGAAGAGCGCGGTGATTGGAAACAAAAAGATGGCAAGTGGGAGGAATTCTAAATTGAATGGAGGTGACGGGTAGTTTCACGCCGTTAATGCCAACAACGAAGAAGTTGAGTTTTTGAGTTGTGTCTGTCTGCTGTTGGTCAAGGACTCTTCAGTTTCAAGGTTTCGACCTATGAATGACTTGTGAAATTTACGAGTTTTGTTATGCTGTGTTTTTCCTTTTTCACGTGGGAATTGATTGAGAAAGTTACCCAAACAAGAGGAGGTGATAATAAAAGGTCATATGTTGATGTTGGTAGCTAGGTGAACAAATGCAGGTGCAGCAGTCACGCAGGTGCAGAAGAAGTGATCAAAGAACGGGGGTTGGACTGCGCATCAGCAACAAAGTAACCCATTATTGTTGGTTGGGCTCCTTGTCTTACACAATTTGCGTCTACGATTATTAAACGGCCCGGCTAGCTCAAATGGTTAAAAACAATTAATTATGCTTAAGAGGTCTTGTGTTTAAAACCTCATACTCACTAACATTTATGGTTTTTTTATATATAAAAAAACCCTTTAATCAACGTCATCCATTCGAATTTGTCTTGATGAAAAACAATTTGCACATCAAGTTCAAAGTTGTAATCCAAACCAACAGTGTCCTCTTTGTTTTTGTTTTGGGCACAAGGTTTCATAATCATTTTCATTGCAAGTAACCGTGTCTAGAATATTAGAGAAGCATGGCGCGAAGACCAGGAGGCCCTCCTCCTCACCTCGATGTCAAATTGTCAATACATCACGGTGCTGATATGATAATGACGGGATGGAATGGAAGTGACTGGAAGAAAGTTTTGTGTTTGTGGTGAAGGACTTGTGTCTTGGCTCGTTATTAATTTTACACGTATTCAGTCGAAACTCAACAAACAAAATTATGTCTCGACTTGTAAGCTCATCCTTCACTAGCTTATTAGGCCAACTCGTGGTGAGTGTTTGTGAGATGATCTCAAATCAAATCCATTCCACACATGATTTGTCCAGATGGCCAGATAGTCAACCACGCATTGTGTGGCAAGGGATAGAACTCATATTTGCCCAACTAATCACACAATAACAAAGAGCATTCATTCATTGAACTATCAAGTTTAACAGTGTCATTTCCATACAGCAGCAAACATTACAAAAGATTCACAGCTAACACAAAGTACAAGCCATTTTATTAATCGAATACAGACCAGAATACTGTAAGATTTCTTTCAAGTTTGACCACGAATGTGCCATGATAATAACTCAAGGCTTGGTTGGTTGCCACGGTTGGTACCTGGTCCAGTCTCTCTGGCCTGGATTCAGGCTGTGCCCTTTGGAATGGTATATAAACTCATCACCCTCACCAGTGAAATTTTCTTTGTGTTCAATGCCATACCTCCTTGGTCTTAGCATCAGAAGCTGCAACCAGTTCACTTATTTGTTAGCTACATGCAACATGTTTTTCACAGCATAAGTCATCAAATAATATGGAAGCATGACTTGCCTCATCCCCTGTACGATCAGTTATGTAGTGCAGCCAACCATGCCATTCTGGTGGTACTTGAGAAGCGTTGTAGCGACCCTTCTCTGCATATTCAACCCACCTGTGTCTTCCTGTAAAATCCCTCAACTGAATCAGTAAGCTCTGAGCATGCATATACCACAATAACCTTGAAGCAATGGAATACTTTGAAGAACTTCCTAGTGCATCAAAGAGGAAAAAATGGGCCATTTACTAAACCACTCTAATCTAAACACATGTGGATGTGGTGAACTCTGATGTACCAAGGCATGTAAGCATCCGACTAAGAAGTGTTCAATTGCATGGGCAACCTTTCTTATAACAAATATGGGACCTTTGTTAAAATCGGTTTGGCAAACAAGACCGTCAAACCACTTTCATTGATGGACAGAGAAAATTTTCCCACTTCCCAGGAAAATAAAAGTATCTCTTCACTCTTTTTAAAAAGAGGAATAAGGATTTGACAAGATCCATAAGATGAAATTTACCAAGGATTATTTCACGATTTGATCATGGCCTGTGCTTGGAAATGCGAATGGATGACAATGTCACAAATCCAATGCAATGCAGTAAAGAACCAATATTCTTATTGCCATAGTAAGAAAAGCATCAGAAGGGGGGAAATGAAGAAACACTGACCATATTGAGTGTCAAGCTTCTCATAATATTTGTTGCCAATTTTATCAACACCTACAAGCCTTGCCCCAATGTTGTGGATTTTAGTTTGCCTAAAGCAATCAAACAAAAATTTGTTAGATATGCTAAAGATAAATACTGATGTTATATACATATAATACCTTTGAAAATAAAATAGAAAGAAACCGCTCAGGTCAAGGCAGCAACAGATGAACCCCTCACTTTGTACTCTTGTCCAACAATGTCATAGAATTGTGTTCTAAATAAATCCTAAAAGCTTTTCTTTTACAAAATCAAAATAAACCCTGAAAGTTTTAGTCAAGGTCCTATAACTTCACTTGCACTTCTACAGAATCCGAACATTACATCCCAATAAATAGCCATTGAGAACGTCGAACCACCCTCAAAGACACAAATACGAATTGGGATGGCCTTCCTTAGATGGGAGAAATCCTTTTGGGGCTTCCAAGTTCCAATTAGCCTACGAGTGACAATTCAATGTTTTATGGTCTCCTTTGAATAACATGCCATATAATTCTCTGTAGAATTTCAATGTAAGGTTAAACTTTAACAAGCATGGGATAGTTTGTTGAATAGGCACAGAACCTGGGATAGTTTCACAAACATGACTTTCTCAAAACCTTTTAAAAAAGAACTAAAATCTAAATATTGTAAAAATAAACTTATGCTTCTTTGTTAAACATACTAAGTAACAACATTTCAAGAATAAGGGAAATAATATGACTTACAGGAGGTTTCCATCGAAAATGCAGTTTCTGCAAGATTTGGAACAGTATAAACAGTCAACACAGTATAGAGATATAGTCCCAAAGAAAAATATCAATTTAAGAGCCATTCAAACAACTACAAAAAGACATCTTAGGGAAGCCATATATCAGAAAGTGCTCCAGAATCCAACCATGCCAGCAATAATTGAAACAAAAGGTATCATCCCTGAGTGCCAAACAGTAAGTTTTATGAAAAAAGTTTTAGCCTTTAAGTTGTTTTCTTTCCTACATTTTCCTAATCCTACCAAGCCAACAGATTTACATCAGATAACAGACCAAATAATCAGAACCCGCTTAGCGATTCGAAAGTGCTTTCCAAAAATATTGTTTTGCAGATAATTCTTTCGCCAATAGTAAGCTAAATTCATAATTTTCCCACTATTTTGATTATTTTCCTAAGAATTCTCGGAAACCAAACAAAAATAAAATTAACCTTCTAGGAAACAATTTGTACCTTTGGTCTGCGTTTGGTCGCTAAGAGAAATGTAGAAAGAAAAAAAAACAAAAGTCGAATTCAAAGTCTCATTACTGCCATCCCACTTTGATTTGTCTTCCATTTCTCAGGTATCAAAGAGGATAAATCGGATTCAGGCATACTAGTTATGATGAGAAAAACAGAAGAAAAAAAATATGTTCTTGGCAGCCAAACGCATACAGCCAAGAAGCAAAAATTAGATCTTTGACATCCCAAAAGCATTGCATTAACAAAAGAAAATCCAATTAAAAAGGAAAGATAGGGAGAGAGAACATACGCGTAGCCATCTTCCTTTAGCTCCTTTAAGAAGGTGCGGAGACCTCTCTCTCTGATCGCCTTCACAACGCTCTTCACCACCGTCGCCATATCGCTCGTTCGTTCTCTCTCTCTCTTGCTCTCTCTTATTTTCAGCAGATAGGGCCACAACAAGCCCACGACACGAGATTGGAAAGCTGGGCCAGGCTTTTAATATCATCTTAGTCTCAGCCTCATGAACAAGTTCGATGGGCTTGGATTTATCTTTGGTTGGGTCGGTACAAACTGCGGTCGGGTATTTGGACTTTTCTTACACGTGGAACTTCCTCATTGGGTAGAGCTACATCATTTTTGTTTTCTTTTTCTTATTGGTCTCTCAGAAAATAAAAGAAACCTAAGCCGGGAGGGAGGGAGGGAGGAAGGAACAGAGAGCCCGAAATTTCAACAGAACGAGCTTGTCAGAGGTACTCGGTTGTTTCGAATTTTATGACTTTTCATTTGTTTAGATGAAAATATTATTCAGTTCAGAAAATTCGATTTCAAATTTCTGATTTTGATGTTTGCTTATGGCTCATCTCATTAGGATCTTTCTTTTCTTTTGCTTCCTTAGGATAAATGATTTCATTGTTTTCAGTGACTATAACTCTTGGTTCTTCGGGAGTCTGTTTGGCTGCTAAGAAACTGAATGAGAAGAGAGAAGCTTTATAATTTTTGGGTTTTATTTGAATTCTAGGTCTCGAATCGATGGTATTATTAACATTCTTAAATCTATATCTTTCTGGAAACCGGATGAGAAGCTTATCAATTGTTGTGGTGTAACAGCACGTTGAGGAAAATGATGAGGCTGCAAACCTATGCGGGGATTAGCTTGGTAGCAACTCTAGCGATTATTTATCATGCATTTAGCAGTAGAGGCCAGTTTTACCCGGCCATGGTTTATTTATCAACCTCCAAGATCAGTTTGGTGCTGCTTCTCAACATGGGTCTGGTCATTATGTGTACTATGTGGCAATTAACTAAAAAGCTCTTCCTTGGATCACTCCGAGAAGCCGAGGTGGAGAGGCTTAATGAGCAGTCATGGAGGGAAGTCATGGAGATCCTCTTTGCTATTACTATTTTCAGGCAGGACTTCTCAGTCTCCTTTCTTGCTATGGTCACAGCTCTGCTGTTGATCAAGGCTTTGCATTGGTTGGCTCAGAAGAGGGTTGAATACATTGAGACTACCCCATCCGTGCCCATGCTCTCTCATGTTCGGATTGTCTCCTTTTTGGGATTCTTGCTTGTTGTAGATAGTCTCTTTTTGTACAGTTCAATTAGCAATTTGATAAAGACACAAAAGGCTTCGGTTTCCCTCTTCTTTTCATTTGAGTAAGTGATCCATCTTAATGCTTCTTATTTCTGATTCTTTTTATTCATGTTTAGAACACGCTAGTCATTATTTGATTTAATTGAAATCATTAGGCATCTTTTTATGTAATAGTTAATATTGCGTTTGACTTCAGTATATTGGAAATGGCTGGAGCAACTCTACTATGTAAGGATATTAGTTTCTTCTTATGCTTACAGTTTTAACTTAGGCTTGGAAGTAGCCAGTAATCTCGTTGCATAAAGTGGTTGGTAGGGTGACTGATATGATGGTGGGTTGAACAAAGTATGTATGTCCCAGTAACGATGGGCAATAGGGGAGAATTAAGAGTTGTGATAGGATTACAGGGAAAGCCTTGGATATTAACATTCGTGTACTGTTGACTTGTCTCATTCATGATTTATTTCCGTTGCAAATCATATGGATAAGTAATTGTGTATTAGTTATTGAAAAAGATTTGGATATAGTTATCAATTTATGCATTCTTCAGTGTTTCTCATTTTAAAATGTCTATCCTTTTGTATCTCAGGTACATGATACTAGCGACAACGACGGTGTCAACATTTGTGAAATATGTTTTCTATGTTAGTGACATGCTTATGGAGGGACAATGGGAGAGGAAGCCTGTCTACACATTTTACTTGGAACTTATTCGGGACTTGCTCCACTTATCCATGTATCTGTGCTTCTTTCTTGTGATTTTCATGTGAGTGTCCTGTCTATCTTGAGTTTTAAATAAGTCGCTTATGTACACAATTTTTTTGCTAAATATAACACACATAAGTTGCTTATGCACCCCTTTGAGGACAAAAGTGATATTGGCCCACTTCATGATAGCTTAGACTTTTGAGAACGTGTTTGGCTCAATCTGTGTTGAATTCATCATGTTTGGCTCCCTAGTGGTGGAGAGAGACCCACATGTGAGACGAAATGTTAGAATATGAGACAATAGTGGGCCCACATCCTACCCGATTTAAGTTTTAAGCTTGTCGGAATTGTGGTAATCAACATATTTTCTTGTTGACTTGCATAAGTTGAAGTTGTTCTATCTTTATTGACATTGAGTTTTGTCCCATCCCAGGTACTATGGTGTGCCATTGCACTTAATACGTGAGCTCTATGAAACATTTAGGAACTTTAAGATTCGCGTTGCTGATTACGTTCGTTATCGAAAGCTCACTTCGAACATGAATGATCGATTCCCAGATGCCACGCCTGAAGAGCTTAATGCGTAAGTGTAAAGCCTCTTATTAGTTTCAAGTGTTTTATTTTATGTTAACTTCTAATTCTGCATGTTAGAGTCTTAGTTCTTTATGATGGATATGCAGAAGTGACGCAACTTGCATCATTTGCCGTGAAGAGATGACAACAGCTAAGAAACTATTATGCGGACACCTTTTTCATGTGCCTTGCCTGCGATCATGGTTAGAGCGACAGCATACCTGTCCTACTTGCAGAGCCCTAGTTGTACCTCCTGAAAATGGGGCAGGTACAGCTGGAGGACATAGGGGATCACGGTCCGATGCTCATCAACAGGGTAAACTTCTGAGGTTTGCAGTGTGTGTGTAGCTTTTAGTTGCTGTGTGACAACCATAAGGTCTGATATTTGGTGTTAGGGAATCTTTCAGAACTTTGTACCTTTTAAACATACATTTCCTTTTACTTCATACATGAAGGATCATTACTAAAGGAAGAGAAAAATGAAGGCACCAATAAACTGCCAGTCAGATGTAGAATTTGTGGCTTTAGTAGTTTTAGTACTGGTGGTTTCATGTTTCATGGTCACTCTTTTGTTTTCAAATGGGACTTTTAGTAGGACATGGTGGTTCATTCATTCATTATAAAATTTTGGTGAGGTGATTATGATTTTAATTGGGAACAGGGACAGGCACAACAGCTCAAGGTGGTGGAGTTCCTGGTGATAATCTCAGTCAACATGAAGCCAGACTCCGAGCTGCTGCTGCTGCTGCATCAATATATGAGAAGTCTCATGTATATCCATCTGCAAACAGACTAGTATGGTACGGCACCTTTATCCTAGTGAACTATTTGCATTTTATTTATTTATTGTTGAGTGCTCTTATCGTCCCCTTGGCATTTTAGTTTGTCCCTATGTTTTAGGTATTTGCATGCCTGTTAGAGTGCATGTGTATATACTTTGGATATGTGGCACTGCATAGAATGCTGCAAAGCAGAGCCTTACAAAAAAATATCCTGTTGTATGCAGGTCTCCTGGATATGTGGCACTTCCTCAGGTTCAAAGACAAATGGCTGACTCCGCTAACACTGAATCTAGTGGAGTATCGCACCCACAGCTTGCAACCCCTGGTGGAAACTTGTCCTCCCCTCAATATCCACATTACATGTTTGTCCCATTTGAGGTTCCTGATGTGGCCTATGAGGAGAGGTTGGGCGGCGATCCGAATATTACAGCTTCTCAACTGGAGGCCCAGAAAAAATTTCTCCAACACCAGATCGAGGTACTATTGATTGTTTGTTGCGAAACATAATTTGAAGGAAGATAATCACTTATGCTGTGAATCTGTGATCCTGTGGTCGCTGCCCGCCATTTTATTGTGCTTTGCTTCTGAATAACTACTTTTCTTCTACAGATCCTGCAGAATCAGCTCCAAACTTTACAGAAGCCAAAACCGAAGGAAAGCATGGACACAGGGCCATCAGCATCTTTGGATGGCAAAGGAAAGAATGTCGAATCTTCGTCCTCGTCTGTTTCAGATTGTGGACGTCATGTGGAGCTTGAAGAGATTGATTCATAGGCATAACTTAATGTATATTTTAAGACGCAATATGTTATATGTGGATACAAGGGATAAGAAAAATAGGTAGGGATAATAACTGGAGTTTGAGCGATATTGTATAAGTTACTCCTTCTTCTTCCTTTTTTTTTCTTTTTTTTTTCTATGTGAACATTAACAATGCTAAAATTTGATTATGCAAAGCGATGCACTGATTCAACTCGGGAGGGCCTGTCTAATTTCTAACGTAAACAGGGCAGACGGAGGAACATCTTTCTAGTGAGTCAGTGACAAACCAACGACTGTTGAATGCAACTGTGTGTTAGGAAATAGTTGTGTTCTAGAACACTGAAAAAAGAACCTTAAATCAAACTAATATGTTGTGTTCTAGGAAACAGTTAAATTATGTTGTGTTACTAATTCACACGTATAAGACCAAGATGCGAGAGCCGCGGTGGCCACCTCCAGGTGGGAGTAGTGAGCTCCTTTGACCTTATTGTGGAAGATGTTGATCTCACAGCCATTGGACCAAAGTGGTGGAGTGGTGTATGTTTTGGTTGATTACCTAACCCCAATAACCCGCAACACTGACCGTGTTATTGTTGTTTGTCTTTGAGGGATCCCAAATTGAGAAGAATTCATTGGACCAGAGCTTTATCATTATCTTATCACATGTGATGTGATGGTCGTGAATGGAGACGTGACCTTCTGTTTAATACGTATATTTTCTGTTTAATATTATGCAGAGGCTAAAACCAAACTGTTTGGTTTTGCTTGTTCGAAAATCAAATTTCGTTATCAGGTAATAGTCGTAGTAGGATATTTTATCCATTATGCACCAGAAATACAAAAGTAAAAGCAAAGTAAATCGTGCAAGTGATGTAGTAGCAGGGATAAATCTATTGATTGTTACTGGTTTCCTAAAAGTGTTACGTACCGTAATGATGCCTCAACTCAGGCATTAAAATACAGTTAACATTAATTAATTAATTAATATTTAGACTAAAGCAAATGATGAGGAACCCCAAAACGTGGCCACTTGTCCAGGACGTTGGAACTTTGCTGTTGAGGTATGAATTAACTGCTACCGTTGATCAGATACAAAGTGGTCTTTCCGCTTTCTTAATTATGTTGGAATTTTGCAAAATATTATTTATTATTCCTCTGGCTGGCTCTGGGCCGTTGGATGGAGACCGGGGTGGGGTGGGGGAATGAATTCAATATTTATATATAGAATGGCTGCAGCCTGCAGGCATATATACATAATTGAACTGGTAAATATCAAAAAAACCCTACTCTAGTCTCGCTTATTAATTGATGATGATTATAATCCAAGATTAATTAGTTGTTATAATGATTATAATATCCAAGATTAATTGATGATCAATGGAAAATTCATTCATCTGTTACTGGAATGAATGAGAATATATAATAAGGAAGGTTAGGGAGTGCAAGAGTGAGTGAACCGTTGAATTTACATCCAATAATGAGTGACCACAAATCTCTTGGACCCCTGTAGTCAAATAGATCAAGACTGCTCACTAAACATGTTAATACCAATAAAGAAGCTAGCCAAGAGCAAACTAGCTTAGCCTTAAATTCAATTCAAAGCGAAATTGTGCAAGTTACAACTTGCAATCACTGAAACGCTTTAGGGTAACTTCACCAGCAAATTTTCGATTACGTCTAATTGTTTGTTTGTTTTTTTTGGTCTAACGTCTAATTGTTTGTTGCCTCTCGTGTTTATCTCTCTCTCTCTCTCTCTCTCTCTATATATATATATATATTGAACTCATCTGAACTGCATCAGTTAGCTTTAGCTTAGCCAGTCATAGAAAAAATATCAAGTACTCTCATCACTAGCTAGAAGAGAAAGAATGTTGGCCATGAAGATTTCAATTAGCTTGCAACTTTTAGGCTTGACGTTGTTGTGTGTTGGCATCTTACATTGCCAAGCTTGGCGTCGTTACACTTTTGTGGTAATTAGTATAGTCTTATATCATCTTATTTACTGCTAATTGATTAATTAACTCTCCTCTGATATTTTATATTGGTGTGTGTGTGTGTGTGTGTATCAATTGCATGCATGCATGGTTATGTATATATATGAACAAACCATGTTGATTTATTCAGAGCTTGAACAAAACTAATGAAGGATATCTTCTGGTTGGATATCTTTGTAAACATTGTAGGTGGAAGAAACTCCATACAGAAGACTGTGTAGCACAAAGAACATACTGACTGTAAACGGCCAGTTTCCTGGACCAACACTGTATGCTCGCATGGGAGATACTATCATCGTCGATGTCTATAACAAGGGCAATCGTAACATTACCATCCACTGGTAATATTCTTTTTATTTATTATTTTTATGTCATTGTGTCTTGTGATATATAAAGTTATAATTTAAGGATTTCAATATTTCAGGCATGGAGTTAAGCAACTAAGGAATCCATGGTCGGACGGTCCTGCTTATATCACGCAGTGCCCAATCCAACCAGGAGGCAGCTTTACCCAAACTATCAGGTTTTCCTCTGAAGAAGGCACCTTATGGTGGCATGCTCACAGTGACTGGGATCGAGCCACCGTCCACGGCGCTATAGTCATCTACCCCAACGAAGGAGCCACTTACCCTTTCCCCAAGCCTCATGCAGAACTTCCAATCATCTTAGGTACGTAATGCAAAATTAATTCGACAATAATATAATGTTATTGATATATACATGTTCAACAAATTGACTTGAAAATTGTAGGGGAGTGGTGGAAGAAAGATATAGGACAGCTTTATAATGAAACTATTCAAAATGGAGGGGAACCTAACATTTCCAGTGCTTTCCTCATCAATGGTCAACCTGGCGATCTTTATCCTTGCTCAAAACCAGACACATTCAAGCTGATGGTTGATTACGGGAAGACCTACCTGCTAAGGCTAATCAATTCAGCTATGCAAGAGATTCTGTTTTTCTCGATTGCCAATCACAAGGTCACGGTTGTGGGCTCAGATGCTAGCTACACCAAGCCATTTTCATCAGATTATGTCACAATATCACCCGGCCAAACCATTGACCTCTTGTTCACTGCTGACCAGAGCCCCAACCACTATTACATTGCTGCTAAAGCCTACGTTGGTGGAGCTGTTCCTTATGACAACACGACCACCACCGCCATACTACAATACAATGGAAATTATACCTCAACTTCAACCCCTTCCTTGCCTAATCTTCCTTCTCATAACGACACCAAAGCATCGGTTCATTTTACTGGTAGTCTCAGAAGTCTAGCTGATAAAAACCACCCCATTGATGTGCCGCGCAAGATAACAACTCCATTGTTTTACACACTTTCTATCAACACACTACCATGCCTACATAATTCATGTGCAGGGCCTAATGGGACGCGTCTGGCTGCTAGCGTCAACAACATTAGCTTTGTCAACCCCAGCATTGACATATTGCAGGCTTACTATTACCATGTCAATGGGGTATTTGGAACTCGATTTCCGAATTTCCCGCCCTTGTTGTTTAATTTTACGGCTCAGGACTTGCCATTGTACTTACAGACCCCGAAACAGGGGACGGAAGTGAAGATACTGAAGTACAACGCGACCGTGGAGATTGTGTTTCAGGGGACAAATTTGGTTGCAGGGGATGACCACCCAATGCATCTCCATGGATTCAGTTTCTATGTTGTTGGATGGGGACTTGGGAATTTTGACGAGGATAAGGACCCTTTGACATATAATCTTGTTGACCCTCCTCTTCTAAACACCATCGCTGTCCCTGTAAATGGCTGGACTACCATTAGATTCAAGGCAAACAATCCTGGTAAGACTCTCTGGTTTGGTTAACTTCCGAATTAATCAAGTTATAATGAATGATGCTGATCATGTGATGTCAATGATTTTTTTGTTGAGCACAGGAGTTTGGTTTATGCACTGCCATCTGGATCGGCATATGACATGGGGCATGGACGTGACGTTCATTGTGAAAAATGGAAAGGGTCCAGGAGCCCAAATTTTACCTCCGCCACCAGGAATGCCTCCATGCTAATTGCTACAAAGCTCTGGCCGTATGTTCATGGCAATAAATTGGGAACGTAGTCCTTGCTTTAATTTGCTGTCATTGTGCTACTCTTTGGACTGGGCGGTGGCCAGGATATATATGTTATAAAAATTTAGCTGGTCGGTCTTGTATTATAATTTACATGTTCCAAAATAAGTGAGATTATTATTTGCTGGCTAGACCTGCAAATGTCTGGAAAATAAATTATTTTGAAAGATTGGTCCCAATAGGTTAAACTGTACATCAACGAACATACTTTTTTATTTTTGGTGCGTTGAGGGAAAAACCCCAAGCAACATAACTACATAAAGTCAACACCAACAAGACGGGACGAGACACCCCAATAGTCTCAACGAACATACTTTCTCCATGAAAAGAAGAAAGCTGCCATGCCAACCACATAGGCCACTATTTATTGGACAGAGTTTTTGGCAAGCTAATTGATAAGTCCATATTTTACATATATTTTATGCCTCCTTTGCTTATTTATTTTTGATTTTCTTGGATTAAATTGTTGGGTTTAATGTATTTTGTGAGAATTGTGTAGTTGGTCCCTAATTAGAGGAATTGGACAAAAAATTATCAAATTGGACTAAAAAACCATTAAGATGTATGACAAGGATTAATTGGAGACAAATAAGATGTTTCTTAGAAGGCAATCAACCGGTCAAAGCTTAAAGGAGGAAGTTTGGTCAAATCCTTGTGGAATTTGGAGAAGCAATCAAAGAGATATTGGGAAACCTATTTTTGGTAGTATTTGATTGTAACTAGGTTAAGGATTTGTGTATTATAAATAGCATAGGGCTGGCCTCATAGAGGGGATCCATACTTTTCACTACCCGAAAATACCCAATTCTTGCAAAGAGAAGTCCTACTGCTGTCGGCACCCTTGGAGCTTTTTGGGAGTTCTCGAGTTCATCTTCATGTCTACCATCAACCACTCTGCGATTCTCAATAAGTTTATCATGTTCTAATTTCCTTTTTGCTAGGGCTACGATGTAACCTAGCCATGAATACCTTATTTATGTGTTTATGTTAATTTGATATTATTTTCCATGTTAAGTATCTTTTACCGTTCTTAATGCTTTGAGTGCTTGATCACCACTTAATTGATTTGATGCTTGAGTTGACGATAGGAATATCCAACTTAGGATTTTGCTTCTAGTAATTGGTAACACAAGTTACTTGAGTGAACTGGAAGGTTTCCATAAATTTCCATAGAACTTAATGGGTTTCTACTTCTTAGTTCTTCATCTAGGCATAGAGTGGGACGGTTGTAGGAATACTTTTGGTATAAACAGGCATGTCATATTGAATAATTAAGGGAAATTTACCATTAACATGGATAATAATTAGAATTAACTGGTTACAGGAATAGGGTAGAATTGGCTATGGTGAAATTGGAACCCTAGTGCTCATACCATCAGTGTTTGCCGAATTTTATTATTGTTTATGTTAGTTCATTCTTATTAATCAAAACCTCACCATTTGAACATCCAAATAAAGTTTAGGATTAATCATAATCAGTACTCAGTTAATTAGTTTTAGTCTCTACGGAACGATACTCACTTACCACTACACTATTTTGCTATGATTTTGTGTCATGCAATTTTGTTAACACTAATCCCCTTGAACCTCTAAAAAACATAAAAGTTACCCCCCCAATAAATATTCATCTGTCCAAATACATGCTTGATATAATCAAATTTATGTATTTGTGTTGTAGATATTGATAGAGTTAAGTTGTTTTCCAGTTGTAGAAAGTGAACTTCCAGAAGGACTGCAGCTACATCTTATATTTGTCGTACACTCTTTCCTCCCTTTTCATTTTCTCATTTCGTGAGCATTTTTCTCAATGGCATTGGACCTTAACTTTTTTTTTACCCCCCAAAAGTTAAAAAGTCGTTTTTTTCTTTTATAAGAAAAGTTAAAGGTGAAGTTTGCGACCATTTAGCAGTGCTTTTTCTTGATTAAGGCCTCAAGCTGGACTCTCTGCCCTTGAGGATACCTGAAAGCTGGACATAAAGACTTCAAGGTAACACACCAGTCTCTGAGAACAGAATACAATGGTTTGCTTGATATGAAATTATTATTACTACTGTCAACAAAGAATCCGGACTGATCAAGACTGAGGAATTTGATCCTCTATTAAAAGAAGGGCTTTTCAAATATAAGTTTCTTTTTCAATAAGAAATAGTGTCAAAGGACTTGACCTGGTGTGCATTTGAGCTTAATACACAGTCAACAAAGGGATTGACTGAGCCATCAGCTATCTGCCATCTGCTGCTGTAGACGGATCAAGTTTCGCAAGTATCAATTTCTTGTTCATATCAGCTTCTATTTGTAAATTGTAATTTTCACCAATGTAGTTGCATCTTAAGCATCTAAATGACAAAGTTTCAGAATTTGTGTGAAATTTCACAACCTGAGGAATAAGATGTTGTTGTGTAAGAGAAAAGAAACAGCTTAGAATGGAAAAGTGACTGTCTACTATATTCAGTTCTCATAGAATGGACAAACTGGATTTCAATCGCTGCAGCTCAGTTAAAATGTTAGACTCATTGCTTCTTTGTCTTGTAATTGCTGTAGTTGCTTTTGGAATGCAGCCTCTTCTCTTATTGTTCACTGTTGAAGAAAGAAACAGAAGTTACATAGTAATCGGGTGAGAAAATCAAAACCAAATTCTAAAGGTATGGACTCATAACAGGCAACAGGCATAGAAAATCCAAGAGTCTAAAAAAACACTAAATAGATTGCTGGAGAAATCCAAGAGTCTTCTGGAAAACTCCTGCTGGAATTAAACCAAAAGTCTTCTAGAAAAATCCAAAAAATATAAAAAGTCTATGATGGACAACTCTATACAATGAACAGCAGCTAATCCAGCCACAAATACATGAGGCTTCATCAGTCTGAGCCTGAGCCTTCATGAGGCTTGCGCAATGAACACGGTGATGTGTAAGATCTAAAGCTTATGATTGGTTTGCTAGGTATTACTAAATCAAATCCTCAAAACTACCTATCTGTATAATATCCTGGAGATGGGGAGCACCCTTTGATATATGTTGCATGACCGGAAAAGAAAACCACTTATTTAAGGATATCTTGCAGGTATTCCTTAAACTGGCATCTTCCTCCATCATCCACCATACTTACCCCAATTTTAGAACTTTTCTTTGTCTTCTGCACACCCTAAATCTTCTTAGTTTCCAATACAACCTCAACTCTTCTTTACGCTGCTGTAGTTGTTTCCTTCCATATTATTTGTCTACTTCTGGTTTCTATCATGCTAACTCTTAATGTCCTGTACTTCCTGGTCTTCCCACTATTATTCCATATCAGTTTTAATTCTCAACAAATGAATCCATCTCAACAATGAATACCACTCCTGGATATGTATATCTATTAGCAATGGAAACCTCTTCACTGATACACGTTATAAAAAGAGTTATGTCATATTTGTGTCCCTCTTTCCAAAAAGAGTTTTATGTCAATGAACTTGAAATTGTATATTCAAAACCGTAACTACGTTATATAAGGAAAGTCTTACTTAACATTCACTCAGTTACAATGAAAGTAAAAGCAGAAAATAACTTTATGCAATTAACATTTTAATGAGTACGGCTAGGAGTTTAGGGATCACCTCATTCTCTCCATTCATCTTCTATGTGGAGTTCCACGTCGAGTCCTACCAAACTCAAGACATCCTTTTCACATATGTCGAGAAAAACTTCCAAAGAAGACACATGATGATGGATAGTTTTCGATACCAACAATAGGGGAGAGCTCACCAGCGCCTCAAGCCGCAGTGTGAGATGGAAGAATCCATCAAGCACCTTACTTATTGCATCTACTATTGTGGTAGTTGAAAAGGTGTTCTTCATAGGACTTTCTTTTATACCTTCTTCAATTTCCGAACAGGCAAGCTTGTAGAGTCGTATCATCCTGGCAGAAACAACCATATCGTTGTTTTCTTGCCCTGAGACAGCTTCGAGCTGGTTAAAAAAGCTGACAAACCTTTCTGTGATTTGTTCATTCTTTGGGATCCCAAAAAATAAATGACAAAGGCTGTGATAGTTTTCTTGCCATGAATTATCCTAAAAACTTATTCTTGACCTCCAATTCCTCAAATTCTTCCAATTCTTCCTGCTGTAAAGCTTCTTGATTTAGAGTTTCTTGCTCTTTCATATCCTTGAATTCTTTGTAAATGATCTTCACAACATTGATGAATTTGTACAGCAGTATATTGGAGGTAACATTTTCAGACAACAACCCCTTTACTTGAAAACCCAAATTGACCAACCTCGGTAGAACTGCTCCTTCTTCATTCCGAGTGAGAACAATGAATATATATGATAGCATGCAAGAGAGCCTCTGGCCAATCTTTATAGCGTCAAATTCTTGATTAGCCGATACCTGGATATCCTCCCATCCCACTTCCGCCATTGAAAGAGAGAGAGATAAAGATTGAGGTTGTGAACGGCAGGCGTGGTTATGGGTAGGGTCTGAGACGGTGCGGTGGATATGGAGGTCGGTGAAATGCGGTGGCTATGGAAGTCGGTGAAATGCGGTGGCTATGGAGGTACTTGAGCAAAATAGTCTACGGAGGTGTTTTCTTTTTCTTTTTGGCGCCAGATTTTAGCGTGAAGAAGAAGATGGACCTAATTTTATAATTTGGGAAATTTTTTTTTTCAAATAAACGACACCGTCTGCCTGACTCTGAAGTTTTAGGTTTTATAAAGCAAAACGGCGCCGTTCGTACAACGAATTTTTCCCAACTTATATTTCTCGGTGTCTTTTCCTATAAAATAGAAGTCGGAAAGGAAAAGAATTCCTTTTCAGAAAAGGAAAAACACTAGGTGAGAGCCGCCTATAAATACACAAAGACGAGAAGAAAAAACAGAGACACAAGAAGCACACACGCAAAACTCAATTTTCCTGTTTCCTAAGGAATTGCTGTCTTGTTCGGTCGTCGGTGGTTTTTTAAAGAGAACGAGATAAAGATAGAGACGGTGGCTTTGTCATTGAAATTCATACTCCGATTTTGTTTCAGGTCAGGGTAATCGATCTTACTGGTAGTATGGAGGAGGTAAAAAGGGATGCGATAAAGAACGGTAGACGGTTGATGAAGAGTTTGACGGAGAGGAATCCTAAGCAGCCACTTTGTTGGATTGCATCTGCGAGGTTGGAGGAGGACGCTGGGGAAATGGAGTCTGCGAGGCAATTGATTCAGAAAGGATGTGAGGAGTGCCCAAATAGTGTGGATGTGTGGTTGGAGGCGTGTAGGATTGCGATTGCGAATGCGAGGAGCAGCCCCAATTCCAATGAAGCAGGTAAGGCTGTGATTGCCTGTGGATTGAAGTTGATACCCAATTCGGTGAAGTTGTGGATGCAGGCTGCAAATTTGGAGCATGATGACTCGAATAAGAGCAGGGTTTTGAGTAGAGGATTGCAACACATTCCTGATTCCGTTCTGCTGCGGAAGGCGGTGGTTGAGCTCGCCACTGCCGCGAAATCGAATGAGGAGGAGGAGGAGGAGAATGCAAATGCAAGGCAGAGCATGAACTTGTCTTGTGAACCTTGTGAACCTGAGAGAGCTAGAATGAATCTTGCCGAAGCCCGAGAAAGGGGGGGAGGCACAGAGAGAGTATGGATGAAATCAGCAATTGTTGAGAGAGGATTAGGGAATGTTGAAGAGGAGAGGAAATTGCTTGATGAAGGGTTGAAGAAATTTCCTTCGTTCTTTAAATTGTGGTTGATGCTTGGACAGCTAGAGGAACGGCTTGATCGTTTGGAAAAAGCCAAGGAGGCTTATGACTTGGGGCTGAAGCACTGCCCCAATTCTATACCGCTCTGGCTTTCTCTTGTTAACCTTGAAGAGAATTTGAATGGGGTGACTAGTGCTCGTGCAGTCCTCACACTAGCCAGGAACAAAAATCCTCACAATCCTCAACTGTGGCTTGCTGCAACTCGAACTGAATTGAGGCATGGTAATAACAAGGAAGCTGATATTTTGATGGCGAGGGCTTTGCATGAGTGTCCCAATAGTGGTATCTTGTGGGCAGCATATATCGAGAGTATGGTACCCCTCCCCCCTTCTCAATGGATGGCCAAGATTATGGATGCCCTTAGGAAATGTGATTACGATCCCCATGTCATTGCTGCTGTGGCCAAGTTATTCTGGCATCATAGTGAGGTTAAGAGAGCTAGGACTTGGCTCGACAGGGCCGTCACAATTGCCCCAGATATTGGGGATTTCTGGGCTTTGTACTTCAAATTTGAACTTCAGCATGGGACTGATGAGAACCAGAAGGATGTTTTGCGAAGATGCATTGCTTCACAACCAAAGCATGGTGAAAAATGGCAACCTATTTCCAAGGCCCTGCACAACTCTCACCAACCAACTGAAGCTATCTTGCATCAAGTGGTGGCTGTACTCGGCAAGGAAGAGAGCTCGCAGCAGGCAGGGCAGGCACCCCAAACTGATAGACTCTAGTCGTCCGTTCTCCTGGCTTCTCCTTTTTCCAGGTCATATTTCTTCTAAAATGTTCTCCAAAGTTGGACCTTTACCAGTAGTTTCACTTGTGGGCATCCTATTTATATGTTACTCTATTTACTTATGAGTTTTTCGCAATTTCATTTTTTATTGCCAACTGCCTTTGGATGGTTCGGTGATGAGGCTTGGCTTGACTTAATAATTACTTGTTGTTCCTATATCTATATATATGTCATTTTATACATATTCAGTTTTGAGTTGGGTGTTATTATGTGTTTTCCTTTATCTCTTTGTATTTCCCGTACTACCCCATCTATATTCGTTCCCCTTTTGATATCATAATATCTATCTAATTCCTTCCTCATGCCTGTGCTTTTCAACTCTGAGATGAAACTTGAATTCCTCGCCGGAGATTAGCTGAAGCAGGTAGTCTGAGACATCACAGTAAGAGGGTAGGATTTTGGAAAATCATTGTTGTCCATAGGCAGCATTCCTTACACTAATGCAAGACGCAATGGAAAGGTCAGTTGTTTTCATTGTTTTCAATACAAATCTAGCCATCTCTAGCTCCTCGGCTGTGAAAATTGTTGTGCCTCCTCTCCATGTGAAGCAATTTGCTACTCTAACAATAACCCTCCATTCTTCTGGAAGAACTTGGATTTTAGCTTAATAAACTTATGCTTCTTCACACTGAAATAATTCCGGAGATCACAAACAAAAGACATGAGAAACAAGAGCCGAGACCTGCAAGGTTACATTTAATTAAATGTAAATGTTGAAGGGAGCTTAGCACTTATCAATTATACTCTAGAGCAGAGGACTTACTTACCTAGGGTGAACTATGCAGGGCCCAGAAAGACTTTGATATGTTGTCGGATGTAACCTCCTCAGCCACTTCTCCTTTTTCCTGTAGTAATTATATTCCTGGGTATCTTTGAAATTTCATAATGATGAGTGTCAAAAGATAGATAGATAGACTGACTTTCATAATATATCCGATAGATAGATAGATAGATATACGATCGTGTGTCAAGAGAACCTTTACCAATTTTGATTTTTATATGGTATTCCAGTTTTGTACTTGTGTGGATTCTGGGAGTAATTGGATTGGATATAGTTTAGGCAAATAGAGACAATTCTTTTGTAGGAATAGAAATTAGAATTGTGGAAACTTGATGAGCACGTTCTGCCCTGTCGTGTGCTGCTGATATCTCCTACCATCAACGTAGGAAAGATCAGCCTGTACCTGGTTGGCCCATGATATTTCTTAGAATCCCTGCCTCAAGCACAACAGACTTATTAATGGCTTTGGGAGTGTAAGAATTGCAACAGCCACTACCACCAGAAGACCACCTATGATGATGAGTCATAGTGGTCATCATGTTACATACCTTCATCCATTCACTGTGCACCTTACAACAACTCATGTGTATGAGTAAGATTGTGAACTTGTTTGCAGTGTCAGAGATTGTCTCATAGTACTCAAATTCGTTGCAGCAATATGAGGAGCAGTAGCCAGTAGGACTAAAGTACAACAACATTAATAATATTCTTCCTATTTTAATGGTATTGCAGCTATAAGCAACTGAGTTATTTACGTGTACCTAGGATGGAGAAAGCTGCCCCACCTCAATAATATTACTTTTTCCTGAGAATGACTTTGGCGGGATATAGGAGCTGATGCAGTTTATTATGTCAAACCAATACACTTCCATGGAACGTTATCCTTTCCCAATACCAAATGGGGTAGGGTACTGTGAGATTCCAGCACATTCTTTTTGGCAGGGGGGCTTGGAGTTGTTGACTTCGGATAGTGCTGCCAACAAAAACTATGAAGCTAAGGTCAACCAAGAGAGTTTGTGGAAGAGATGGCCTAGTATGAGAAGCAACATCCTTTCCATTTTATGCTTCCTTCCTTCAACATATAAGTGAAATTTTGGTTTAGAGGGCTCAATGATGTATTGAAGAAAAGGATTTACGTCTGCTCCTTCCGCGTTTCTTTCTTTCACGCGGCGTTGAATCTCAATTCTAGTTTTCTTATTGCGAGGTCAAGGGTTAGGCTCAGTATATGACCAAATGCACTTGCTCCCTCCTTGTTTCTTCCTTGAAGCAGTCACTTAGAAGAACATATGGTCTACTATTAAATGCTTAATTTCTTAGAAGAACATATGGTTCACTTAGAAGGCGGCAAGGCACATATTGTAAACAAAACAAAAGGTTAAGCACATAAATGTGAGTGTGGGTGATTGGTTGGTAGATAATTAACCATTTATTTTATTATAATCCTGTTTTCCTTTTTTTATTTTCCCCCAGATTGATTCCAAAACAGGTAGGATAGATGATGCAGATGCATTAGATAGTCCTGGAAAATGCGGTAGCACTGACTGTCCCACCAGATCACCGTCAACTATTAATCATGATAATGTTGCGGCACTATACAAATTACAATATTAATGCATGTAGGGAGAAAATCCCATGACAAGGATGACAGCGGTCAGCTTTGGTTCTACATCCTCAAGTATGTATCCATTGCTTTTGTGTTAGTGGAAATTACACATCCAGAATGATCCACTTCAAGCAGGAAGCTTAAGCTCCTCGTGTTTCTTCCAGCTGAAGAAAAAATCAGGGTAGCTTGTTGTCAGGAGGAAATAGAATCACTCAAAGTTCATTATCAAAATTGGTTTCACGTATTGGTGCCATTTTCCAGCAGCAAACAATCATGTTCCTAGAAGCTATATCAGATATGCTGGTTTTTAACAATGCGCATGGAAACATGTTTGCAAAGCCCTTGCTAGGTATTCCAACATGTTTCTGGCTTACACACACGCACGGAAATGAAACAAACTATTCTTTGGGGAACAATTAAAGACAAAAGAGTAGAATAATGAAGTTACCTCTTAATATAGTAGTAGAAAAAGTCAGCATAAAGAGCAGTCTGAACAAGGCCTGAAACCCAAGCTGTTTTGGGCATTTGGCAACAAGTTATAATTTGTTGTATCACTTTAGCTAAAATGGGATACAAGAGTATCAAGTGCAAGCCATAAAAGAGAACTTACGTATCCAGAGAACTCTGTGAAGCTCTGTGAAGAAACGATAAATCCAATTGAGAAGATATAGGGCTCGGTAAGCACTGCGCAGAGACAGAGTTACCAAACAAATATAACACCACAGATAAATTAAATCCGAAAAACATAAACAAGGTAGTAGAATTGAATCTATGATCCTAACTAGTTGTAATCAAGTTGCATTGCAGGTAAGAAAGTGGATAGCACAAAAGCAAATTCATTTTTATGCCTCAGGGGAATTGGAACATACCCAAGAAGGAAAACGTAGTTTCCAGTTAAGTTATCAATGTTTCTAGACCTTTGCAGTAAAACCAATTGTGGTAAGATTGCTACGGCTTCAAGATATATCGAAAATGCCCACAGAACCTATTACAATAGAATAGATCAAAGCTTCTATCAGATGTGAGCATCATACAAACTGATGGGGGTTAAAAAAAATAAAACTGGATGCAAGCTCTCTTTCCAAACAAGTGGCAAAAGGTTCGTTTAAAGGCAAAATAAAGTGATCCATAAGGGCATAAGAAAGAGGAGGATAAATGCCTCATATCGTACCTCAATTACTGTAAAAGAACGCGGAATCAGAAGAGCCAGCCCCAAGCAAAAAAGGATGAGATAGTAATGTCTGAAAGTATCTTCATCTTTGTTGTAGGTTTGCTTCACTACTTTATGGTACCTCATGTGCCAGACCGTGGCAAGAGAAGTTCCAATAAAGATGAGCTTCCCTAAAGTGTTATACAAGGAGTGATACTTGATAACCAAGTCAATGTATCGAGTAAGAAAGACCAACCCGTAGAGTTCTTGAGTTTTGAGTGAAATTCCTGGTTAAATGCAACAGTTGAACAAGTTTTCAACTCTGAATTTGGGGAATTGAGTCAAAATAATTCAACAAAAACGACCACTCTTTATTTTCAGATGCATATGAGAATAAGGGCATATCTCTGCATACTTTAAGAATACGAAATCTGCAAAACTAGCAAGGAATTTACAAAACAAAAAACCCAAAAGCTTTCAAATCAACCACCTCCACCCTTCTAACAAGTACAAATTCTTAACCAAACCAGAATCAATCAATCGTCCAACAGTTAAAAATGGAAAATAAAATAAAATGGGGTTTGAGAGTTTGAACATAACATAATTTAGTCCAAGCTGCCACAATAATCTCATGTCAAAGCACTAATTCTCAATTAAGCGATAAATATGCATGGAACCAAAAAGATCTTGGTCAACTCATCAGGAACACATAGGAAAAACAAAAGCAAGAACTGTCTAAAGGACGTAAGAGAAAGGTAAGAATGAATGAACATATTCTACCTGCACAAGATTTGGTGGTGCGGATCTTACGGAACAAGACCACTATGCTGAGCAGATGGGTTATGTCTCCTGCTAACCTAAACAGATTCATGATTTTATTACGGTTAGCTACTGCTTCTTCTCTAACTTGAAATATCTGTTTCCTTTTGTTCCGTGGATTGTTTTGCTTCTTGCTTGCTCTCCTCTGCCTTGTTGGTCTTGCTTCTGCTTCAGCAGAAAATGCTATCAGACTTTCAAACCCAATGTAAGCGTTTTTTTCCCCGTTGGTTTAAAGTTGACGGCTTGTATAGCACGCAGCGTGAGCATTGACTTCCGGCAGGTCTTTGCCGAAAAAAGAAAAAAAAACATACGTGTACTTTGTCTGATCTTCTTCCCCGTATCTGTCAGTCTTCGCTTTGAATGTTGATATGATCGGGGAGGGAGAAACTACTTACTTGTGAGACCAAGTTTTTCTGTTGATCGGGGTAGCTGGCCCGCCAAAAATATTGGGTTCGAGTCTGGAGAGCCGTCCACGGGTCGTTATCTTTTCCCTTTGGGCTTGGGCCCCAAATTTGTTAGATTTTGTTACCATGGATGAATTTCTTTTATTCTTGGGCTACTAGTAAATAGTCACAATTCGGCTTGGTGAGTTTTAAGACTCAATGACATGTTTTTGTGTTGTATTGCCACAAGTGAGGAAAGGGAAGGGGTGTTTTTTCATACATGTACTGTTACAATGTCATAGGGTTCAAATTTGAGGTCAGTAGATGTAAGTCAAAGTCTTTTCCGTTAAGCTAGACCTCCTTGGCAAGACACATGCTTGCTTACTACAAATGAGTTTGAGAATAAATTATTATAATTTTAAACTTTGCCATGTTTATTTACACCTAAAACATTTAAATTATATGTGGATTTCACCTTAAATCAATACTCTAATACCCTCAAAATCAAGAACTTGATCAACTAATAAGGGGTAGTTGATCTAATTCAAATTCCTTATTATATTTCTAATTTCCTCAATTCCAAATAAGTAAACATGTCATAAACCACGAACCAAGTCAGTATTGAGCCGGCCAAATCAATTAATATAGGATGGGTTGGTATGCCAAGAATTTCAATTTGAATTGGTTGATATTGGTTTTTAAGAAAGTGAATAAATAAATTAAAATTAAAATATTTCAAGAGTGCGATCTATTTGAATATAATCAAATACAAGATGGATCCAGGGATACCCATTATCCAAACAAAACCTTTAACCTTGATACAAATTTAAGCAATTTCACAAGTAGTAGAAAGTTTAGTTCGGATTCGGGAGCTGGCTAAATATCAGAAGATGCAAATGCAATTTATACTTTGATGATTCTCCTCACCTTGTTATACTATGTGACAAGGAAAGGAAGGATCATTGATGTTGCCAATTGATTCCAATCGAAGGCCATGAACCTTAAAAGCCCAAGATTCGTACTATCAAAAGCCCAAAAGTGCAATGTCCAAGTTGAGTTGAGCTTTCCTGGCACATCATCTGTAAGCTATTGGGCAGCCCAAGTACCCCGTGCCGCTAAAGTACCGGCACCAGTGCCAGCTAGGACTAGGAGCCAATAAGATTCCAGCAGATTCTGGAAGCCAAGCCAATTCTCCCTTTTCAATATTCAGACAAATTTTGACCAAAGGAAAAATAGGAAAACTAAAATTCCCCTTTCAACCCTGCAAAATCATTTTTCAAAATACAAAATATAAAAGTGTACCCAATTACGTATTGACAAAACAGGCAGCTTCGTCAACTATAGCGTCACAGGACAGCCAGGCAAACCGGCCCCACTCGACCTTTAGTTTTTAATTTTATTTTAAACAGCCTCGTACACTTTTGTTTTCCACGCTAATTAATAAATAAAATTAACAATTTTAATTTTATTTGTAAAAGTTGGGAACAAATATTTATTTTTATTTTCTGAAGAGCAAAAGTCCACCTACACCCCTCAAAAGACTAAATGGCCATATTTGTAGGGTGGATAGATACAACTATATTCTAGGGCCCAAGTATATCTCTGAATGAACTTATTTTTGGTCACGCACCGTTACAATTTACAACAACATTTAAGAGACAAACCAAGTCACTCAAAAATTCCGAATATCGCATCTGGGGGAGGGAGTCCATAAGTAAATAAATAAATGAGGGGAGGAAGAGGAGGCAAAAAGCACACAACGGAAAGACCCCGAATTCAAAGTTGAAACCCAAACCCCAACAAACCCCAAACCCCAAATCCCACCCTACAAACAAACAAACAAACAACCCCCCGTCCCCCTCCCTTGCCTTCAGTCGCTCACTCGCTCGCTGCACGCTACCACTGCTTCATTTTCAAGCTGTCTTTATTTCCCTCCCCCCCTCTCTATCTTTTCCTAATTAATATAAATTAATAACACACCCTTTCCTTCTCCTCAACACAACACTGTTCTCCTCTCTCTCTCTCTCTAGAATCTTTCTCTCTCCTAGGGTTTGGGTGTTGCCTCATCTCTCTCTTCACTCCCTCGCCCTCTAGGGTTTATCCGACTGTGCTTGATCGTCCTCCCCCGTCTCTATCTCACGCACTTGGCCATGGCGGCCGAGAAGCTTAGGGACTTGAGCCAACCGATTGACGTCGGCTTGCTCGATGCCACCGTCGCTGCCTTCTACGGCACCGGATCTAAGGAGGAGGTGAGGGCTTCTTGCTCCTTTATCTCTCTACTCTCTGTTTCCTTTCCGACCACGTGTGGCCAATTTGCAACTGCAATCGAGGTTTTTGGCCCCTAGGGTTTAAGCCTGCCTTACGAGGCCTTTACTTAGATACCTTGTGCTTTCTGTTTGGTTTTCAAGACGTTGAATGAAAATTGAAGCTCTCTCAGTCTTAGGGTTTAACACTTGAAAACCGCTTTTTGTTTTTGTTTTTGTTTTTGTTTTTTAAAACTTTAGACGCAATCAGGACTTAGCTTCGATGTCTTTCTCTGGGAACAGTTAGATTTTGATGGATTTCTGAACATTACATATCTGCCTATTTTGTGGTCTTCTGGTACTGTGATTAAGAAGAGAGATTTTTACTGGTTGGTTGATGGTGGCGTAAATTTGTATGTTCCGCTTAAATAATTTCAAAAAGCTAGAAAAAATTGTTTTTGTATCCCTTCACATTCTTAGCTTTACAGGAATTGTTATTTTTATTTTAACCTACTAATCGAAGCAACTTTTGTTATTCTTAGCGTAGGTTTTGTATTTGAGTAATCGATGTGTTGGCAAGTTATTTGCTTAACTTGTAATATTCTGGGCTGTAATATAGTTTTTTCAATTAGTTTATTTTCTAAGAGTATTTTTCCCCCAAATGTTGGCGATGCAGAGGACAGCTGCAGACCATATATTGCGGGACTTGCAGAACAATCCGGATATGTGGCTCCAAGTTGTGCACATTTTACAGAGCGCCAAGAACCTAAACACCAAGTTCTTTGCCTTGCAGGTCAGTTTTGTTGCATAACAATCTATAAGACTGCATGTTCCCTTTGTCTAACTAGGCTGCTGTCAGATGCCCCGACAGTCATTGCACTAGGGCAGCAAGGCCACAATGGGGCTGTGACAGGCATTTCAAAACTGCCAAAAATAGAATGCCTTTATGTGGACATGGCAAGAATAATAATCAAGTTTACTACTTGGGAGCATGTTTCTGTCCTTCATGAAGGAAGGCATCTTAGTAAAGGCTACAGAACGTTTATACCATCAAATCTTGCTGCATATTTGTTTAGCTTGTTAATGGTTTGATGCTTTGGAAAATTTGCTATTCTACTTTCCATCACAACCTGCATAAATCTTTCCATCCCTATTTTAAGGTGCTGATCTCATGAGGGTTTTCTTGGCGTCCGCATACAGGTCCTAGAAGGGGTTATCAAGTATAGGTGGAATGCATTACCTGTTGAACAGCGAGATGGAATGAAAAATTATATCTCTGACGTCATTGTTCAGGTATGAGTCATGTAGTAAATCTTTGAGGAGGGGAAGTTTTGCTAGCGTTAAATCTTGTTTGATGGTTTTCTTCATGGGCTTTATATTATTTCTTACCCTTTGTTCCTCTTGCGTAGCTATCAAGTAATGAGGCCTCTTTTCGAATGGAGAGACTGTATGTCAACAAACTCAATATTATATTGGTTCAGGTATTTCCTTGCTTCCTTCCCCATGAGGATCATTGCCTTTGTTGCTTTTTTTTTCGGGGTTAATTGTTTGTACCATGCACTGTGTTTACTTTTCCATTATTCCATTGATTCTTTTCACTTCAATTGTATTTACAGTTGTCTCAAAAAATCCGTGTATTTGAATTTATCTTGGTCTATTAAAATCTGAAATTGCTTGCTTTGGTAGCTTTGGATATGTGTTGTGATGTAATATATTGAGGTTACTCCATATACAGATTTTGAAGCATGATTGGCCTGCTAGATGGCGAAGCTTTATACCGGATCTCGTTTCAGCAGCTAAAACTAGTGAAACAATTTGTGAGAATTGTATGGCCATATTGAAAGTAAGCCTTTTTAATTTTCAACTTTTTCAAAGATAGAAATCAAATTTATATGGCTCATTGAGTAGCTACTAATTGCTTGGATGTGTTACCCTCAGCTTCTAAGTGAAGAGGTTTTTGACTTCTCAAGGGGGGAAATGACTCAGCTGAAGATTAAAGAGCTTAAACAATCATTGAACAGGTAATTGGCTGGTGACTTTGGCATCTTTGTTCGTAATCAAAAGAGCTTTTAAATTTATTGTGGTATTGACATGTAAATTTATTGTGTTGGGCCAAACTTTTTACTTCCTATTGTGTTCGATCTTTTTTGCAGTGAGTTTCAACTCATTCATGAGTTATGCCTTTATGTACTATCAGCCTCTCAAAGAGCCGAACTCATACGTGCAACATTATCCACATTGCATGCTTTCCTCTCGTGGATTCCCTTGGGTTATATATTTGAGTCCCCTTTGGTATGTATAATACTGTTTTGTAGTTCTTGATTACCCTTTTAAAGGATTTATCCTTATCTTTCTATATTGTTTGTGTATTTTACAGCTTGAAACCCTTCTAAAATTTTTTCCGATGCCTTCTTACCGGAATCTCACCATTCAGTGTTTAACGGAGGTATGTTGTTCCATTTCTGTTGAAGCAATTATGTGGTTGTTGAACTTATCTCAAAAGAAACGAGGAGATAATGCAGTATTTGCCTTTTCAATGATTTAGGTTTCATCATATGTTTTTTTGGTTTTCAGGTTGCAGCACTTAGTTTTGGTGAATTCTACAATGTACAGTATGTTAAGATGTATAATATATTCATGGTCCAGTTACAGGTGTGCCACTATCAATTTTGTATATGTTATGCCTGATTTAACATAACATTCAGAGTTCAATATGCAGTTAGTAATACATGGGATGGGAAAATATGTATAATTTGATAAATTTATTGTAAAATGTGGTTAAAAATTCAGCCAAATATGAAGATGAGTTTATATAAAACTTGGTATGCACTAGATAGTATATAATAAAGATATAGGGTCAAAAAATTGAAAGTAAATATTTGATTTTAATCAATTGTATTTTTTAAGAAAATTACTCACAATCTAAAAGTTTACAGAGACGTAAGTATAAATTGAAAGTAAATATTTGATTTTAATCAATTGTATTTTTTAAGAAAATTACTCATAATCTAAAAATTTACAGAGACATAAGTATTCTTTGAACTACATAGACATACAATTTACATATTCTCAATGTATATGACTTTGGGCAAATTTTCTGATTTCCTAATTTCTTTTTTATTGGAACCAATCAGACTATTCTCCCATCTACCACAAACATCCCTCAAGCTTATGCAAATGGATCTAGCGATGAACAGGTATATTGTCCTTAATGATTTTAGGCTTCTCCTGTTGTTGTATTTAACTAGTTCATATGATGTTGTTTCTTCAGGCATTCATTCAGAACTTGGCACTGTTTCTCACTTCGTTTAACAAGGCAAGTTTGTTCACTTTCAGATGAATATGTTGATATTTTGCTTTGCCTTCACCAGCTGTATTTGACAAAGACTTTTCTATCAATAGATAGGATTTAGTGTTCGATATAGGGGATATGATAGTTCTGCTGTTGGGTTTAGTTCTGTGTTGATCTTTAAGCCTCCAGTGATGATGCTATTAATTGTCTCCTTTTTGCAGTCACATATTCGTGTGCTTGAAACCACACAAGAGAATATAGCTGCATTGTTGATGGGTCTTGAATATCTAATAAACATCTCATATGTGGATGACACTGAAGTTTTTAAGGTATGATTAATTATGATGTGCTCTCTAGCACCCACCCTGAAGTCCCTATCCAGCCCTCTCTCTTTTCCCATTTGAACAGATGAAGTGATAATTTGACTTAGACTTGGTTGTTTGATCGAGCAGGTTTGCTTAGACTATTGGAATTCCTTGGTTTTGGAATTGTTTGAGGCGCATCATAATTTGGATAACCCTGCAGCAACTGCAAATATGATGGGGCTGCAGGTAATTTAGATACTTTTATCTTTGAAATTTTTGTTGGTTTGAGTTTTCCGTTTTCTACTTTGTATGGATGTATCCTCTAGTTTTACTTGAATCCCTATGTTTTTCTTTAGTATGACCGTTCAAACTTATTTTTTATCTCTTTGTAGTTGAATAAAGATTTTTGATTTGAAATTGGTAGTAGATAGGCAAGTATTTTCTAGGTTTCCATCAACAAGAGGGTTTTTTCTAGGGAAAGACCAATTTATCATCTCAGAACTTGCTAACCTTCCATCTTGAAGGGGACTCGACAAGTCTGAATTAGGAAGGTGTCTTGAAAGTTTTTTGAAAATTTGGGGAGATTTTCAGTTAACCATTGGAACCTTTATCATTTTCCTATCAATAAAATTCAGATCTTTTACCAACAAATTTTGAGACAGTAGGTTTCTAAGCATTGTGTCCATGTCACTCTTGCTCATTCACGTCAACAATCACATTAACCATGTAAATGCAATGCTTCTTTAGTTTTGTTTTAAAAAGTGGATTTTCTGTGTATGAGGTTAGATATGGTATGGGGCAACTTTCTTGTTGGAAATTATGTTCAGAAGACTTTTGAAAATACCGTCTACAGAAGCTTTTTAAATTTAGTTTATGCTTCATAGTAAAGACACCTTTATGTCCAGGGTTTCACTCACTCATCTGCCTAATTTTGCAAGTTTGTCATCTATATTGTTTTTTGATGGTCTACTTTGTATTGAATAAGCAGATGAATTTGCTTCCTAGTATGGTTGATGGCCTTGGCTCACAGATTATGCAAAGGCGGCAAATATATGCCAGTATTATGTCAAAGTTGAGGTTGCTCATGATCTGTCGAATGGCTAAGCCAGAAGAGGTTCTCATTGTTGAAGATGAGAATGGGAACATTGTTCGCGAGACCTTGAAGGACAATGATGTTCTTGTTCAATATAAGGTGATGCATCTTCATTTTGTTGATATGTTTGTAATTGCTGTACTATTAAAATAATGTTAAACCTTCTTGTAATGAATAAAAATAAATAATAAGATCTCTGATGGGTGAAGTTATCTTTGCGAAAGCAGACTTTTAGTACCTTTATAGGTGTCATTATCAAAACAATTTAGGGATGCTGCTTTCAATTTAATTCAGCATGATATGGCGGGTGTTATTTGCTATTTTCTTTCTTGAATGTTTTCTCACTTATTTTTGTTATCGGTGTCATTTTGATCTTGTAGATCATGAGGGAGACACTGATATATTTGTCACACCTTGACCATGAGGACACTGAGAAGCAGGTAAAGGGAATTTTTTGTTTTCCTTTGTATGAAGCCTTACTGTTAGATTGTTTTGATGCATGACCCTGCAAGGTGTTGCTTGTAGCATGATGTTCTCTTGTCTTAATAAATATTTCGTATGTGATTTAAACATACATGACTTTAATCGATTTCCTACATAATAGTTTCTGAATGGTCATAATGCGAATTTTATGATTTATTTTACTTTCACAATATTTTCTTTGCATCTTAATAAAATTTCCCCCACTCTGTCTCTGAAGTGAATCTTTTCCAGCACCAAGAAGATTCCTTTTGCTGTAATCTCTTTTGTGGGGAACCTCTAACAGTGAAGTAACTATTCCTATATTGTATTTCTATTGATATTTTTCTTTCTATTGACATTCGAACACAGATGCTAAAGAAATTAAGCAAGCAACTCAGTGGTGAGGATTGGGCATGGAACAACTTAAACACCTTATGCTGGGCAATAGGGTCCATATCTGGTTCCATGATGGAAGAACAGGTATTGTTTGCTCTCTGTTCTGTGATCATTTCTTTAATCTTTTTTCTTATTTGAAGAATTCACTGATGATACTCTTTTCAACTAGGATAAATAATATAGTTCCTTGTTTTGCATAGTCTGCATCTATTTGATGATCCATTGTTGTCTCACGCTCTTTATGTAGTTATTATTCTAGAATGCCTCTTGATGAATGTACCTTTTCCTTTTGCAGGAAAATAGATTTTTGGTGATGGTCATACGCGACTTGCTGAATTTATGTGAAATCATAAAAGGGAAAGATAACAAAGCAGTTATTGCTAGCAACATTATGTAAGGATTTGTGATTCTAAAGGGTTTTTTAGTTTAAGCTAAAGGTTTTTTCTACCTGAAATGTGCTACCAATAAGTGCATGGTGCATTGTAGTGCTTACATAATTCAGTTGAGAATCTTATCTATTAAATGTATTTTTATAGTATAAATATTCATATGTTTGAAGTTTTGCTTTGTTTTCAGGTATGTTGTTGGACAATACCCAAGGTTTTTAAGAGCTCATTGGAAGTTCCTAAAGACTGTTGTGAATAAGTTGTTCGAGTTTATGCATGAAACTCATCCCGGAGTTCAGGTGAGTCCTTGTTTAAGGTTGATTTTGAAGTTAAATAGATAGATGTACATGTCTTAAGTTTCACATTTTTTATTCTAATGCATGAGTTATATAAGTATTTCTTTGCTTTCTTTCAAGTTTTTTTTTTTTTTTTTTTTTTTTTTTTTTTTTTTTTATGGGTTAGTCAGGGTCACATTTTATTGATATAACACTCTTCTATAACTGTTGTGGCATATGTTTCAGGATATGGCCTGTGACACATTCCTGAAAATTGTTCAGAAGTGCAAGCGTAAATTTGTTATTGTACAGGTATTCTTTTTTTCTTTGTAAGATTTTGCCTTGTTACTTAGCATTTTAGTACCCTCCTTGTCATAAAATTTAAAATTATGAATCTTTAGACCGGGGTAAAAGGAAAGTAATTATTGATTTTTTGGTGTTATGTTCCGCAAAGAGGGGTTGATTATTTCAAGTTTTATGATCTATGAATGCTTTTGTGATTTCAGCTTGGAGAAAATGAACCATTTGTGTCTGAACTCCTGACAGGCCTGCCAACAACTGTTGCCGATCTTGAGCCTCACCAGATTCATACTTTTTATGAAGCTGTATGCCTTTTTGTGCCCCTTTTGCTAGATATTTTGACAGAAAATTGTGTTATTATTAAATTAAAAATTGCCTTTTGTTTACCTTAGGTTGGTAATATGATTCAAGCAGAATCTGACCCTCAAAAGAGGGATGAATATCTACAGAGATTGATGAATCTCCCAAATCAGGTTTGTTTAAATGCAATTGTAATGTTTTAGGATTTACTTGTTATTCTCTCTCTCTCTCTCTCTCTCTCTCTCACCCACACACAAATACGCAAAAACATGCATGACTACTCGCAAGTGCTGAAACTAGCTTGTAGCTTATGATATTTGCTTGTTCTCCAGAAATGGGCAGAGATTATAGGGCAAGCACGCTTGAGTGTTGATTTCCTCAAGGATCAGGAGGTTATTCGCACTGTGCTTAATATATTACAGGTATGAATTTTTTACATTTTGATATATAGATATTTTTCTGATAAGATTCTTTGATGACCCTGATTAGTATCTTGGTTTTTTTTGTGCTAAATCTTTTTATGTTAGATTGTGCACTTTCTGTTACATTGTGGACCTTCTACGTGCTCCTTTCCTTTGCATCAGCGATGAATCCTTTACTTCTATTTTCAAGGATTGTTTATCCTATTGTGTCACATCAATATTAAATGTGATTATTCTAGTGGTTGTATTGATTATCCTATAGTCAGTTCTGTTTTCAATTATTTGTAATTATGCTGGTCATTATTGATTTGCAGACAAATACTAGTGTTGCCAGCTCCCTTGGAACGTTTTTCCTGAGTCAGATTTCATTGATCTTTCTGGACATGCTTAATGTGTACAGGTATGGTTAACATTTTTGGGTCTTAGTAAGAGTTTCAGTTATTTAATTTTGTTTCATTTTCAACTGATATGGTTTTGTGTGGCTCTGTTTATTTTGAACAGGATGTACAGTGAGCTCGTATCTAGTAGCATTGCAGAAGGGGGGCCCTTCGCTTCTAAGACATCCTATGTGAAACTTCTACGGTGAGGCCTGTTATACAATTTACCTTATAGTTTAACATACAACCCTCAAATACCATGTTTTAATCTATTCCATTGAACAGGTCAGTAAAGAGGGAGACTCTCAAGCTGATTGAGACATTCTTGGACAAGGCCGAAGACCAAGCACATATAGGAAAACAAATTGTCCCTCCAATGTTGGATCCGGTGCTCGGTGACTATGCCAGGAATTTGCCTGATGCTAGAGAGTCGGAGGTTTTGTCACTTTTTGCCACAATTATAAATAAGTATGCAATCTTTCTTTCATTACCTTGTTATTTGCTTTATTTCTTTCTAGATACACGTCGGTATCTTGCTAAATCCTTTAACCAACTAAAACAAGAAGGCTGTTGCTGCCAACATAGAAAAATGATACTATTTTTCCATTAAAAAAATTCTAATTTTGCTTTAGTTTCTTTCCATAGCTTAAATATTTTTATCCCTTATTTTTAGGTACAAGGGTGCAATGATAGATGATGTGCCCCGAATATTTGAAGCTGTTTTCCAGTGCACATTGGAGGTAAGGATGTGGGCTGTCATGCAGTGGTGCCAAAACTACTGAGATTCTATATTAATATTTGGAGCACTATCATAATACTGCCGTATATTTAGATGTCCTCTAATACTGGTTTTCAAGTAGCCATGAAAAAATTAATCAGTGCAATTATTAGTTAATATTTATCTTCACACCTATAATTTTAACATGCCCTAACCCTTTGGCGTTGATGCGAGCGCATCAAGTCGGACAAATGAATTTTTTTGGTGGCTGAACATGTTAGTATTGTTCCTAACTTCTTATTATGCATCCCTTTCTCCATAATGCATTGCTAAAGAGCGATTTTTGAATCTGTGCTGGTGATATGTTTGTGGTGCATATCCTCTGATACCAAATAGGGTTTGGTGTGGTGTGTAAAATTATTTAAGATTGATTTGTACTTCTGTTGTTTTCTTTACATGTCTAGATTCTGTGCGATTGCAGATGATTACCAAAAATTTTGAAGATTACCCAGAGCATCGCCTGAAGTTCTTCTCTTTACTTCGTGCCATTGCTGCTCATTGTTTTCCTGCATTGATTCGGTTATCAAGTCCGGTTTGTACTTAATTTCATCCCCCTTTTTTGGCTGTGTTTTGATTGTCAGTGTTCTCTGGTTATATATGAGGGCTTATTGGCGTCTGTTTAACATTTGATAATTATCACAAATTGACCGTTAATTGTTTTCGTTTTTTTTTTGTATATTTCAGCAACTAAAGCTTGTAATGGATTCAATTATATGGGCGTTTCGGCACACAGAAAGAAACATTGCGGAAACAGGGCTGAACCTCCTGTTGGAGATGCTGAAGAACTTTCAGGTGTGACATTGAGCATATTTGTGTCAAATATAGTGTGGTATTAAGATGCTCACAATGTTTTGATTGATTTGACAGAAGTCGGAGTTCTGTAATCAATTTTACCGTACATACTTTTTGACAATCGAACAAGAAATCTTTGCTGTCTTGACGGACACGTTTCATAAGCCTGGGTTCAAGTTGCATGTCTTGGTGCTCCAACATTTATTTTGCCTGGTATTGTATCTTGTTATTTTGATACCTTCTTTCTTTGATTCTCGAGCTTGCGTAATTAAGAGTTACATATTTACAGGTGGAAAGTGGTACGTTGACAGAGCCTCTGTGGGATATTGCAGCAGTTCCTTACCCATATCCCAATAATGGAATTTTTGTTCGTGAGTATACGATCAAGCTTTTGAGTACTTCATTCCCGAACATGACTGGAACTGAGGTATAAATATGATACTATTACGATTGTCTTACAGTTGTTTTTCTACAAATGACTTATCTGAAGGTTTTTTCCAGGTCACTCAATTTGTGAGTGGACTATTTGACTCGAGGACTGACCTATCCACCTTTAAGAATCACATCCGAGACTTTCTAGTGCAATCCAAAGAATTTTCTGCACAGGTAGGGGATTCAGAAGCATCATCCGATGCTTGGACTGGCCAATTGATTGATACTCTCTTCTTTTTTTTCTCCACTTTCAGCCGTGACAAATTTGATATTCTTCTATGGACTAATTTATAAAGTTGATGTAAAATGTTGCATCTTCCCTGGCCATATGTCTTATGTTGGGATATTTCCCTACTTTTTAAACAAAATCCGAGTGTGATCTGAATGTTCAAACTGAATGTTGTGATTGTGCAGGACAACAAAGATCTTTATGCAGAGGAGGCTGCTGCACAGAGGGAGAAAGATCGGCAACGAATGCTTTCTATTCCAGGGCTCATTGCCCCCAATGAGATACAGGATGAAATGGTTGATTCCTAGGTGGCTAATTCTAATGTTGAGGCTAATTTCATGGACGACTGATGGAGATGCAATGGGTGCCTTGATTCAATCATCGGAATCTGCCAATGCAACAGCATTTTTTTCCCTGATTAGTTTCCGTTTTGTTTAGTAGTTGAAATTAGTAAAATCACAAAGGCTCCCGTAGCCTGCTGGCTGCACTGTTGCCTTTTAAGTCTATTGGATGGCTGTAGAGTATTTAGGTGCTGATTTAGGGAGGGAGTATATTTTGAGTCATTTAAGGGTTTTGCTGGATCCAAATTGATCTTTGTAGTTTGAACTCGCCAGATGGGATGCAATCTGTTTCAATGACTCTATGTTAGTATCGATGATTCATCTTAGGTGTAATTTAATACTAACCTCGCTGGGTTGTGTAGAAATTCCTTGTTCTTTTATTTTTTGGTCTGGTTTTTATAGGATGTGTTGTCTCATTGCGTTGGTGAAGGGCGCCGATTTTTTGTTACCCTCTTGGAGAACAGTGAAACTTGTGTAATTCGATTGTGTTTACTATATGTTTCCTTTTGATTAGCAAATCATCTATAGTTTGGTGTCTTTGCGACGAGTTGAGTGACCTTATAATTTATGACCGAAGCAGCTGTGTTGATTGAGGGTTGAGAAAATCAGGCTTAGCTTAGCCTTTTCTTTTGGGTTATGTGCTAAATTTGCTCATATAACAATCGAATCCAAAGATTGAAATTTGATTCGATGAATGAGCGAGATAAATAGTAGAAGCAAAGCTTTAAGTTGGATTTTATTGAGGGAGAATCATTATGCGAATGATAGTGAAGTACAGCTCGGTTATTCTTGTTGGACATATTTGTAGTTATGACTTATACTTTAGTGGATCCAGATATGCCATCTAGCAATAATTTGAAATTCTGAGCTGAGCTCCCTTTTGGTTCAACCGACTGTTGTGCGAGTAGTTTGACGGTGCTTATGTTGTCTCTCATTTTCTTCCCTCTTTGTTGTGACAAAACTTGATCGAAATATTTGATCATGCCGTGCTTGGTAAAAACCCCATCCTCAACAGTTACACCGATCTCCAACACGTCCACCATTCTTGCGTTGATCCTTTGGTCGCCAAAGAAAGGCCTGCAAATCATTGGCACCCCGCCTGCTATAGTCTCCAGCAATGAGCTCCAACCGCAGTGCGTTACGAAGGCTCCGACTGAAGCATGGGCTAGGACAAGTGGCTGGGGAGCCCAGGGCACCACCATCCCATTACTTGCTTTTATTAGCAACTCATTTAGCAAAGGTGTCTTAAAACTGTCCTTGAGAGACCATAAGAAGGGTACCCCGCTGGCTTCCAAGGCTTGTGCCATCTCCATAAGCTCCTTCTCCGGTGGCCTTGCGACTGACCCAAAACTAACATACACCACGGAGGATGCCGCCTTTTGTTTGTCAAGCCAGGACAGGCAACCAGTAACGTCATCTGCGGCTGTTGGGGCTTCCGGCAGTGGAGGGGTAGCAGCAGCAGCAGCTAGGTTGAAAGGTCCGACATTGAGAAGCTTGTTGAATTTGGATTTCAAATCGTTTGTTACGGTAATATCCAGTTCTTCAAAGCTGTTTACGAGAACTGCGTTGGCACGGGGTAGCAGTTGGCCCATTTGATGCAGCATGCGTGAGAAGACTGAGTCCAAGTTTCCAAAGATGACACCTTCAGGCAAATCTTTGATTCGTACTTTGGACATTCCTGGGATGTTGACATTCTTGGTGATGAGTTCGTTTTCACGACCTGCAATACCTGCGGAAGCATGCATTATTCAATAAATCGAATAGATATTACCCGTCCCCCATCAAACAAAGCTAAGAGTCATCTGAGGAAAAGTAGAGAATGGATGAGCAAGAGTACATACTTTGAGTTCCGATAGTGTGGCGGAGGAGGTCAGTATGGACATGGAGGGAGAGGGAATTAAGTCCGGAGAGCCAAAGAGGGAGCCAAGGGACTCCCAAGTCGTGTGCCAAGTGGGCCCCAAACCAAAGGAAGGCGTCGGTAATCAAGCAGGTGAGGTGCTTCCCGGTGTGAGCCACGCAGGCGTCTAAGCTGGTTGTAAAGTTGTGGGGGGCAGCCTTCATGAAAAGCTCAATATCCTCCTGGGGCTTACCCGCAAACACATAGCCGTCGGGGACGCCATCAGCCACATCAAACACCTTTATGTTACGTGGAAGATTGGTAATAGCGTTGGAAAAGAGTGAGTTGTTGGATTGTGAAGTGCTGAAGAATGAGAAGAGAGTGTTGGGAGAGGCAGCGGCTAGGCGGCGGACGAGGGCCAGGGTGGGACTGGCATGGGTGGAGAAAGGGAAGGCTAGGGCCGCCACATGATGCTCATACACAACATGATCATCATCAATCGGTTGTGGTGCCATATATGTATGAGCTAATAAGACTATAACAGGAGTGGGATGAGGAGGGATTTGGATGAGATTGGATTGGACTTTATATAGGTATAGTGGCAAAGGAGTGGGGGTTGTCACAAGACAATGCTCAACTCACCAGAAAATCAGCCTATCATTCATATTATTGTTATTTCCTCTACTCTTCTTCATGGAATGGAACACAAACATGACACTAGAGAGACTGGTGGCTTAGCCTCCTTTGAAGATGAACAATGCACGTGATAACCCCCGCCACGCCCACTTCTTCTTTTTTGGGCTGTCTCTTCTAAGCCCAATTCAGCCCGTAGAACTCACTGCCTGCCTACCCAGTACCAGCCCATTCAATATGGGCCCATCAAAACAAACTCCACCACTAAATAACCACTCGCTGAGTCGACTCGCGTTTTTCTTTCTCAATGTCATTGTTAATTCTGAGCTGAGGAGTGAAAAAGAAATGAAAGAGACACCCAATATTCTAATTCCTCCCCAATTTACTTTCTTCTTTCTTTTCCTTTTTTGTTTTTGTTTAATAAAATAAAAATAAAAATTCTGGTTCATTTTGGTCTTTGCAGAAAAGAAAGAAAAACGCTAACTTTGTTTCTGATTTTTATTTCTTTCTCTCACACATCACGCGGGTGGTTGTTTCTCTCTCTAAATATCGATCAACCCCAATCGATCCATCAAATCATAACTCAGCTGATTTCTCTTTCTTATTAGTCGATGAGCTCGTGAAGTTCACAATCACTTCGACACCCACGGACACAGAGAGAGAAAAAAGAAAGAAAGAGATCGAGCTTTTCTTTTTCTCTTCTTCAAGTATTTTGCTTGCCGTCATGGGTCAAGCTTTTCGGAAGCTCTTCGATACCTTCTTCGGAAACACTGAGATGAGAGTACTCCCTCTCTCTCTGTTTTTTTTTTTCATTTTCATTTTTATTTCGTACCAATTTTGTAGCATTTTCTTTCTTTTCCCTTTTCTGTGGTTTGACATTTGTAGCTGCCAGGGATATGTAGGGCTCATGTCGTAATGGTTTCTTTCTTGCCTTTCTTTTAGCTTTTACTGGTTAAAATTTTCAATTGCTCTTTTGAATGTTGTGATATATAGGAGGCTGGACTTCATATTGTCATTATAAATCATATGCATATTTAATATCGTTTTCTAAATTTGCTTACCTCTCTCTTGCCTCTTTCGTTTTTTTTTACCCTCTTTCATTATCAGTTATTGGGGGACAGTGCAATTGCAGCATATTTACTATTTGATTCTCAAATTCTCAGTGATTAGATAATATTGTATGATCACATTAATACCTTAACCTCCCCAATAAGTTTTATAGGTTTCTACTAATTCCTGTAAAAGTGATGGAAAAATGGCTTATTCATTTAATTCTAAGTACTTGACTTCTTGCTTCTTTTTTTTGTTCTTCTGTTGCTTACCTTTAATTTAAGAGCATGATATTTACTTCACTTTCCTTATTTGCCATTTTCATTTGCGGTGGTGCCATAGGTTGTAATGCTTGGCCTCGACGCAGCTGGTAAAACAACCATCCTTTACAAGCTGCACATTGGAGAAGTTTTGTCAACTGTGCCTACCATAGGTGGGCGTCTCTCATATCTACAATTGGACTTGTAGTATTATAGGTTGTTTAGATTTTTATGTTAAGGCATTTCTTTGTCTCAACAGGTTTCAATGTGGAGAAAGTTCAGTATAAGAATGTCATGTTCACTGTTTGGGATGTTGGTGGACAAGAGAAACTAAGGCCACTCTGGAGGCATTACTTCAATAACACGGATGGACTGGTAATCGAACTTTCTCTAGTCTTGTTCTACTGGATTCTGGTTCTCGAATCTTGCTAGTCAGTTGTCCCTCTTTTAGTTTCTTTCCTGTTTGTGCCTTATCATATATATAACCTTTTTTTTTCCATATGCAGATTTACGTGGTTGATTCCTTGGACAGAGAGAGAATCGGAAGAGCCAAGGAAGAATTTCAGGTTGTATATTAAGAAATGAATACAGTTTATATACAAGTCTAGGTGATTGTTTCTCACTTATCTATGTTTATTCTTTCAGGCCATCATCAGTGATCCATTTATGCTCAACAGTGTCATCTTGGTGTTTGCTAATAAACAGGATATGGTATGCCACAGCATTAGTTTCTGATCCATATATTGCATGAATGATCTAAATTTCATGATTTCAATGAACATAAGAATGTGGATGTTGGTGGCCAACATAAGATTCTCTCACTGGTTAGTCTCCAAATTACAGGACAAGACAGGGAATTATTGCCTTTTCTAGTTTGCTGTTGTGATGACTTTCATATTGGGTTAGGAATTTGGAACTTAGGATATCTGGATTTATGGGATGTAATGAGATGTAATGCTTGAAGTATGAGATCCAATCAGAATGCTTAAATTACATTTTCATTCCTCCATGTGAAGTAAAAACGGGAGTAATCTGTAATAGGAATTCAACTCCTTATTTTGATTCCGATTACGGATTAGTAAACACGCCATAAATGGTCACAAGATGTCAGATATTGCGGCACAGGGCTGCTGACTGGTGTCTTTAAGGAAAAATAAAGTATTTGCATTCCATCTAAGTACTGTTTAGTCTTTTTCATTTGCTTTTGGAGCTGGCCATATTCTTTTGGTTACAATGGGAATTGAACCTAGAAACCCCTCATTTGATCCTACCCATGACACTTCAGCTAAGACTCATTGGTGATAACTTTAGTGATCCCCTATCAGATCTCATGGCTTATTTCTTATGGGAAAGTTTTATTCATTCCAAGTACCCAGCATACGCATGATTGTGCAATGTTGGTTCCTTAGCAACTTGGTGTGATTTATTTATCAGCCGCCAATATAACTTGGTGTGATTTGTGTTTTCTCGTTTTCCAATCCAGAAAGGAGCTATGTCGCCAATGGAAGTATGTGAAGGACTAGGCCTCTTTGATCTCAAGAACAGAAAATGGCACATACAAGGGACTTGTGCCCTTAAAGGTGATGGCCTTTATGAGGGCTTGGATTGGTTAGCTAACACACTGAAAGAGATGAGAGCTGCTGGATACTCTTCAGTGGGCACCTCGTCATTCTAATACTCGAGGTTGAGACTTTTTACCTGCTTATGTCTTACCAACTAAATGGCAGGCCGTTTAATTATGTTTGTTCTCTGTCTCTTCTGCAGGTTTATTAGGATTCTTGGGGCTGGTCATTTGATAATGCTGAAGAGTTGGTTATTTGTGCATCCAAATCTCCCTGGACTGTAATCAGCTTTTACTTTTCCTTTTGGGTTTTTCTAAAGATGGTGAAGTTTAATCAGTGCTTACTCCAAGACTTCACATTCAGACATGTCACTTAATCCAATGTATATTGAAGAACAGCAGATGAGCAGGTTGTGAAATTGATGAATATTTGCTGAAGATTATGTATGATTTGGATGTCTCTTGAAAATTTCTTTTGCGTATTTGTAGATGATTGACCCCAAGTGTATTTTAGATTTAAATCCACATGCAAGTTTCTTCTGCTCCACGGGCCACAGGTGCCCCCTTCTTGGGGTGGATTGAAAACAGTATTTAAATTTTCCAATAGGGTGTTAGTTGGATTGACCAGGCCATTGGTGTGCTTCTAAATGGTGCTGGGTTTAAGTCCTGTGGCACCGTGTGTGAATTTCCCACCTCTCCTTCCTAACTTTGGCAACAAAAAAACAGTATCTAAATTTTAAACTCTGTTGGCGTTGATTAGTGTTTGAAAGATTAAGCTTCAATATATTGGATGTCTGAGAACATCTTTTTATTTTTTATGTTTACCCAAAAAAAGGTGCTGAAAAATAATAAAAAAGTTATGGTTGTATTTCTTTTGAGCCCATTTGTAGCTCATCATGAAAATTTGAGAGAGAAGAAAAAGATATGCAAAGCAGCTGAAAGGACCCAATTCCACGTGTCAGCGTTTAAGACAAGCGCAAGAGAGACTTATCTTTTTAACGGCTAGGCCAGCCCACGCCCACCGTGGAATTATGTAACGGCCACTTGTCTCCCTTAACGGAGAATTAGAAAGAGAGCACTTGGCTGTTGGCGGTTGGCTGACCACACATTTACAATTACTTATGTGTGTTTGTTTTTGGCGATATATATATATATATATATTAAGTGATTCCTCAAATAATTTTATTTGAGGGACATTTTTTAGGATCCTTTAAGATTTTTTTTCAATGATCCAAACTATCTATTTTTTAAGTATATATTCATAGATCATTATTGCAAAAAATTAGACAAATCGGAAACCGTTTCGATATCCAATTGTGTCGTACAAAATCAATTAACACAATACTTGAAGAAAGCACTAAAATTTTAATAATTGAATTGAGTGGTCAAATTAAATTTTAATAATTGAATTGAATGGTCAAATGTTATTGGATTCAAGTGATTTTTTATAAAGATGATATTTGAATGAGTATTTACAATATAGACAATTTAGATTAGTAAAATACAATACGAAGTAGGTCCTACAATGATGGCTCTCAAATAAACTTACTTGAGGGATCCCTTTATATTTGTGTGTTTTTTTTTTTTTTAAATGATAATAATTTGGTGATATTTTTTATATTTTATATATATTTTTTTTCATTTGGCGTTCGCTCGCATTATTAAGTTAACTACCACATGATCCACATACCAAGCCACCAAAGCTCCTCATGAGCCATGACATGCCAAAGCTCCTCCACCAACACCAACGCCATGTTAGCCCACAAGTTTCACCGTCTCCACCTCCGCAGCTCCCCCAAATTCCGATGTGTTTTGGACCAAATTGCACCCAACTTGGCAGTCTCATCGTCCCTCAGCTCCGTCTTCACCTCTGCCAACGTCATCGCCGCTGCGGCGGCTGCCTCCGGCTCTGGCTCTCTCCACGGGGCCGTCACCTCCACCATCACTCAGGTCGCCGTCACGGCCCTCGCCATCGCCTCCGGAGCTTGTCTTTCCACTAAAGTCGATTTCTTGTGGCCCAAAATGGAAGCACAGCCAGGTCAAGAGATTTGCGCTTTTGAACCCCGTGAATTCTGATAATAGCAATTACATTTCATAGGAGGAGCTATGCTTAAACTTGATTCCTTTTTTAATGGTGCAGGTTCTGATGTAGTGGAGGGAGTAGACGTGACTGGATATCCCATATTTAATGATCCAAAGGTTTGCCATTTTTCATTATCTGCTTGCTTCAATGCATACAAATACAATTTGATTATTGCTCTGCAATTCCACTAAAACAATGTGTGTGTGAACTGTGAAGGCAGGTGCAAAAGGCTATTGCATTTGCTAAGAAAGCTCACCACGGTCAGCTACGCAGAACAGGAGACCCTTATTTAGTCCACTGTATCCATACAGGAAGAATCCTAGCCATGCTGGTTCCCTCAAGTGGCCAACGAGTATGCATCTTTCTTATTTAACACCCCTTACTTTTACCAAATCAGCAAAACCCTTGTACTGCTGAAGAGCAAGTTTTGCATTTCATTAATTCCATCAAAACTTAAAAAGTTTGCTGCAGGCTGTTGAGACAGTTGTGGCCGGGATTCTCCATGATGTGGTTGATGATACGTGTGAAAGTTTCCCCCACATAGAAGAGGAGTTTGGTGATGATGTAGCTAGGCTGGTAGCTGGTGTTTCCAGGTTAAGTTACATAAATCAGGTATTAATATACGCCGGTTATGTAATCTAGCTTTCTTTTCTTGGTATTCTGCCTTCAACTGATGTCAAACGGTGACACATTCATCTGTGAAATGTGAGGGATAGGAAAGAATGGTGCAGATATTATTTCAATGAGAAAGTTATAGACATACAAATTCTAATCAACTGTTGTCATTCTTGAAGCTTTTACGGAGACGCCGCAGGATAAATTTGAACCAGGGCAGGCTTGGTCATGAGGAGGTAGGACTTATATTCTACATCATAATATAGAATCAGCCATGCTTCAATTACTTGAAACCTGAGATGTAATAAGAAAATAATGGAAAATTATATTGTAAATACAATTAATCATTACTGAAGAATAATTTTAGATTTTTGTTATGTCTCAATCTTCATGTAATTTTATGTGTTTCTTAGTGCTCGCTTACACTTTTAAATATCTAAGCATCATTACTTTTGTGCATGAGTATGACTTTTCATGTAGTGATCTTCCATTAAAGCAATTATGTGGATACGATAGGCACTTAGTTGTATCAAATTCAACTGAATGAAGCATAAGGTCATAATAAAAGATTAACTTTATGTCTTTTATTCTTAAAGATGATCATCATATGAGCACCAGTTTTTTGCTGCTTCAGTTTTCCATATCTCATGCTTGCATTCTTCATTTATCAGGCAAATAATTTACGAGTCATGCTCTTGGGCATGGTTGATGATCCACGTGTAGTGCTTATAAAGCTTGCAGATCGCCTTCACAATATGAGAACAATGTACTGACTCTAAACTTACATTGATATTATAAGTTTATATTGTTATCACTTTCTTTTAATTCCTCAATTTTGATTTCTTTTTTTCAAGACAAGTTTTGACTCTGAAATGAGCACAAACACTAAATTGTAATGAAATATTTCTGCCTTCTCTTGAAGATTCTAAATAATATATAAACACAGAACCTGTTTATCCTATTATCCTTCAGTTATTGATTGCATGGAAATGTTTGTTGGGACATGGCCAACTAACAGAAACTTTTGTCGGTAATGTGGTACTATAAATAATGCCCCCTTAGCAACAAGTGACCAACTTTAGCTGATAAAGATAATCATATTATTGTTTTGTTGGTTGCTTGAAATTTTCTTGTCTTCTTCACTACGAAGTTTTAGGCTCATAATACTAGTAGATGGGTTACGCTCCTAGATGAAACTTTTTTTTTACAGTTATGCTCTCCCACTGACAAAGGCTCAAGCTGTTGCAAAAGAGACCTTGGTAATTTGGTGCTCACTAGCTTCCAGATTGGGTTTGTGGGCAATGAAAGCTGAACTGGAAGATCTGTGCTTTGCTGTTCTTCAGGTCTGCTCACTAGAAGATCTAAATATCTGACAAAACTGCTTCTAATAAGTCAGTTGTGGGAATTTTGATACATTAAGCAAGACAATCATAGTTTTAAGTTTTTCCTCGAAGAGTTGAAATCCAATAGCTTATTTTCTCAGTGTACAGAGAACCAAAAATGGAGATTAGATGGTTACATCAAGAATAATTTTCAGACGTTGTGAAGAAACTAGTGCAGGAAACACATTAGTATGATGCCATTTCGGAGACAGGACTTAAATGACTGTGTAAGTAAAGAAAAGAGCAAAACAATGGACATTGTGGATATAGTTTCAATAAAGCATCTGGTAGTTTCTAAGCATTTTTTGGCTACTTAGAAAATGCAGTTGCAAAGCTTTAAGTACCTAAATTATAGAAGAGGTGGAAATATGGTTCTATTAAAGGTTAATATGATATAATTTGGATGAACCTTATTCCATTGAGTGATTAAAGCTGTTTAATTAGTTGTAAAAATGTCTGAAAAGAAATATGCAGTGGATTTTGTTTTTCTTAAATTTATTACTATTTGGCCATTACCAAAAACCAGTATGTTGTATTGCACCCAAATGTACCTTGCTATATGAGCATTTTTAGTTCCTTCTTCAATAGTATGATCTAATCTTCCTTGTATAATCAGCCTCAAATGTTTAAGAAAATGAGAGCTGATCTAGCATTGATGTGGAGCCATAGCAGCAAAGTAGGAAATTCAAAAAGAATATCCAGCTCGCTGCCCTTAAATGAAAAAAGCTCAATTTCTGACAATGAAGGGTCCATAGCAGTTGATGAAGATGTCACAACCATGAAGGCAAGCATTTAGAAGGATTTATTTTTTATTTTTTATGCTTCTGTCTGAATGCTGTATCCTGAAATTGTAGAAATCGACACTAAAAGAATGAGGATTGTATTTCAAATTAAAGTCGCTGCTTAGAAACTTCTGTTTTATATATTTTTCAGGATCTTTTGGAAGCTGTAGTGCCATTTGATGTATTGTTAGATCGGACTAAACGATCTAAATTTCTCAATACTCTAGGACAAGGTTCGGAGCCTCACACAAGACCAAAGGTTGTGCAACATGCTGGAATTGCTTTAGCATCTTTGGTAATTTGTGAGGAGGCACTCGAGCAGGAGTTGATCATATCAACTTCGTACGTTCTTTCTTTCCCCTTTTCCTTCGTTGCTTGCAGTTTTATGTAATTTATGTGTATATATGTCTACAATTATATATACACACAAACAAACATATATGTCATCATGCAAATTTTATAATAGCCTTATTGTGTCAGTTGGTCAATAAGTGTTCTTGCCGTGTTATGTTTTCAGTTATGTTCCAGGAATGGAAGTAACTTTATCCAGCCGTCTAAAAAGTTTGTATAGCATCTACACCAAGGTAATGCACTTCACACTTTAATATGTTTGAGGGCTTCTGTGCTTGATTTGATGTTTATAGCAGTTATTTCAAGATAGGCCCTTGTGTAGTATTCCCTTGCAAGTTTTTGAAACATTACGTTCGTATCTGCACTTGTTTTAGATGAAGCGGAAAGATGTCAGCATCAATAAAGTTTATGATGCCCGTGCATTAAGAGTAGTCGTTGGAGACAAGAAAGGAACTTTGCATGGACCTGCCATCCAGTGTTGCTACAATCTTCTCGACATTGTACACAAGTAAATCAAATTGCACTGATTTCTATTTTTATATAACCCTCCTATTTCTTTACTTTTGTTTATTTATTGTGGGATCTAGGGTAAGCGATAGTTTGTGATTGATGTGACAGAATGGTATTTTCATGCATTTATATGATGGCGTGTATGTTCAAATTTTGGTAACGTGAAACTCTTGCTGTCAGTAACTTAATGAATTGAATATTTATATGACTATTGTGCCACAAGTTTATCTGTAGCGCAACTTTCTTTTTCCAGACTCGGAAAGATAACAGACTGATTTCCAATAGAAGGGGACTGTATATATAAAATTATTGTGGGGGATCCCTCAATAGAAGGGGACTGTATATATACATAGGCAGATTGACTTATATTTATAATTTCTAATGTGCAGACATTGGACCCCGATTGATGGTGAGTTTGATGATTACATTATCAATCCAAAGCCTAGCGGCTATCAGGTCAGATTTCCTGTTCATGATTCTATATTTTTGGAAGGTCCTTTTAAATGATTTCACTCCATTTTTCTCAATTTCTAATATCCCCAACTCTTGAGTCATGGTTGGACTGTTCCAACTGAATGTGATATAGATTTTATATGTATTTTGTAATGTATATGTTTTGTAACTTTATCAGAGGGCACTTTTCATATCTTAACTGCAAATCCCCATCTGCAGTCTCTGCACACTGCAGTACAAGGTCCTGACAGATCACCTTTGGAAGTTCAAATACGAACACAGGTGCCAAACTTCTTCCAAATTTAAAGGAGATCAGAATACTTGCTACCGTTTGTTTTTAAAGTTTAGCTGGCACTCGTAAATTTCATTTCATATTATGCAGAGGATGCACGAGTATGCTGAACATGGACTTGCAGCACATTGGCTTTATAAAGAAACTGGAAACAAATTGTCTAACATAAATAGCACAGATGAATCTGAAATAGATGCATCATCCTTTTTCTCCACAAATATGGAGGACCAAAATTCTACAGTAAATGATTTGTTTCAGAAGTATAGTTTGTTGAAAATTGGGCATCCGGTCCTTAGAGTGCAAGGAAGTCATCTTCTTGCTGCTGTTATCATTAGGTATATAACCACTTGATGTCTAATTTGCATAAATTGCTCTACGAACATGCCAATCACTAAGATTTGTGTTAAACTTGACATTGCAGAGTAGACAAAGATGGAAGGGAATTGCTCGTTGCAGTGAGCTTTGGACTGGCAGCTTCTGAAGCAGTAGCTGATAGAAAATCTCCTTTCCAAATAAAACGGTGGGAAGCCTATGCGAGGCTGTACAAGAAGGTTGGCTTGCTTTACTTCACATATTGATTCCATAGTGTAGTTAATCTAAAACTTCATTCATTGATTCCATAGTGTAGTTAATCTAAAGCTTCATTCATGGAAAGAGGTTGAAATCTAAAGATAGTTTGTCACTTGAAGTTGACCTGCCTCCAAGCTTTCTTAGTCTACAAATCATCATCATCCTTGCCTGTGTCCCCTTCCTTTCTTTATTTGCAGAGAAATTACAAAAAATTTCAAAGTATCTCCTAATTGAGTTCCATTATGCTCCTTCAAGTAACAAGTTACCCTATTTTCTTTGACTTCATATTCCAGGTGACTGATGAGTGGTGGTGTGAACCAGGACACGGGGATTGGTGCACTTGCCTAGAGAAATATGCACTCTGTCGAGATGGCATGTACCACAAGGTATGTTTAACATGTACTTCCTGAGATTTGTAGGCCACACAGATGATCTCAAAATGAAATTGTAATTGTATGTTCAGAATTAGAGAAAGAAAATTCAAAAACATATATAGCAGCCTGATGGCCCAGAGAGTATGAATGTCAACAATGTGAAATGATTCAGACTGAAGCATATAAGGACAGCAGAAATCCACAATTAGGTTAAATACTGCTTCCTTGTGCAGCAAGACCAGTTTGGGCGATTGTTGCCGACCTTCATTCAGGTCATTGATTTGACGGATCAAGAAGAATCTGAATACTGGGCGGTTGTTTCTGCTGTTTTTGATGGAAGACAGCTTGATGATATTACATCGACACCGAGGTTTACATCAGCTGCATCAACTTCCATGGAAACTAGCATCAATAACAAGGTTAGCCTGTGACCTTGCCATTGTGAAGCCCATTTTGTTAATGACCAGTTTGTTGAAATTTTCTTGCTTAAATTTGCGATGACCTACTGCTGCAGTCATTGAATTGCATGGCTTGCTTGTAGTGTGATTTTGGATGTGGTAGTCTCTCTCTTAGTATTGCTAAATAGCAGACACACAAGACAGACAGGGCTCCAAATGCTAATTAATTAATGCCTGCTTTCAAATTCAAGGTGCGGTTGTTAAGGACAATGCTACGGTGGGAAGAGCAGCTACGCTCAGAAGCAAGTCTCGGACAAGCAAAGCAAACTGAAAAGTTTCAGGGCAGTCCAGGTTCTGTCGTCCTTGGGGAAGTGGTGATTATATGTTTGCCCAATGGTGACATCATGAGGTTGAGAACTGGCAGCACAGCTGCAGATGCTGCTAGAAGAGTAGGACTGGAAGGAAAACTAGTCTGGGTTAATGGTCAACTGGTCTTACCCAATACCAAGCTCACAGATGGTGACGTGGTTGAAGTTAGAGCATAACAAGAAATTTGGAAAGAGAGAAGAAAGAAACTGTTATTTGAGTAGGGCCAAACAATTTTAATTTTTTGGTCTGCTATTGATTTCTTTCAGGATGAAATGGAACAGCTACTTACTGTACATATGACAAATTTTACACCAAAAAAAGAAAGTAAAAATCTGGCTACGGTACAACGTACTTGTTTTTTCTTTTTAAAAATAAATTACCAAAGTTTTAAATTTTTAATTGACTGTTCTTCTCTCCGATATACAAGTCGTTCTGATACGTTCTGATAAATACGTATATTTCCATGGAAGTCATGCTGTTAAGTATCAAACTTCCAAGGCTTTTCTTTTCTTGTTTGGTTCCAACACCCAAGTTTTGATCTTTACCCCATACAATGCAATGCAATAATTCCATATTCTACCCATTTCCATTTTTAAGTATCGTCAACTCCCGGAGTTTCTCGAGTTGTTGCAAAATGATTTCTCCTTTAAAAAGAGAACAGCGAATCTGAACAAGTGTACAGAGAGTGAACATATCTCGGTTCAGGCCAAAGAAGGTTTAGTTTTCGCTACCGTTCTAATCACCTTTCCGCTTTCCGTCCAAAAAAGACAGATTCCGATATAGGCGCATTAAGCATGACGTTCTGAATTCAGAACATAAAAAATTGGAAAAGACATTTATTTCAATATGCAAAATCAAGCAAGCCAAGTATCAATGACCTGTGAGTAACAATGCAGCAGCAAAATTCTAAAAGCTACAGAAGCCAGCCAATAATTCTCGATGCAATGCTCCCTATTTTATAGTTACATCATTTAGGCATAAATATGAATAAGAATCTTCCCGAATCTATGTGACCAGGATCCACGCTTTCCACTAATGCTGCTAACTTGATGGTTAACCAAGCCCAGTACCAGATTTAATGATCCAACCAAGTTGCTCATGTGAACCAATGGGCTTTGTTGGATTAACGCCTCTCAACTACATCACTGGAATGCTAAGAATTATTGGTCTGCACTGAATTTGTTTCTGATGATCCAACTATATCTTCAAAAGCTTCTATGGCAATGGTCATATCATCATCAATATCAGCTTGTTCTACCTCTGCCATAACTTCATCCCTATCACCTACCATAGGTTCCACCCCATTCTGCACTGAATCAGAATGAAGTTTAGGTTCTTCAGTTGCTTTGTTTGGTTCAGCTGAATTTTGCACCATGGGTTGTGGATATGGATCGTTTGAGACGGTCAGCATAGTTGTCACCAATAGATTCTACAAAAAAGAAAATGCAAGTTGTAAAGCTACAAATCAAAAGTTCAAGAAAATATAAACAATAAATATGTAAGTTGGAACTTAAGTAGACTACTTCAGTATTAGTTAAAATAAGGTTGGCATATATAAGCTTAAATCAAGAGTTTTCTTTGCCAAAAACTTAAAAAGGGAAGCATTAGAGCAGCTTTATATCATTCCAACTAAGGAAGAAACCCACTAAACTGATGGAAGATGAGTAAATGGTGGAGATAAAGTAACCATTTACATCCCCCCATTAAAGTTGCTCTTAGCAACATCAGATGCATTAAGATGGAAAACAGTGAATCAGGTTCTTCATTACTATACCTTTTCTAGTGCAAGAGCAAGCTTTGAGAGATTTGGATAGGTGGTTTGTGCATCCAAAAGGATCTGTTCAACAAAAATTTCAATACAAAATTACATCTCGTAAAGTGATACATATTATAACATAGCACGGGAATGATAGTGCATTAACGTATCAGACAAGCAAAAAGATGCAAGCACTCATTAAAGGTCTGCAAACTCCTCCTAAATTATAAAAACTACATCCAATTGCCACCATTTTTACAGTTACAAATGATAGGGAAACAAACTTCTAAGGAGAACAGAAGGGTGAAAAGAGGGGGTAAGAAGGGAATAGCAGTTTCAGAAAGGTACCTATTGTACTTGACCCAAAAAAAGAAGGTACCAATTGTTAGACAAATTCAACCCAACTATAATTCAATGCATGGAGCTTTGAAAAGTGTCGACAAAGGGATGAAAGACACAATCATAAAGAATACTGCAGAGAGGTAACGCATGATACATAATATAAAGGTGAAGTGAACACCTCGCAAAGCCTTTGAAGCGTAAATGGAGGACCTTCGGTAAAACTATTAAGAGCTGCAGTGAAGAAACAAACTATAAGCAATTACCATTAAAAAATGGAATTGAAAATTCAATAAAACTGTAGACCCTAACACCATAAACTAAAATATAATTTCAGCTCCACGCCCTTAAGCTGATTTCATATATGATCAGGGGAATGAGAATACCTTCATCCAACCTCTTCACCAGTTCTGGGTACGTTTCTCCTAAAGAAGCAATTTGCTGCTCATCTGCCATTTTTCCCTCTGGATACTCCAACAGAACCTTCATAAATCAAGGAAGAAGAGCAATAGAGAGGGGGAAGAGAGTGAGAGAGACAGATAAATACCACAATCTTGGAACTAGAATGCAATTATGCACATCTATTAAGAGTGCTTGTGTGCACGCATGTGTGTGACAACCATAAATAGCGGAAGACCCGCATGCTGGCATACCTCCCCATACCTGCTTCAGCTGAAAGGATAGCATGCTTTTTAATTTGTCCCAATCATGCCTGTGAGATATAAATAAATAAATAAAGTTTAAATACCAAGCAAAAACAAATGGATTAAGAATGTTATCTTTTTGTACATCATACCTAGAGTAAACACAACTAACACATACAGGCACCAAGAATAATACATTAATATGCCACACACAAATGAGAGAATTTCACGCCAAAATAACAGCTTACCAAAATTTTCCGGTGGATGCAATAACTGCTAGTATGCCTCTAACTTCTTCTTCAGCAACCTCATGCTTGGACTCCTTACATCTAAAATATCAAGTTCAATACAGCACTTTCTTAATATGAAATCAGAAACAAAAAAATAAGTAACATGAAGGTGAATTTCCTTTTCTACGGTCTCAATTTTTAGGAAAAAATATTTACTGATCCCTGGAGGGAAAAACATTTACCGATCCCTAGAATATGTACATCACTGAAAAGCGTATTGACTAGATAGAAAGGCCCGTTAGTGCACAAAGCTTCACAAACAATGCATCACTGTGGTATAATATGTTGAAATAATTCAGTGTAGGGAAGCAGCCGAGTAGTCAATGAGAGCAGCTCCCATTTACAACAATTAGGTAGTTGCATCACACAATAGACGGTTCATATGCTTCCTTGTCATTAGAAAACGTGTAGGATACACAGTAAAATGTATAGGGAAAGAAGAGCGTACGCATTATTTAAACCATCAGGAACAATAGTCTCATGTTGATTATCAGCATCACTGGTAGAATTCATTGAGGGCTGTGAATTCTCATTTGATGGCATCTCCATTCAGATCCCTTAGCCTAGTTCTGATGATAAACGAGACATAAATGTAAGATCAACAATTATATTGAGTGCAAAACTCAGAACCAATTTGGCTGCTGAAAAATAACACTCAATTAAATTTCTCAAATTAATAAAGTTTAGGATTCCATTAGCCAGACCTAATAGCTACGGCCTACTGATTTCACTTTCATTATTTTCCCCCCTTACAAACAAGTAAACAACGACCTACGGCCAAAAAAAATTTGAAAATTTTGTGTTCTTCCACTCCGTTCGGTTACCGGGAAAATCAAGCAAGAAAACCCTAACTGGCATAAATCTTGAAGTTTGTGGGGGACCCAAAAGAAATGAAAAGAAGTTGGGAAATTTTGGAAACTAGTTTCGTCTATTTCGTTTATATAATCATGGCCGGGCGTTTTCCCGGCAAGCAAACAGAAAAGGAGAGGTTGAGAAAGAGATATGGAGACGTTACCAAGCTTTGGGTTTCTTGAGAGCCCAAGGAAGCGAAGGGAATCGATTCGAATCTGTGTTTTGAGAGAGAGAGAGAGAGAGAGAGAGAATAATAATAATAAAAAGAAGACAAAGTGGTGGGAGTAGAAGCCTCAACTCAAGAGTAGAACTGAGAGATGGTGCCTGCGACTGCGAGTCTTCTTCGCAACAAAAATGGCCAAACGTGCAAAACGTCGTCTTAATTAGCTTCTTTGGGTGCGACCGTGCGAGAGCCCAGACCAAAGCAGCTAAAACGTCTTATTATATTTTATAATTATGTGTCCTCCAATTTTATGTTGCCACGTGACGAAGAGTTGTAGCCTTGCAGGAAAAGGCAATTGGGCCGTCTCTTTTGTTTGTTTTTTCTCTACAAAACACAAACACAAACACAATCCCTAACCTTCCTTCTCACAATCCAGAAAGAAAGAGTTTCGAACACAAAATCTCAAACTGACTGCTCTTACTCTCAGTTCTCGAATGCATGAATAACTAACAACTCTTAACCGCTTGAGCTACAAGCTCCTCACTATTTTCTTTTAATTATTGGGTCGGTTAAACCCCTCTTGTAATATATACATATTATTATTATTATAGATGGACCACCAGTATATTATAAGCCATTGACATCACAAAGGAGAAGGAAGGAGAGACTACGAAGTCATAAATCACATTCCAAAAACCATCAACTTAAATATGTATATAATTTACGTATTAAAGAAAGATAAATAAATAAATAAATAAAACCACCTAAGATATTGCCGGAAGGCAAATTGGCCTTTCATGGTGTCTTCCAACACGTTCTGACGACAACAATAATATACAGATTCATACTCCCTACAACTTCATTTCGCAAAACAAAGACAAAAGGATGTACATAGAGAATAAACAGCCATAATCCAAAGCAATGGCTCGGAGAAACACACACAAAAATTACAATTGGAAAAGGTGGTCGTAGGTAGGTACTAGCTAAAATTCGTGAAACTGAACCATCGTGTCTGTCTGTGTTTTTCTGTCTGTCTACTCTTCTTAAAGAGACATTCATCCATGGCAGTGCCACCATCACCTGGAAGGAAGTTCTGATGCTTGACCACTAGGCGAAGGATTTGACGAATTGGAAGGGCCGTTATCTTGAGACGGTGCCCCGCCCCACTTCAGCTCTACATCAGACGGTTCAACTACATGCACTGAGCCGTCAGTCATGCCGACTGCAATCTGGTTAGGCTCAGATGGATGAGCTGCTACAACCAAAGGATAGGTGGGGTTGCCGCTGCACAACATTTTACATCAGTTTGCAAATGTCAAACAAGGCTACAAGTCTTTATAGATAAGCCCAAAAGAAAAAAGCAGCAGATAAGAAAGAAATAAAAAGTTCCCATTCAATAAACAGCAAAATACTTTTCCGCCCACCTGAGAGAAAATGATGGTATATACGCAGTAGGTGCTACTCGACATCTGAGTCTTAAGGTATCAGCATCAAAAACTCCAACAGCACCGTCACAAAAAGTAGCATAAACCAATAGACCATCGCATGAATATATTGCACTTGAGATGGGAGCAGCAAGTGCATCTTTTGGAGACCACTGCCATCATAGATGTGAAAAGAAAGAAGATAGGAAGAAAAAAGAATAATCGTCAAATTAGAATAAAGATTATTAATTCAGTTTTACGATAGATGCAAATGTCTAAATAAGAAACTTAAATTTAATTTTATACAAGTCTTATAGATCAAACATTTCTAGACAGATAACTTTTATGTTAGTTCAACATTTTTCTGAGACAAGGACTGCCAGGTTAAGAACTTACTGAGCGCAAACAATCAAGCTTGCAATCATACACAGCAATTTGGCTTTCATGAGCAACCAACAAGTGTGTGTGATCATTATGAAACTGAACTTTTGTTTCTCCAACCAACGGGGATTGGCGACCAGCTGGTGCTTGTATAAACCTTGTTTTCTTTTTCTCCCATCCATCAATGCTCCACACGCATAACTGCAATCCAAGTCACCAACGTAAATAAAAATGTCATGCAATTAGATAAGAGGAATAGCATTGCCTAGTTTCGTTCAATTAAAGCAGTGGCTCTTCATAATGGTCCAAACATTTTTGTACTCGGTCATAGGAAAGCAATGCTCTAGCTTTAAGTGTGTGAAACACCTCCATTCATATTATCATCCCCTTTAAATTAAGGCATTACATCCGCCTTCCCCAACAAAATAAAGCAAAAAGGTGAATCCACACCAAAAAAATCCAACTAGTTGTAAAAGAAAACAAATACAATGAGCAGCAGCTTAACGTTCCTCTCGAGGATAGGAAAGAATTGCTATACTTGTTATAAAATCACTAACCTGGGTATCAGCACCTGAAGAAACCAGTACATTGAGACTTTGAGAAAATGCAAGGCCTGTAATCCGATTCTGATGGCCCTTCAGTTTGGTTTTAACCTGCCAATCTCATCAAAGGTTTAGTTTATCAGATAACCAGACAACACAGGCAAAACCTCAAAAGACATCAAGCAACAAATACAGATAAAACTAAGAGACACGCTTTACCTCATCAACCCTAACATTATATATTAAAATAGTAGAATCCTCCATGCCAATAGCAATTATATTATTGTCTTGAGGATGAAATGCCAAAAAAGTGGCTGCGGGAGGGGGAGAAACAAATGTTGTCATGACCTGCAAAGTACGAGGTGGATCCGGTCAGCAAGATAGTTAAAAGGGATTGCTTGAGCATATATGACAAAAGATGATGTACAAAAATGTGCTATAGACCTTTCTAGATGGTTCTAAAAAAAGGCAGCAATAACATACCTTAAACGTCATCATGTTGAACAGAGAGACTTTCCCACCAGATGCAGACATGACATAAGAATCATTTTTGGATAAAGCAATACACGCAGTAGATTCCTCAGCTGGTTTATTGTCATTCACATCATTAGTCATAAGAGTTCCATTGGGAGGCTGCCACAACTGTGGTGTAACATATGCAGTAGCCTGAAAACAAAACAAAACCACAAGGTAGAAATCTATAAGAAACACCAAATTTAAACAGGGAGAGATTCATTTGAGGAAAGACAGAAGCCAGACCTTCCCTGATGGATTCCTTTCATTACGCTGCCATTTCCAAAGCTTGTGAACAGCATTTGAGGCAAGGGCTAACAGAGCCAGGCCATTGTTTGTGTACATTAGTCTTACAATCTGCAATTAGCAAATAATTTCTTCAATTATGATATTGTGGATTCTAATGTAAGGAGTAAATGATCTGGTCCACTATAGTACATACATATTTGTTGATTAATTTGCATGAGTTTTAGAGGCAAAATCAACATACATAAGTTCTCTAACTGAATAAAATATATCTTTAAAAAAATCTGCTTTATTTTGGTATATAAGAAAAAACTAAACCATAAATTTCGGGGCTTCTGTCTCATATTTTATGATTATAAGTGTTAATAAGGAATAGTCCTCTACACCTTTCCAGCAGTTGTAGAGTCAGGCAACCGCAGAGCTTTCATTTGAGAGGGATCCACAATATCAGAAATTTTCCAGCTCTTAATCTTGTCTATATCCTCGGAAATCCGAGGTTTAACATCAACGAGCCTGCTGTTCTCCATAGTACCCTGCAGTAAAAAAAACCAATATAAACCAACAAACACAGAGAGCATTAACAATTTCATGCTTCTTAAACTTACTAGATTACTGATAGACACAGCTGGTTGGATTCTATCAGGACGTTCCAGGGCTGGAGGAACAGCATTAGGAACATTCACAATGGGGCCTAGTGCATTAACAATCAGAGGCTGCTAGGAGAAATTAAGCAAAAAAACTTGACATGAGAACCTCACTGGCAAATAAAAATATAAACAATGAAGAAATTATGCCAGCATAAGTTATCAAATACAGCAAGCTTTATATTGATTACAAGAATGATGCCATCAAACATTTACCAAATATTGACTTAAGGACCACAGAACAAAAACTACCTTAGAGTTGATGGGCTCAGAAGTGCCTCGATTTTTCTCCATAGCCCTTCCCTCCAACATTCTAACCAAGCGCAAACCATCATTATTTGCTAAGATCTTAATACCACTGTCATTCGTTGTTACGGCCAACAGTGACCCTTCTTTGTTGAATCTCAGTCTAGGACTAGCCTGCAAAAATAAAAGGGGCAAACTAGTCTGACTTCTGCACTCTTCAATGGTATAGAAATAATGTAAAGGAGAGCACTACTGACAGGCAACCCGCCATCTGCATCAACTGCCGTCAACACATTGGTACTATCCATATCCCAGAACTTAATTTGAAATTCATCACCAGCAGCTAAGAATCGGTTCCTTGTTGTGTCAAACTGGACAACGTCTAAAGAGCGCTTCCTAAATCCAGAATATGTCCGTTTGATAGCCCCTTCACTCTCATTCCACTCCACCAGATGGGATTCACCTTCTTTACTTGTTCCGCATGAGAAGAGTCTGCATATAGAACATGTATCCTCACTATGCATACGTATGTATTTTAGAAAGAAAATTAACGGCTTACAAGCTAAAAAAGTTCTAAGGGAAAATTTCCAAAAAGAAACAGGATAAAAAGTTTAATGTTATACTTCATCAGATAAAAGCTGCTTCATAAGTAATGAAAAATCTTCCTTACAGTGATATATCAGTCAAATAATTCAATACCAGATTATAACCAGCATTAGACAAAAGGTATAATGGAGTACTTCTCCATTATCTGAACAAGATTTACCTGGTTCCATCTGCACTATATGACATCATGGTGCACCAAAGTCCAGGAGCATCATAGTCCACCCTTGATCCCAAGCAATCGTATAGCCAAGCTTTAATCTTCCCATCAATAGCAGTTGAAAAAATGAACTGATACAAGGAAAAGAGGCATTGGTCAGAAGGATGGGTGCTTATCTGATTTTTCCCAGCTTCATTTGTTGTGTGGATGAATGTCAGACTCCAATTACAAGTCAGCATATTAAAAAGATAAATTAGAGGAAAGCCGCTGATAAGCTTCTAGAGAATACATACCTGAATATTTTCTTTATAATGAGGGCAAACTGAATACACAGGAGCTTCATGGCCTTCAAATGTATATTGTCGGCGTCCACCTACAGCATCCCACACCTGTTGCAGAGAAATTTACAATCAGGGTGCCCAAATCTCTTCCAAGTATCAACCCACATCAATTCTTACAGCTAATACCTTAATCACTTTATCATCTCCACACGTAACAATACACAATTGCTTGTTGGGATGAGCGAATGCAATGTCATTAACCCCACCAACATGAGCATCAATCTAAAAGATGAGACAGATAGTCAATAACCAGTACCTAGTAATTTCACAGGGAGAAAGTTATACGAAGCACAAGCTTACCTCAAAATGTTGTCTCAGTTCTCCAGTTGGATTGTAAGTATATATCTGAACAATGTGCTTCGAAAATGCAACACCTGGGCAATGTAAAAGGCAGGCAGGTCAAAAAAATGTAAAAGAAAAAATATACTAATCATTTGTCTCATTCAGTCAGGAGGGTACATACCAAGCATAAGTCCATCTGGCCCCCAAACACACCGATTCACTGATATTGCAGCATCATTCACCAAAGCTGTCTGAATCAGGATTGGTTTTAAAGTACAATCAGTTACTCTTCTAGATCATGATACTAAATTGTGCCAAAGTTTGGTATGAAGGTGTAAACTACCCTGGTCTTGCCGAAAATAACATAATACTGACTATATAGATAGACAACAGGAAACTAAGAATAACTCCTATGAAGTCATAACATACAATACCTGCAATGGCGTTGAGGCATTTTGCATATCCCAAACCTTGAAAGGTTTATGTACCAGCCTTTCCCGGGACCCTACTTCCCAAAGACTGATGTCACCAACATTTGTCCCAACTACAAACCAAATAACCGGAAACTTCAGAAAAATGAACCAAAAAAATATTTAAAGACCAAATTATCTTCAAGTACAAACCTAGAAGAATAGTTTGTTGTTGTGGATGAAAGTCCATGCTCATTACGTTAGATCCTTGACTAAGGGTACGAACAACAGCCTTAGGAAGGTCATCTTGCGAGTAGACATTGGAATTATGCATCACACCAGAAAATGACACCTGCAAGACCATGGTGAGGATACGTATTTTTGTCATTGTTTTTAGGGGGTTTCACTAAAACACCCAAAATGGGGGTTAAAATTATAAAAAAACCCAAGCACTATTTAAACATATAAACACACCCAAAACCCATTATTACACACACTCAAAACTCATTTATAAACACACCCAAAAAGTTGACTTTGGGGTTGATTTTGGGTGTGTTTCTATGTTTAAATAGTGCTTGGATTTTTTTATAAATACATGTCTAGGATTGGGTTTATTTATAAATTTGTATTGTTTTTACTTGAACGGTGGAGGGAGATCTTAGCACTTATTACAAGTGACAAACATGGTAAATGAGCTTGACAAATAAATTGTTGCTCTTCACACCTCATCAGCTTGGCCAGTGCGAATACGCTTCATCAAGTGCTCCGAATCAGCTGATTGATAATCCATCCCTGTAACACCTGTAGGAGTCCTTGGGTGCTTCAAGAAAGCAGCTGTATAAAGCAAACATAATGGAGAAACATCTTATTTAAGATATTAAAAAGCTCTAGGGAACCAACTGAGAGCTAAAGCATTTAGAATCAAATATGAGCATGCTCACCTGCACTAGAAGGCTGCACGAGACCAGGAGGAGCTGCTGCTACAGCAGGGTGAGGCAATGAAGGATTAGTGCTAGACATCCAACCAGCAATAGCACCAGGAGATGGGGAGACAACAGGTTGGAATGGCTGCAGAATGATAAAGAATCAATCCAAGTATTGTTAGAAATTATTGCATATCTCTGTTATGCAGATGAATAGGAGGTGCAACTTACGCCATGGGCACCAATAGGGGGAAATGCGCCAGCCTTTGGAATTGGTCCTACAAGGGGACTGTTTGTCGGAGGAGGACGAGAACCATTGGCAGTTGGAGTGCAAGAATGATCCATAAATAGTGTTTTAATATCAGGGTTTGGACGGGGATTCTTGCAAAGCTGGTGCTGCCAATTGAGACTGAAAATTCAAACAGGGAAATAAGCTTCAAAAGAGTGACTCTAGTCAGCAGAAAATTCAATACCAGAAAGAAGTAAAAACATCAGGATCAGTTCTCTTTTAATAAGCATACAAGAAGGAATTATGGGACATCCAACGGTGGCAAAATGTCATGTATCAAACAAATGAATCAATTATTGATTAATAGCTAACCAGAACCCTCTGTGAAAAAAGGTTATCGCTGGTTGACCACAAACTGGAACAAAAGAAGTAAAGATAAGTTGCGAGAATTACCTCTGATTTATTAACGTCCGTAGACGTGAACTTTTGAAGGCTGGAAACGCAAGCTTATCGCGAAATAATGGGTTCGCCTCAATGAGCTTTTTAAGTTCTATAAGCATAATATTCCGAGCCGATTTTGTGTCCCCATACTTGGAAAGCTGCTCATTTTGCCTGATGATTTGATACAAATAGAAAGAATATATGAGCGCCAATTGCAAGCATACCTCCATATTAATAAAGAAGCAACAGAGGAAAACAGGCAGTACCTAAAGTTATCAAGAGTTAGCAACTGGGTGATCTCCTTGAAAAGTTCCTCATTAAATGATGCAAAAACCTTAAGGTCCTTCACAAGAATCTCAACAGCCTTCGCCCTATCCTGCCTGATAGAAGGAAACACAAAATCAAATTAAACTATCAAACTGCTGCATAAATGCATATTGAGATCAAATTCTACAATGCACGGCTCAGCTTCCCTTCTTTATTTTGATAAAACAGCCTAGAAAACCATAACCATTTTAAGTGCCTTTCTAGCATCAATTTCGTATGGAAAATTTGGTACAGTCAATGGCTGACAAAATCAGCTTTCTGCGTCAACTTCCGTATGTTCATGAATGTCGAAAGCATTAGTTTTGAACCTCACCTGTCAAGAGCTTCCAAATACTTCTGCTTCCTAATTTCAAAAAAAATCTTCATTGAATATCGGTTGTCTTCAACTTTAGTGAAGCCACACAAATAGCGCTCAACTTCATCCCACTCTCCAGCCTGAACTTGATCCTCAAAATGTTTCATATTGAAGAAAAATCCAGACTCTTGCTCAAGCCTAACGGTCCAGAAGAAGCACATCACACACAAAGCCACAGCAATAAAAATACATTTAAGCCCAATTTATCTTGCTCCAATTTTCTGCTGAGGAATGCAGGGAATAAAAAGACAAAGGTAAACAATATAGTGCCACCAGTCAGCAAAATCAAAGGCTGGTTTAGAAAGGCGGTTTTGTTTTGCAAGCTTGGTATTGGCAATTTCAAACAGACAACACAAAAGGAAACAAAGATAGGCATAAATGTTTACAATCTTCTCTTCCCCGCAGTTTCCTCAGCAAAGCAAATAGAAAATGAGACAGAACAAAACAGTGTCGGCAAAACAAACTTACTTATGAACTGTTTCCTTGAACTTCTCCTCGTCTAAGAACTGCAATATCAAGAATACCAGTTCCCTACTTAACGAAGACATTGCCCCAGGTAATCCTAAGCGCTCCAGTGCAAAGATCGAAAGCTTAAATCAACTGCAATTTATTTGGGTTTTACCCGAACTACTTTCCGGATCCACAAAGACAGTGAAAATTTGAACGCCCAGAAACTATTTCTTCTTCACCTCGCTTCTGGTGCAAAGAATTTTTATTTCAAACCATTCAACAAGCACCTCCTTAAAACACCAAGTTACGCAGAGAACCCACAATCATCTAACCTTCTTGTCTGCCCAAGCAATGCCTCTCATCCCCAGACAAATTTCCAAAAAGAAGAAAACCCACAAAAAAAGGCACAAATACCCAAATAAAAACAACACGAGAAAACCTCTTGTTCAAGCAACCCACTTCACATAAAACCCCAAATAAGCCTTAAATTTCAGCTTCTACAATAAAGATCCAGCATTTAGTACAAGTTGACATGTGAAGCATAAATTAAAGAGAGAGAGACCAGATTTTGGAGCTGGATTTGACAATATGTGGAATCTTTCTTCCTTCACATGACATGTAAATCAAGGTTGAGAAAATAACAGAGCCTTACTGAGTCACCAGAGGGGAGCAAAATGAAACATTTTTCTAGGGTTAGGGTTTCTTTCTGAAGCTCTTTTATTCCTCTCCTTCTTCTCTCTCTATGTGTGCGCGCTTTGCAGCTAAACTCTGCAACAGCCCTTACTTTCTCTCTCTAAAATGTTTACTTTGTAGGTGTCTCTTTTACATCTTTATATACTTTTTTCTCTCTCCAGGACAAAGACAAAGCTTGTGCTGTTTTGTGCTTTTGCTGGGGCACCTCTCTCTCTCAGCCTTTCCACTATTATTTTATTGTTTTCCATTTATGTTTGTACATAGAACACGTAATCCCTCTCTCTCCATTATCTATTTCTCTCTCTACCTGATTTTCCTTACTCTCGATTGGACTCTAGTGACTAAACCCCACTAGCCTGAGAGAGAGCTTGTACAGAAGAAAACCCTAGGCGAGCGAGGTGGAAATGATAGAGTGTGAGAGGGTCCACCCTTGTATTGCCTGAGCTCATCTTCTCATTGGTCAATGGGTCCTATTTATTTTAGGAACGCTTGTGTGTGGGGCTTGGCAAGCATGACCTTTAACGGTAACATTATACGTGGGATTGATGGACTTTACTTGTTTTTTTGTCCAAAGCAATGAGAGAGACTCGTATCCGAAAGAGGCTCATTAGGTCGGCAGTCATCATTCGTTTTCTTCCACTTCCACTTCTGCCCCCCACCCCGGTTCACTTTAATTCAACGCCTTCATTTCAACACTCTATTCAAAAGACTCGTCAAAAACATAAACAAAAAACAAAATTTTAAAAGCACCTTCATTTTATTTTTATTTTGTCAGAAAAGCCCCTTCATTTTCAATGTCCTTTTTTCATTGAGTTTCAATTTCCAAAATAAATTTTATTTTTAAATATATATAGCATTTTCTTATATATAATTTTTAATTAATTAATTTTCTTTTATATCCAAACCATAGTTTAAGTATTTTAAATTATCTCATATACGTATAGAGAGATTCGAACTTGGATACATATGGTAGGCACATTGTACTAACTAGCTACATATCTACAAAATTCATAAATGTTTAATTACAAAAACAAATCTAAACAGTAAATGAAAACTCTCGTAACATCTAACTCCTGAAAGACGAACATGTTGAATATAAATAGAAAAATCATGTCTTCATGTTTGCAACCACAACTATATCAAGCTCATCATAATACATTGTTTTTCACCTCCATATTAGTTGGAAATAAAACGTACTCAAACACAATTACCTTTAGACTTTAAATATATAAAATAAAATAAAAAACAATTATTTGTATGTATTGTGGTGTGAAGAACTAAACAATTAAAACATTCTATTTATAATAAAAACAAATAGAGATGGTGCCAACTCAAATAATATTCCATTCATGCAATTCAAAAGATGGATACATATATAATTGTTTTTTTTTTTATGGCCTTGATGGTAATTAATGATGAAATACATGTTGCATTGCATACCTTCAACAGCTACTTTGTTTAGTTTTGCGATTGAAAATGATGAAAAGGGACCTTTAAAAGTTGCATGGGCTTTTGGAGCATGGAATGGGATTATGGATGTGTGGTTATTTCGTTCTGCCTGCCCTCCCGCTCCCATCGTATTCCTTAATTACACAGAAACACATGAAAAGAAAAGCAATATATATATACACACACGTTCAATCTTTAATATAACTTCAATAGTAAAGCACATATATTATTTGAAAGGAAAACAAAAAACAAAAAGGAAAGGTTTAGAGCCCATTTTGCATGAGAATAAAGTTTGGACCACATTCTATATAAAACCGACTACAAATTGTTAATTTCCGTGTAAAGAATTGTTAAAACCGACTAAAATTTGTTAATTTCCTTGTAAAGAATTGTTAAAACCGACTAAAATTTATTAATTTCCGTTATTTTTCTTAACATTTGACAAGTGCTCATATGTATAATTATAATAATTATGATTATACCCATAGACACATTTCAAGTGTTAAAAAAAATAATAATAATAATACAACTTGAATTAAAATGATGAACAGAAATCCTCTTATTATATATTTCCGGTGCTTTGCGAGATCATTCATGACATGCCAAAAGAGTCGATGTTAAATGAATGGACATGTCATTGTTGTATACCAAAATTAATATACATGTCATCTTTTGGAAAAAGCACAGATGTCGTGTTGCACAAATGAAATGACGGTTCAAAAACTTACAAAACCTGTGTCACGTGTTTGCTTACCGCCCATTCCCAGCTCAGTTTTTAGCATATGCAACTACTTTTGCTTTTTTCTTTTTCATCTTTTTCTCCGGAATATCAGGCCACACACGAAATGGAAAAAGTCCAATTGCTTGGGACTCTCTCAGCCAAAAAAATTATATTTTAAATTGCATGTGAATTTTTCTACTTATAAATAGTCTAAATTATTATAACATACGAAAAAGAAATTCCACACTTAAGCGCAAGATGGCGAGCTTATTATGTTTAAAATAGCATTATAAAAGATTTGTATGAACAACGTTAATTGACGACCCAAAAACAAAATAAATTAAACTCATGAAGAAGTTTTCCCACATTTATATATATATATAGAGAGAGAGAGAGAGAGAAACTTCCCACCACCGTCTTTCTTTTCCTTATTTTTGGTTTCGGTTGTGGTCCCACTACTTTCTGCTTTTCCCAACAATAAACTATTTTATATTAAAAGACTTTTATTATCAAAGAATCTCATTTATTACCTACCAATCAACCTGTCATTGTCTGGCCTAGTGCGGAGTAGCTGTCTGGTGTGGGGTGATAAGTACGTGCGCTTATCAGCTCTTGGAATTGTGTTCCCACTTTTCTGACACTTATTGTATCTTTCTTTCTTTCTTTCTTATTTTCCAGATCTAATGTAATGCTAGGGATTTTGTCGTATGTAATACGTATACCTTAATTCCATCTAAGTCCTCACACCTAATAATAGGGAATTTAAAAATACAAAGAATTTATTAGATTATGGAATTTAAAATGACAGAAATTAATGTTCTATAATTTGTAAAGTTTCTTATTTGAGTGACTAATTTAAAACACAAATTTAACCTTTTTTTGTAAAGTTATCTATTTTTTAAACTCAATCTCTCTTGATATTTTAGAAATGACGACTTTTAGATATAATTTAAAGTTGAAATTTATGATCTCCAAATTCCATGTATTTTCTCACGCGAAATTTCTAAATTTCTATGTTTTTTTAATCCAAACACGGGAATTGGTTCTTGTCAATTTAGAAATGATGAGTTTTATCAAAATCCCAAATTTATTTCCCTCATCCAAACGCACCGTAAAGGAATATGATGATTTGGTGTTGCTATTCAAATTTAGGTTATAAGAGAATCTACAACCGATGTGTCAAACGTGCCACATAGACATTTAACGGCTAAAAATAACATCTCACATCACTCCAACTGATATGTCAAAACTGATGTAGATTGAAGCTAGAGGTTGAGATGTTATTTTTGACATCCCAAAAGTAAGATGTCAAATGAATATTTTATTTTTCTTTTCTTTTCTTTTCTTATTAATTAAAAATGATCAACACTAAAATGTAATAAAGTAATAATTTAATTTGATATATTTGGTGGAATGTAAAGCTGTGTAAGATGTCAAATTGCCACATCAGCCATTAAATTTAAATTTGATGCTCTAAGACATAATACTAATCTACTAAAATTTGGTGTTATAAACATTATTGCAATGTTAGATGGACCATCATTTTTACCATATTAATTTAACACATCATCTTTAATTATTCTCTAGAAACGACATCTTGCACTCAAATTTGAATATCATTTTTATAAATTAAATTAAATTAAAATAATTTAGATTATCGCTTGAGAAGTTATTATAATAAATTGTCATAATAGGTCAAATCACTTTCAATCGTAATTAATAGATGATAATCTTAAGATTAAGTCTGGGGACCACTTGGAACAGTTGAAGTACATTTGAATGAAATTTCACGCTTTGCTCACTTACTGAGTCATTCATTCAGTGGCTCAGAAATACACACACGGACACAGAGGCACACACAGGCATGGGCCGTATCCCCATTCTGCCATAACTTCGAGTCCAAGCTATTATTATTATTATTATTATTATTATTATTAAGCAACCAAACCAAAACCCAAACCCACTTTCAATTTCAATGCCTAGTAATCTCCAACCCCATTTCGAACAAACAAAACAGTTTAATGCGCAACAGGTCATTTTCTTTGTGGCCACGCCTCAGGAGCTCGAAAGGTGTCCGATGAATTTCTCCTTTTACTGATCCCTTCGGACCAGTCAACTCGAGACGTGGCGAATATCATTAATGATTCGCTGCCCAACTGTACGGAACCAGACGAAGTCGCTTTCATGGGCTCTCTCTCCAGCGAGCACGTGGACTCCTTTTTAATAAAGGCCAAATCCAACGAATTTAGAGCACTTCCTCTCCTCTCCCCTCCTTCCTTAGGACATATTTTTTCAATTAAACTTGGGTCAAAGTGAGAAATTTGCCACATCAGGCCTCCGATTCATTAATTGACGAACTGACTTAAATCATTATCCCTTTTTCTTTTTTCCGAAAAGAAAATTTTGAAAATCAATCGCACTAGCTCGTCTGTCTAGTGATAGAAAAGGCCCTAAATTTGAATTTCGAAATCTTGCATGAGTCCTACCTCATGTTGGAGA